AATATAATTTTTTATTTTACTTTTAACCTTTTTATATACTTTAGGCTATAGGGTATAGCAGCGCATGTAATATAATAATATTAAATTAATAAGCTTTAGTAGCTACTATATATACTTTACTACTATATTTAAACCTTATTTAATACTACCTTTTTTATTACTAGTATTATTATGGTCTATATTTAGTAATAAAAACAGGTTATCTTATTCCTAATTTATAAAATATAAAATAATAACCATGCTATAGCTTAATATTTAAAGTAATAAGCCTAGTAAATAGTGGCAAACCTTTTATATAAACTAATCTTGCTTTATAATTAAGGTATTTATTATTTTTTATACTAATAATAATAAAGGACGGCGTGTATTAACATGCTTAAAAACTAATTTTATAACCTTTTTATATAATCTTATTTTTTTTTTAGGCTTTATAATATATTTAATAATATAATAAAGTAAAAAGCGCTTACTAGTACACGCGGCTATATTTAAGTTTATAAGCTACCTTAAGCTAATAATTAAGTTAAATATATTTAGGGTTATATTATTATAAGCTAAAAAAAGATAATAGTATATACTACTAGTTAGTTTTATTAACTAAAAATCACGCCGTGTTACTATAAAAAAATAAAAATAATAAATAACTTGCTTAATTTACTTATTTTTTTATTAATAGTAATTTATACTATAATAATAATATAATATATAGTTTATAACCTGCGCAAGATAAGCAAGTATATTTTTTTATTAAAACTAGGGCAGCTAAATGGCCTTATAATTTATATTAATAATAATAATTTGCACATGGGAAGAGTTTATAGCCATAATATACATGCCTTAATAAGCCTTAAATAACCGCCGTAACTTATTAAATTATTAAAGGCTATTAAAAATAAGGGTGGATTATATTTAATACATACTATAATTATAAGTTAAACCTTAATCTTGCTATTTATAGCAAGATTAATTATTTATAATATTAAACTTAGGCTTAATAACTATATTAAAAAACACGCGGTAATAATAATAAAACCATGCTATAATAATATAAGAATTATTTTATAAATTATACCATGTAATTTATTTATAAATAATCTTTATATTATTATATTATACTTTATACTTAAGTAACTATTATATTAGGTTATCCTAGTATAAATTAGCCGTAAAAAATGTTAGAAATAGGTAAGCCATGCTTATTTAAAAAATAAGTAATTAAAATAACACGCATGATAATAGGAAACAGGCTACTTATTAATATTTTTAACCATGGCTTTTAAGTTATTTTTTTTATTATGCTAAAACGGCCGCGTACCGTGAATAGTTTTAAAAAAACTAGTAATAAAACTTAATAGCATAAATAATTTAACTATATTTAATTAAAAGGCTGCTTATAACTTTTTTATAAAAATATCTTGCTAGCTAGGCGCGTGGTTATAAATATAAAAACTAGCTTGTTAATTTATTTACTAATAATAAATTATATTAAAGTAAACATATTAAAACCAGGGATGCCATGCAAAATAGCCACTTTTATATTTAAGTAAGTATTTAATATAATTTATAAATAATACCTTGCGCGGGCATGTTATAACTAGCTTTATATTACTATAAAAAAAAAGGGTAGAAAATACTAGTAATAATAATTATTATAAGTAGTTAAACTTAAATAACAGTATTATATAAAATAAAAAAAAAGTTAAATAAGGATTATTATATACTAGCTTAGTAATATTATTTACTATAGCCTATAAAGCCTTAAGCTTTGTGGTTATTATAAGTAAATTAGGTATTATAATTATATTAGGCGCCTATATATTATTAGGGTTTACTTATTAACTATTATTTAGGGTAATTAGCTTACTAGCTAGCTCCTAGTTTAGGATAAAATAATTAATTAGTTTATTTTTTAGTAATTATATAAGGTTATAATTATTTTTAATTATATTTTAGTACCCTAAATAATTTACTTAAAAATAATTTAACTATTATTTAACTGCCTAGCGCTATATTTTAAAGTTATAATAAAATTATAAGTATATTTCCTAGTTTATACTAAAATTAAATAGCTATAAGATTAATACCTTAAGTTTTTTAGGTAAAAGCAGGAGCTATTTATATACTTAATTAATATTTTATAAAAAGTTAATAATATAGCCTTTATATAAATATTAATAACCTTAAATATAATAAACCTTAATAAATATATAAACTCTTATAATTAGCATTTTCTTAATTTATATTAATTTTAAAAGGTAAAAAAAAATATTACTAGGATTTATTTTATTTTATAAACTAAATTTAAAAATCTCCTGGTTTTAGTTAGCTAACATGTAATGCTTATAAATATTATCCCTTTTTTAAAGGTTTATATTAAACCATTATTTTTAATAATAACTACATGTTTTTAGCTAGTGTATGTTAAGCTAGTGGTAAAAGTTATTTAATAACTTTTAATTATGGTTTATAATAGCTAAATATATAAAATTAATTAAAAAAAATAAATATAATAAAAAAGCATGGTCTAGGTTTGCGTGTATAAAAGGGCTAGAATTAACTTTAATAATTTATAAAAATAAAAATAAATTATTTTTAATAATAAACTAGGAGCTTATAGTAGTTAAGCTATTAATATTTAACTTAATATTATTTTTATTAATAATAATAGCTGGCTGCGGGCGCCTACCCAGCAGGTAAGGTATAAGTAATAGTAAAAATATAGTTATTGCGGGCGTGGAAGGGGGTATAAAGGTAATAAATATAATTAATAATAATAGGTATATTAAAGGTAAATAAAAAAGTTAGGGTTTACTAAAATTAATTATATAAGCTACTTAATTAGCCACTTACTATATATATTATTATTTTATATTTTTATAATATTTTTTTACTTATTATAAGTTATTAAATAAGTATACACCATGGTATTAATAATTTAGCTTTAGTTATAATAGGCGTGCTTATTACATGTTTAGGTTAATTATATTAAGGGGAGGATATTAAAAAGGCGGGTTAGAAAGGCTTATAGCTATAATAAATTATTTACTTTTTTTTTATTATATATTAATAGCCGTAATATACATGTAAGATAGTATAAACATGCCTTATTTTTATATTTATTATAAGTACCACAAGGCTTGCGGCCCGGGCACTGTTAAAATTAAAATATAGGTTTTATATTTTTATAGTAGCTATAAAATATAGTTAGCTTTATAATTAAACTTATTTATATAAACCGCGAGCGGAAAAAGGATTATAAAGTTAAGGTTTAAATTATTATATAATAAAAAAAACTATATTACAAGGTTAAAGCAGAGTAAAATAGTTATATAATTACCCTTTTTTTTAGCTAATTAGCGCTATTTAGTTTAAGCGGTGTATTAAGGTTATATAATTACCCTTTTTTTTAGTTAATTAGTGTTATTCTGCTGTTTTACATAATCCCTAATAAAGCTCACGTGACTAGGAGCCGGGACCTACGATTTATCGTGCGCGGGCCTCTACTTTGTTCCGTCCTCGCGCAATTAATGTGACATGACTGGTCACAGGGCGGGTGGGCTCGGCTGCTGGCCTGCGATTGGCTGCCCCGGGCAGACCTGGCGGTGTGCCACTCCACATTTGGCCATTCTTACAGCGATGATTCATGACTTTACACCTTTACACCGTCTTTTTCTGAGAGTTTATGCTTATGCAGTTCCTCCTCCACCAAGGAGCATGGACTGAGACTGAGACCGGGACTGGAGCTGCATCGCCCGACCAGGGCACTGTGCTCTCTGCTTCACGCCTGACACGCCCTGCCTGCCGCCCACTCTGCTAGCCTAGGCTGCACTGCCCAGACTCCCCAATGGGGGGTTACTACTCCGTACGGTGTACTACAAATATCACAGCCTTGCCCCCCGCCCTCCACTTCTTCATCCAGAAGATCTCGAACCCGGCCAGAGGCGAATCTGGTGGCAATCAGCTCAAGCCTCACAGCCTTGATGATCCATGAGTTGCAAGTTGCAACGGACCTGGAACATGGCGGTGGAGCCCTCCTTAATCTGTTGAGATTAAGGTGTCGACTGTGCGGCGGTCCACTTGAACCGTGGGCCTTGCTTGACTCAACGCAACCAGAGCATCAAAATAGAAACTTGGTTGTGTTCGATAGACCCCTCAATCTCATAGCCTATCCTATCTCAGCCCGCGGACTAGTGTAGACGATGGCAACGGTGCCAACGGCAGACAACCAACTAGTCTCGCAGCAAGCGCTTACGACAGACAGGAACCGTACTCCTGAGGCACCGGGCGTCTCGTAACGTACGGTACCCTGCTTAGCGCCAACTCTGCGATAGTGAGGCAGGCCGCGCAGCCAATGATGCGGCGCTGATGCCACGTTGGCAATCAAGCAGGGCTGGGCACGGTGGGTGGCCCTGTGGGAGAACAGAAGCCTGGCCGGGTCTGTGCTCTGCCTGAAGTCTGAAGTGGAAGTGGTCCGTCTGAGCCTGAGCCCGCTGCCCGAGCCTGAGGCCCACTTGTTCTATCCCCGTTTCATTGGCGACTGAAGGATGAGATCATATTAGGGATGTAAGATGACAAATGTCATGTCGACATTCGCCGCCTCGAATGTCGACATGACAGACATTTCGAGGTCGCGAATGTCCGATCGGCGCTCACCTTCCATATAGGGTATAGCGGGTGGGCTGCACGTGATAACTAGTCCTAATTTGGAAGGCGCACATGTAGATCATGAAAACTTTTTGATTTGCATACAAAATCGACGATTTTTGGGTGCGCTGTCGAAGCGCTTCAAAAGCGCTTTTTGAAGCGCTTTTGGAGCGCCTTTAGGAGCGCCTTTTGGAGTTTTGGTTTACATACAAATTCAATACAAAATCGAGAACTTTTGGGTGCGCTTTCGAAGCGCTTTCTGCAGCGCTTTTGAAGCGCTTTCTGCAGCGCTTTTGAAGCAATTACTGCAGCGCTTTTGAAGCAATTACTGCAGCGCTTTTGAAGCGCTTTGGCAGTCAGTTGAAGCCATCGGCCTCACACATAGCATCGGCAGCTGAAGGCCGGGGTCTTTTGGCCGCTTGAGGCGCTGCAGATGGTGTTTTCTTCTTGCGCTTGGTGGTGACCTCTCCTCCAAAAACAATTGTATCTTCGTTGCTTAGCAGCCTTTCGATCTGGAGATTCTTATGGAATAGCCAGTTGCGAGCCATCTCATCCTCTTCCTCCGCTAGCTGGGTGAATTCATACTTGATATCGCGGCTTGTACGGCCATTCGTAGGCGGAGGTGTAGGTGTAGAATCCAGAGCTCTTGTGTTCATGTAAAGATACACCAGCTTGTTTACTTTTTTGACCTGGAGACGAGATCTCCGCTTATCCTTGGTGTTGTTTATGGCGGAGAAGGCTCGCTCAGCGGAAACCGAGTTGGCAGTTGTGTAGACGAGTCGGATGGCAAGGTGGGAGAGGGACGGAGCGGTGTCATGCTAGGAGTCCAAAATAGTTAGTTCTGAAGCTATTCAAGAGGCTCTTCAAGAGGTATTCGGTCAGGAGAACTCACAAACTGCGCCCAAAACACCAGAGGGTCCTCGGTTTTCCAGAGATCCGCAGGGAAGAACTGCGCCTTCTTCGCTCGGTATAAAGCGAACTCATCATGAGCTTCCTCAGTAGTGAATGTAGAGAACACCTCTCTGATCACATCGGCCACTGGCTCATCTAATGAAGCAGAAACGTTGCGGGGGTTGAGATAGTAAGCGGCCCAGTGAAGGGGTGTTACCTGCTTGCCAAAGCGTCTCTTGAAGCCAGCGTACGGAGCCTCTGCAAGATACTCCTGGAGATCAGCTTTGTATGGTGTTTCTTCAGCGCTTTCGGAGAGGATCGAGCGGATCTGTAGCCAACGTTCCATGACCTAGGAAGTCAGCAGTTGTATAGCCAAAGAGATGGAGTACTTACAGTCATAATATTGGCCTTCTGATGCTCAGATTCAATCTGCATTCGGTGAATTGGCTCCAGAAGACAGAGGAGATTCTCCAGATCTGTCCAGAACTCGGAGGAGTTAATGATCGTGGCAACACCGCTCATGGCAGCTGTCTCTTTATTATTAGATTTTGAAGCCTTTATGACTTCAGGAGTTAAAGTCCACTGGCGGAGAGCAACACCAGATCTCCATACAGATCTTAAAGCATTGAACTGAGTTCCCCAGCGAGTAATTGCTGAGGCAATGAGAGTTCTTACCTTGCCTTCTTTTCTTCTCTGGTAATGATGGATCCAGGCCAATTGCTTTGGAGAGTTCCTGAAGTAAGAAATAACCGATGCAGCGTTCTTGAAGACCTCCTTGATCTCACCGAGGGAGAGAAGATCCTTCATGAGTAGCTGAAGGCCATGGGAGTCACAACCGATAAAGAAAACATGAGAGTACTCAGCCTTAGCCTGTAGTATATCCTAGACTGCCTTCATGGTGTTGCAGGTGTCGGTAGAGATGGAGTTGAAGCGCCGGTAGTCGATATTTGTATTGGGATTGTATCCCTCTTCATTCACAAGGTAGTTCTTGAGAGTTTGATGGATCCATCTTGCAGTTTCCTCTGTACCAAAGGCTCCGACTGTGATCTCTTCAAGGGTATAGAAAAAGCTACGCGTCGGGGTGTTGAATGACAAGCTTATAACGCGCTTTAGGGACTGATCGGTGGTCTTATCGATGGTGACATTGAGGAACTTGGTATCCTTCAGCTGTCGATTCACATCCACCTTATACTGATTGTAGTACTTATCAAGCAATTCGTTCGATAAGGCCTGGCGTGTAGGAGGGGTAATGTTGTGCCTTCTAAGCAGACTTCGAAGTTCAGGAGTTTCGTACACGGAGAAGGGGAGGCCACCGGTATAAACGGCCATGCAAAGAAGTTCTTGATCTTCCTGTTGTATAGCACCGTTCCAATTGAGAGTTGACTGACTGCTTCGAGGATGTCGAGGGCGCTTTGGACACTTGTCAAGAAGGTGTTCGCGTTGCCGAGTTATCTGAGGATCACGTTCCTCACCGCACTGCCTACATTGAACCCGCCTCTTTTAAAAATTAGTAAAAAATCGAAAAAAATAGGAATCGAAATAATACTTTGCCATCTTCAGTGTAAAATAGCTTATAAGCGTTTCTAACCCAAATATTATCCTGAATTCGAGTCATGGTGGCTTTGTTTGCTCGAAAAACAAAAGAATCGATATTTGTCCATAATATATATATTTGTTGTGGTGGTGTACTAGTAGCTAGTCTCGTTGCATTTTTCATAGCCGAGGGTTCCCTAGATCTTATTGGCTACAGACTAAGCTTGGCGCTGATTTACGACCTCTGATTGGCTGGAGTGGACCCACTACAAGTCACGTGTATGTCCGACCGGACTGACATTCAAAACCTTGACATTTCGGACAGACCGACATTTCCTTCCGAATGTCGACATTATAACATCCCTAGATCATATCATCAGCAAGCAGACAAGCAAACAGCCCGGCACGTTTCTCATTCGCTGTCGCCCGCCTATTTGCACGCTATTGATACGTGCTGGGCCTATCCCAGCCCCTGTGCTGACTCTGCCCCAGCCATCCTGTTCATGGATCTCTTTGTCCAAGCACGAGGATTGAATGACAGTGATTCGGTCATCTCGCCACGCCACTGCCACCGGCCACTGGCCAGTAGTGGCCACTCATGGTTGCCAACGTCCGAAGCTGCCTGGTTGGCCTTCCGCCACCAGCCGCGCCATTCAGAGTCAGGGAAGGGCTCATTACTCGCATGCTTCATCGGGTGTCCCGTGTCCGTGGTTGAGTCCGGGGTAGGCCGCCATACTTGTTCTACTTCGAAGCACTCCTTTCATCTACGGAGTAACCACGGCACATGAAGACGACATTTGTCAAAATCGGTGTCTGTTCTCGCCGCCTTCTTCCATTGTATCAGTGACGTGGTCACGAGGACGGAGTACGCCGTGGAAGACAGAGCCGCGTGGTCCTCGAGGTCTCGAAGCGTCGGAGAACCTCACTTGATCGATCTGGAATCTTCTAGTGACAAACAGAGACTTTGCCATATCGACTGAGTGAGCGATCATGATGCGAGATCCGACGATCGCGGTTTTACGGAGGAGGCTGGCCTGATATTCGCCTCCTTGGATGCCTGGATGCCTATGACCCCGTCCCGTTCTGCCAGCCTGGTCTGATTGTTGACTGCCTTTGCCACCACTACTGGGGTCCGAATCAGACTGACAGCCGGTAGCACTATACCCCATCCCTTTATAGGCATGCTGTGTTAACTACTCAGACAATTGTGTAATGTGAATGCATGAAATGATATCATTTCCCAGTCCTATATACAACCCGTGTTACCCCAATTGCCCGAATGATGTTCGATCTGACATAAGTCGCCTCGAGCGACATGCACCTGGACGCGTACGCCAGTTCAGACCTTTGGGCGCGAAATAAACGGGTGCTTCAACGCCTCAGCTGGCGTGCATCGCTTCTCCGGATTAAGACTGAGGCACCGATCCAGCAGATCGACAAACAGAGCCAGCTCCTTCGCTTCGCTATCTGACATCCCGCGCGTGTCCTTGCCCATCAATCGGGTCTTGAGATCACGAGTGGGCTTCTTGAAGTCCATGACCCGGGTGGCGAGGCGTCCGGTGATCTTGTCCTCTTCTGTGCTGTGGAAGTTGGCCATATCGTCAAAGTGGAGGTGCGCCAGGGAACCGCGCCGGAGGAGCTTGGGCGGATATTTGCCACGACATTCCATGATCGATTTGAGCATCTGGTTGTTATTGCGCCCCGTGAAAAGGATCTTGCCTGTGTAGAGCTCGAACAGCGTGCAGCCAATGGACCACATGTCGATGGCGTAGTCGTATGGAATGCCTAGAATGATTTCTGGTGCGCGGTAGAACCGACTGACCAGATATGGAGTAATTTCATTATCTGAAGCTGGCGATGCAGAACCCAAGTCGCACACTTTGAGTACGTTGCGCTGCTCGTTGACCAACAGGTTGTCGGGCTTCAGGTCAGCATGGAGGATATTGCACTTGCGCATTAGGCTCAATCCCAGGAAGATCTGTTGGGCGTATGCTCGAATCGCACGCAGGTTCAACCCTACATCTCGGCCAAACTTCTTCAACACCTCGCGCAGATTCATGCTGAGATTTTCAAACACCATGCACAAATGACCCTTGTGCTCGAAGCTCCGTTCAAACTTGATCATGTGTTTCTTGTCATCCGGGTCTGCTTCGCGGAGTTTCTCCAAGATGTCGATCTCCTTAAGCCCAGCCTTCTTCATCGTGTCATTCTGGCGGATTATCTTGATTGCCACAACACTACCGGTCTTTGAATCCTTTGCCCGAACGACAGACGAGAACATTCCCTTGCCCAGATTCTGTTGCACATGGTAACGCCCGTCAATCAACTCACCGATCCGGAGGTTATAGTATCCTTCCGGATCATCCCAGTTGTCCATCATGCTGACGTCGAGCTCTCGAGCTTGAGGTACAGCAATGGCGGACGCATGCGCTGGCTGTGTCGTTTCTTCCGTATCTTCAGCGAACATATCATCATCGTCATCAGCAAACATATCATAAGGATCTTTTGCCTTTGGTTCCGGCTGCGGCGGCGCGTCCGGGATGAGCACATCCTGCTTGGTGGTCTTCGTTTCATCATAGCTCGCGGCAGAAACTTCGTTACTCTGCCCGCCGTGCCTTTCTCTTTCGGCTTTCATGTCAATAGTAGGATCATAGTCTGCAGCTGAAGGCTCATCTTTGTCCGCACCGTCCGCGGCGCCGTCTTGCACCAAGTCCGAGTCCTTGCCAATGCTAAAGTCGGGAAACGAATTGCCGTCCGGAGTGGCCGCCGAGTCTGCAAATGTTATTACCAGGAAGGAACAAGGCATAAAAAAGCTTACCTGGTGTCTCGTTACTCGGGGTAGCCGCTTCGCTCGTGGGGGTTGCACCCCTATCACCACCGAGATGCAGTGCTTGAATGCGCAGGGGCGTCGCCTGCTCTCTATATTTAGCTTTGATGGCTTCGCGCCGTTTACGCCGGGCCTCGAGCTGAGCGGCTTCGTCAAGAGGTTCGACCGGCTCGGCGAAATCTTGGCCATTTACACTGAGCAAGTTAGCATGTCGACTGTCAACTAAGAGGAAGACATACCTATTGTCACCATCCGTGGAAGCGGCCGTGGAAGCTGCCTGAACCTGATTTTCCTGAGTTTCAGCATCCTGTCTAGAATCTCGAGCGACAGCTGAGGGTCTCCCCCGTTCGCTCACTGACTGTTCAGTAGAAGACCTTGGTTTGCTCTGTGAGGCCTCGCTGCCCTCTCTCCGCGATCGCTGCGATTCCCACTCGTCGCCCGAGTATTGTTTGCGTTTCCGAACCCCGCGGTAAGGCGATCGACTCCGCGTACGCTGCCGCTTCTCCCTCCGTCGGTCATAGTCATCGTCGTATCGAAGATCCGCAAGCTGGTTTTCTTCACGGTCGTAGTCGTAGTAAGACCTAGGTTGCCTCTGGTATCCTCGATCATTGTCATGTCGATGGCCCACGCGTCGCGGCGGTGGCGTTCGTCCGGAGCGTTTGTCGTCATCATAGTCATATCCATAGTCATCATAGTCGTAGTGTTCCTCCCGTCGACGCTTATATCCTCTATAGTCTCGGTACGGAGAGCGCGACCGCGACCGCGACCGCGACCTGGTCCTAGATCTCTGGCGACGAGGCGACTTGGTCACCGATGCGGATGAACTAAGTCTGGTGGGACGGTCAACGCTGTTGCCATTAAGGTGAGATTGCGACGTAGTTGCCTTCGTCTCCGAACCTGATTCGATGATTTCGCCTTCTGAGGCGGTCGATGACCTACGTGAGGACATTGCGGCCTCTCTAATGCCACTCAGTAGACGCGATTTCACCAGAAGTTCCTGGACAGCTTCGCAAATAAGAAGAATGACGCTGGTTAGCGAGAATGCTTCCAGAAGTGGGCGTTGGGAGTGATTAGAAAGTCCAACCGACTGGGTAAAGACGCCACAGCGCTATCTATCTTATCACTATCGGGCAATGTAGACCATGAATCTTTTGAATGGAACAGATGTCAGGCGAATTCGACGACTCGGATGGATTCGCGACTTCGACGGCGACGTCGCTCGCGTCGAGCTCAGTCACGGGAAAGCCCGAGTTTAGACTAAACCCGTTTAGGACTCAGTCCAGCCCCGCCGCTGGCGATCCTTCTGCTCACTTTTTCCATTACTCCGTACCCTCTCCTTATCGTCGCAAACATCACCGATTCTTCCTCCAAAACTCTCAACCCAAACTTCTCTTACGCATATCACAATGGGTGGCGCAAGCAGAGAAGGTAAGTCTTGCGCGCAGACGCGACCACGCCTCATTTTGTTCCAGCTCGCTAAATCTCTTATCTAGGCGGCAAAGTCAAGCCCCTCAAGGCGGCTAAGAAGGACAAGAAGGAACTTGACGAGGATGACCTCGCCTTCAAGGAGAAGCAGAGAGCCGGTACGACTATCCTTTTGACCTTTCACAAAATCATCATCGCTAATCGCTCTTCGAATCTGCAGAGGCCAAGGCCAAGAAGGACTTGATGGACAAGGCCAAGGGCAAGGGACCGCTGAACACCGGCAGCCAGGGTATCAAAAAGTCCGGCAAAAAATGATCTCGCCGCCCGCTTCTCTTTTACGAATTCAACGAGCCACGAGCCACGAGAGCAAGGGAGGTTCTCTCTACCCGGTGGCACTGATCCCTGCGCTTCGCTTCGCTTCGCATATAAGCGTCTATTGATACCTACTTCCTGAACTACGTCTTATACATACAATCCGCATGTTTTTCTCTAGTAGCATGGACTGCTTCTAAGGATTCATAAAGGAGTCTTTTTCCTGGTTTCTAGGACCTGCGAGATATGAAAAAGAAGGGTATCATTCGCGCACTGCCAGGTACAATGAGATATTACCAATGCTGGGCCAACATATTAAGACGCCGAGAACATAGACCGGCTAAACCCGAAGTAACCGGCATGGTAGCTGAAAACATGCCCAGACAAGAACAAAAACAGAAACAACATAAATAAAAAAAATATAGCTAGCTGGTCACTCGCTTGACCCATAGGCTGCTGCTTGCACCGTAGAAATCACCATCATCGCGCTTCTTCCACGCTCGGAGCAACTTCAGGCCGATGTCATGCTCTTCCTTTTGAATGTCGGCCAACTCGCTGTTGAGACTGGCAACCGTCTTTTTGACTTCTTCACGGGCAGCCATATCGTACGCTATAGAGCTCGGTTGGATGACCTGCGTCAACTCATTGATCATCGTGCTTATATTCGCTTTGCGACGCACGAGCTCGGCCCTCTTCGCTTCCAGCATGTCTATGCGACCCTGGACGGTCATCTCAGCCGGGTTTGGAGGAAGCGCCTTGTTCGAGATTTCGGACGGGGTGGGCTTCCTAACGGGGCGCTTCCCGGGCGCAATAGCGCTAGGCACCGGTCGTGATCGAGACATGATTGAGCGGGTGGTATCAGTAGATCGTTGCGACGCTGTTTCGATGATGCTTGGCGGTGGGCTAGGGGTTATGCTGTTTCTCGGGCTTGGAGTCGAACTTTCGACTTCGGTGGTACCATAGGTAGTCACACTGAAGCGACTTGTGGGTTCGTTATATTCATCATCGGCAAGCGTTAAGTCAGTCAGGCTGGCGCTCAGATCAGGACTGGATACAAGATCCACACGTGGCGGGGCAGTGCTGGTGACGCTGACAGCACTAGCGTTACGGCTCTGAGGTGCGTCATGCCCATACGGCCCCTGCGGCCTTGGCCGAGGTTGAGGCTGCTGCCTGTGGTTCTGTTCGCCAGCGGTGATTATCGTGGTGAATGTTCCGGAACTTCCCACTATAGGAGACGGAGTGTTCATCTCTCTCAGCCGGTCGCTACTCCGTGAAAAATGTAGACGGGATGATGACCGGTTCCTGGGCTTCTCTTGGATTGGATAGACCATGGGTGAGCGCCCACTTTGTCCCCTCCATGGCTCTCGATGAACAAAGGGAGTCGCTTCACCGGCGTAAAATCGATTACGGGATTCGGACGTTTTCTTCCTTGAATGCAAATGCTCCTTGCCCCAGTCCATGAGCTTCGAGCTGTTGGATCGCTGGCGGGGGGCAGATACGTGTGTTTCGAACGAAACATTGCCGGGGTTGACCTGTCCGAACCTCCCATGGTTGCTCGTAGTCGGCTCGCCAGAGAAATTGTCCCATTTTGTAGCATTGGCCTTGGACAGCGGGTTCAACGGTTGGTCTAGTTTTGAGTCGGCGCGCTTTCGAGGCACGGGTATCTGACTTGAGAATTTGAGGCCGCTCGCTTGCAGTGGATCATCTTCTATAGGGGAAACTCGGGCGCTGTCTCGGCTGTTGGGGGTCTTGATGGGAGAGTCAGGAGGGGAGATGTCGACACTCCTCGTTCCTTGAGCGTGGCCATTGGCGGAGTCCGGAGGGTCAAGCTGTGGTGGGAACTGGTGTGTATCACTGATAGAGCGTTGACGATGATGGTCAAAGTTGACTGTGTCCCTCGAGTAAATCGAAGACGGCGCCCGCTGGTTGGGCTCTAGCTGATACGAGGTGAACTGCGAACTGAAGCCGCTACTAGAATTACTGTCAGTATCATCATCAAGTGGCAATGGTTGATGTCTTCGTACGGTGACAACGGCAATGTCGGCAATGCTTTTGCAGAGATGTCTCGTTTGTGATTATTGACTGTCGAAGGCTGGTGGACTCGAGAGTCTGTTAACACAGGAATGTCACTCGAGGGCTTGCGGGTGCGAAAAGACGCTTTTCCCCACATAATGAGCTGGTCTATGGCTAAGAAGTCAGTAGAGGCTCTCTTACTTTGGACCACGGTCTTGCATGGGATGGACTCACCTTGATTGCGTCAGACAACCAACTACGTTTAAGAAAGGTAAAAGAAAGTAGAAGATCCAGGTACTCAACACCTGAAAAAGAATCCCGATGTATGTACTTCAAGCAATTGACATGCCTGCACGTCGTTCACAAAGGATCGCGAACTGACTCGAAGCGGGCTCTCGGGCAACGGTTCATAACAAGGAACCAGTAAAGAGGGGAAAGGCAGAGGGGGCCAAATAAAGAAAGAAACAGTAAGGAGGGAAGCAAAAGCGCAGGCTGAAAGAGAATGGCAAATGCAATACTAGCAACGGGCGCAGCCACGGGCTTGGAGATGAATGAGAGGATAGGAAGAGAAATTTGTTTGCGCGGGCGAACGAGAGGAGGGCCAGGCCAACACATCTGGATAATCAAACGACGCGGATCGATCATGTTCACAGGCTCAGGCTCAGGCACAGGCACAAGATCATCCAGGGCCCAGTTTCAGACTAGCAGGTTCTGGTCTAGCAGGCTATTGAAATTGTGGTCCCATCCATCTGAAACTGGCACGTTATAAATAGTCAACGTCTCCGTTCGCGCCGCGCAACCGACAGCCGCTGTCGCTAGAAAATAAACACAGGCTACGGGATACGAAGTAGATTGGGTCGAGATCTTCTCAGCCAATACATGTCCTAGCCTCCTAGGCCTCAGGGCCCTTCCAGACTCTAACGAACAGTTTCCACCATACGCAGTGTCTTGAACGATGGATTGACGTGCCCCCTTTCGCTATACTCCGAGGTTGCTCTACAAACGCCGCTGCAAACCAATCAGTCCCCGACTCTATAGGTTGCACAGCATTTCTTGAACATTCCGAGGTTATGATACTATTACTGACCATGGCCGGGGCCCGGTTGTCGGATATTGTGGCACCGTGGCGTTTGTCGTTATACATACTCATTCAATCAACATTGGAGTATATTCCGATCTCGATCCAGCGATAGTCTCGCCAGCTGAAAGACTTAAGCATATCAACATAATACTCGACCCGGAGGGTACATTAAATACCCCTAGCCATTTTGATCGTGACCCAGCTTAGAAGTCCAACGTTCCTGACCCAGATTTCTATGTACTCGTGGCGGCCCAGTCGATGCTATCGATAGCTTCTTTTGCACAGGTCCCATCCTTCATCCTTTATGACATGATCCGCCATGGCTGGGGGCGCGGAACAAAGAGCAGATAAGCCCAAGACATCAAATGAGAAATGACATCTAATTCGGGTGTCACATTAACCACGAGGCGAGACAACGTCAGGCTTGTGATAGAATATCCAATGCTTTATTAACTTGCAAAGGAAGCCGACCTGATGAAGCAAAATCTACAACTCCATACCGGCCGGCATGTGCAAACGTCTTGCCATCCTCCAACTCTCCCTGGCACTGGTCACTCCAGTGCTAGGTATCTCCTACCCAGCAACCATCGAAATCGACCTCCTATTTCCCCGGAATGAGACCTACAACAATATGACCGGGTTCCCCATCGTCTTCGCACTCCAGAACGCTGATGCCGCTGGCACATTCGGATGGGATTTCGACTGGCAGTTCACTCGGCTGGACGGAGATGGAAACAATAAGTTCCTGGATTTCTATACCGGCTCGCTGCTAGACGACAGTCCGACATCCAATGATTTCAGATACCAGACCGACGATATTTTGATTGTCCCGGGCAAGATCTACAGCGAAAACAACTACTACATACGCCCCGGTACATACAGCGTCTCTTGGAGATACTACACATCGACGTGCACGAAGACGAACGGCACGACATATATCAATGACCAGACCATGGCCGCGCACGCAAACAGCACCGTCATCTTCACTGTTGTCGCTGACGGGAGTGGCTTGGATTTCGAAATTCCAGCAGACGAATGCCCGGTTTATTCAGGGCAATGGACGGCGGAAAGTGGAACGTCGAGTGACTGTCCCGTTCGCGACCTGGAAGTGCTTGAGCCCTCGGATCCTTGTAAGGCGCAGCTCAGTAAGAAGCAACTATCTTGTCTGCAGAATTGGTTTGCCGGGAATAACGGGTCGCATGTGTGTCATTCCAGTCTGAAGCAGTGGGATGTGTTAAGGGAATCTGCTGCGGCCAGTCTTGTGCCGGGAGTGCCATATCTGTTGTTTTCAGCGCTCCTAGGGATGATCGTGGAGTCTATATAGCCAATATGAGCTCTGTTCTTAGGCTGGAGGCATACTAGTTCAACTAGATGTGGCTGTATATGTCCTAGGTACTGTGTAGTGATAGGAAGCAGGGTTATTTGTTAATGCCTTGCTCCTCAGGCTATAGATCACGTGCCATATATACAGCCAATAGTGCCGTCATAGATTACGGACCACGGCCGACAGTATCGCCGACAAGAAGCAAACACCGTCTTACTCGCACCTTTCTGTTTCTATTTGATTCTCATTCCCAATACCATCACAGTCAATCTCATCGCTGCGCTCCTGCCCTAGGCTTTATACCGACCATGTCCGCAGGTACGCCATCCCCGCTTCCCTTTTTCACTCAGCAACTATATACTAACTTACCCCCCAACAGACGGAACAGCTCCGCAAGCAGAGGTGTCAGTATTCTCTACTATCTCATCAGCGCAACCAAAGCAAGCCTTAAGCTTACACAAATACCTGTCTAGGGCCTCAATCGCCACCCCCATAAACCTTCTCCTCTTCTCCGTCTTCGCCCTCCTCGTCTACACGCAGCTTCGCCCTAAGCCTCCCGCCGTGCTCCCCAAGGCCCCCGCTCCCGTTGTCTTCCGCACCTTCACACCAAAAACACTTCTTCCCTTCAACGGTGAGAACGGCCAGCCCGTCTACCTTGCCGTGCGCGGGCGCGTGTTTGATGTTTCGCCTGGACGGAACTTCTATGGGCCGGTACGCTCCCGCCCCTTATACATGACGGCATTCTATTTTGGCTACGGAACTGACCTGATACGGTGTAGGGCGGACCCTACGAGAACTTCGCTGGCCGCGACGCATCCCGTGGCTTGGCCCACCAGAGTTTCGATAGGGAGATGCTCACAGAGGACCTGTCGGGACCGTTGGATGATCTCAAGGATCTGAATGCGGACCAGTTGGAGAATTTGCAGAGCTGGGAGGAGCGCTTCTCGGAGAAGTACCTTGTTGTCGGGAAGTTGGTTGCTGAGGGGGATGCGGAAGCGCCCAAGTCTTGAACGCTGGATAACGTTGTTGAATGCGGCAAACTGTTCGGTGACTGGATGAATAGTGGATGCGATAAGCTTAGGCTCTCAAGATTGCCTTGAACAGCGAGATTTCGGTTTGATGATAATACTTGGCATGTTTTATGTAGCTATTTCGGGATCTTTGATGGTTGTCTCCATTGGGGTTACTGTTCCTATGTTCTATACGGGAAACGCGAGGTTTTATGGGCAGCGTTTTATTTGCTTGAGAACAATATCTGCATTCGAATTTCCTACTTAATGATACCAGGCAAAGACAGTCAAAGGTGTTGTTTGACCAGGATCGAAATATATATTCTGAACGCCATCAACTGCGAGGTTTTGTACTAGTTGTTCTTCAAGGAGATCATCAATTGATTGACCTATGGAATTACCAAACTATTTCGTAAGAGTAAAGTACAAGTCATAAGAGAGCCGCGCGTAAGCATAAAGAAAAAACGTTCGTTCAATCATGCGCAACTAGCATTTGCTTCGTCATGTTCAGAGTTCAGAGCGAACCTCTTCGGCTTTCTTTTCAGCCTTGTCCTGCAACTTTTCAGCAGCCTCCTGGCCCTGAGCTCTACCGCTCGCAGCACCAATCTTCAACTGATCCAGCAGCCATTGTGCAGCGTTGCTGAACTTCTGGTACAGGGCGCCCTGAGGGGTGGAAGTGCCGTATCGGAACCAGTGAGCGTTTCGGCGAGCTGTAGCGCGGAGCTCGTTCAGCTCGGTACCTTGGTAGACTGGGACGCCGTAGGAGTCGAGGTAGCTCTTGAGGTCCGACTCGGACCAGGAGTCGAAGGTGGCGTCCTTTGCGCTAGCGGTGGCTTCGTTGATGTAAGAGGTCGCGGAAGCAAGCTGGTCACCACCGGCCTTTGTTGCCTTTTCGTACTGGCTCTGAGCTTCCTTGACGAGTTCATCGCGAGTGACGCCAGCGCGGTGGGCGACCTTGGAGTTCACTGAAGAGAGGTACTTCCTAGGGGTTGTTAGCATTGTGCGATGGGTTTGAGATGTCTGACGTACTTCAGGTGCTCAGTGTCCCAGGTATCAAAGGTCCAGGCGGTCCAGCCAGTGGCAGCCTTGTGCTTGTTCAGTCGGACCTTGGCAATGAGCTCGTCGCGCTTGCTCTTCTGAGGAACAGGAACGCCTCGAGAGTCAAGGAAGGCCTTCAGGCGAGAGTCGGACCAGGCGTCAATGGCAGTATCAAAAGCTTCTTGAGACTTCAAGCTTGCATTGTCAGTAGCACGTGCGTACTCGTTACCGGCTCTGGATGTAGCAGCGCCGATGTAGTCAGAAGCCGTGGAGGAAGCCGAGGAGGATGCTGAGGAGGCTTGTTCGACAAGAGCAGCGCGGTGCTTGCGTGCCAACGCAATGAGCTCATTGCGCTTGGAGCCCTGAGGAACGTGGATACCATGCTCGTCGAGGAATCTCTTGAGATCGGAATCGGACCAAGCATTGAATAGAGCTTCACTCAAGGTCTCCTGTGCGGCATTGGCCGACTGGACAATGGAGGCACCGATGCTCTTTGCTTGCAGACTAGCGAGGCGAGTATTACGACGGACGGCAGCAATCAGGCGGTCCCGAGTGCTGGGTTGAGGAGCGGGCCATCCGCGCTCATCAAGCCAGAGCTTTAGATCAGAGTCGCTCCATTGCTCGAACAGCCAGTTTCCAGGGTAGTGAGCGGCTTCGCCAAGTTTCTTGGCGACGGCTTCGTAATTCTCACGAGCCGTCTTGAGTAGAGTGTCGCGGCGACGAGGCTGAGGTGAAGGGATGCCATGTCGGTCAAGAAAAGACTTTAGCTGGGAGTCGGTCCACCTAATCCTGTTAGCAAGGCTACACTGAAGTGGCTATTTTAGGCTTACGTGTCGAAGATCCATTCCTTGGTGTTCTCCCAGCGATCCCCAGTGTGATCTGAGAGTTGTCCCAGCGGTTTCTGAACCTTTAGATCCCAGTTCGTCTTCACAGCGTTTTCGAGTTCCTTGCGATCAGCAGGCGAGGAGTAGGGGATGTCTGGGGTTATAGTCAGCTTGTGTAACAAGAGAGGGGTGTGTGCCAGTACCATGATCAGCAAGCCAGCGCTCAAGCTCGGTCTCGTGCCATTTGTTGTAAACTAGAATTGTTAGCCAGACTCACCACCCGCCTAATCAGACTTACCAGCTTTACCAAACCAGGTGGACGCCCCGACCGCGTCAGCGGTTGCAAGTGTGCACACCAACCAGGTGGCCAGGTGTAGCTTCATCGTTCAAGTCCAGGTCTTTCGTGTGGCGAGATGAATTGATAGTAGATGGTTGTGAGGAGATGATGAAACTAAAATGAGGGAGTGATCCAGAGTTGAGGCTACTGATTCTGGGAGATTATAAGAGAGGAGGAGATGGTTGATTTAAACCAGGATCTTGCTAGAAGTCCACTGACAACGGAGTGACGTATTGGCGCAACAAAACTGCGTTTGGCGGCGTCATAGGCAGTGAAGTGTGGCATTACCTACTGGTCAACCAAATGCAGAAGCTTTTAGTGGTGTCATTGTCCTGGCCGGCCGGGCTGGGGAAGATCAATCGGCGATCTTGCATCCATCATACTCTGTCTGCTGCTCTACTACTTTGCTGAAGCTATATCGATGACGCTATATGGACGCTATATGGACGCTAGTGTTTACATCTTCCAGCCAGAGTCCACCTGTTTCGATAGCCATTCTGTCTGTTTAATATTACTAGTCAGGCTACTACAACAGGTGGGTCTCAGTCTTCCATAGGGGACCAGAGGAAAGGCGGTAAAAGATGTCAGAACCCTGCTTGGAGATCGGGCCTGGCCACCTGACGAAGCTATCCCCTTTTGGTTGGAATGCGGAGACAACCTCCCACTCTTCTCTGTCAACAGACAAGACAAACTACTCCATCGTTTATTCTTAGTGTGGTCAGTCACCGATGCCCTTTGAGGATCTCGGCTCGAAAAAGCAAACAGGCGAACCTGAAAAATCTTCTCCGTTCGGGACCATGTGTTGACATCTGATCGAACCATCTGGTGGTCTGGTAACTGCCGCGACCAACTCATCTCCCCAGCCCAAGGTATCAAGCTCATACTCTGCGACATATTATACGGCCTTGCCGTGAAGCTGCGTTTATACGGCCTAGATATATCGAAATGGGTCCTTCAGATTTGCAGTGCGGACATCTGGTTTCGCCAGGAGTGATGAACTTTGTCCTCTCTATGTATGTTTCCCGTGATAACCATTGCGTCGTCACTGACCAAAGCCAGCCTTATTGTTCTCGGAATCCTCTTTTCCTATCTGCCTCAGTTAATCCGAATCGCTGCGCTAAGGAGCTCCTTTGGAATTTCGCCATACTTTGTCTTGTTGGGGACGACGTCGGCCACATTTGCTTTGGCAAACATGGTGTCGCAACAGCAGACGCTGCAAGATGCCGCATGCTGCAAGGATGTCAGCGGATTATCGTGTTTCGCAGGGCTTCTAGGGATCCTGCAAGTTGCGACGCAGCTGCTTAGCTTCTTCGCGATGTAAGTTCGGCACCCTGTTCGCGGAGTCTGCGAGGCTAACCTGACCTATAGTCTTGCTCTCTTTGTTGTTTTCTTTCCGCGGGAAAAGTCGCCTTCTCTCTCATTGTCGCCAAAAGAAGAACCTACATATCGGACCGCGCTGGTTGTGGCCTTTATATGTATCGTCCATGCGGCGGTCATGCTGATCGTCACCCTTGCTGTCGGCTTCAAGATGCCGTCTTCGCTGCAATCGTGGTCGAATTTTTGCGGCGTCACTGCCGCCATCCTCGCCTCCATCCAATACTTCCCTCAAATTTACACTACGCTCAGACTGCGCTGCGTGGGCAGCTTGAGCATACCAATGATGTGCATTCAAACGCCTGGTGGCTTAGTTTGGGCAGGCAGCCTGGCAGCGCGGCTGGGCAGTAAGGGCTGGAGCACGTGGGGTATTTTGATTGTTACGGCGTGCTTACAGGGCACTCTCCTCGTCTTATCCGTGTTTTTCGAATACCTTGGCCCTAACAAGGGTCATAGCCACGACTACAACAAGGACACTGCTCGAAGTCAGTCCGCCGAAAGCAGCGATGTCCAAGATGAAGACGGTCCATACGAAGAAACGCCACTCCTTCGGGAAAGTCGTTGATACGGCGCTGCAACTTGTCTCGCTCTCGACCTGCTTGCTATCAATGAATAGTCCTTCACAGCAATTTTAGCGCATTCGCCTATCCATGCTATGTAAATGTAAGTTGTTAGTATGTCTTGCCATATTATAGAATAAGTTAGGCATCAGGCAACTCGGGAATGGCCAAATCGATAGAACTGACTTCGAAGGTGCAGCTCAATAATATTCATTTAAGTGAGTCAGCCAGGCGGCGTCACAGAAGTAGGCGCAAGTAGCAGCTATCTCCCTCAGCAGCATGAGCCAACTGGCAAGGGAGCCGGTCTGGAAGTTCCACCCTTTAGATCATAATATTCATAAATTCTTCTCCTATTAGAGCCACAGCCATCCACCTCCAATATCTCGTACATGAACGTCTAAGCGTTGTAAATCAAGCGGAAGACGTCGTTGAAGACGAAGTAGCTTCCAGCGCCATCGGGCATAAGCTGGAAAGTCTGTGTGTAGTTCATGGGGTTCTGCTCCTCATCAACCTGGAACGAACAAGCAAATCAGCCACATTCGTTGTACGTTTGTCTTGATAAACATACCAGGAGGGCACCGGTAACCAGAACCAGGATGCCGCCGTGCTCACCCGAGGGCTGAGCGTCGAGGGTAGCGACCTTGTGTTGCACCTTCTGGAAGGGCAGACCCTGTTCAAGAATATGTTAAAATCAGAGCAAGGACAGCAAAAGATTGTTTGTAAATGAGTTTCCGCCCTACTCCAGCTGAGACTAGAGCAGCGGAACGCAACAGGAATTCAATAACCATGCGGGAGGTACCAGAGGTACTCACGGTGAGCTTCTCAATGATACCGGCAACGCCCTGAACAGCGGAGGTCTCAAATGTGAGCATGGAATGGTCGCGCTGTTGGATACCCAGACTTGTCAGCGTTCCTGTTCGATATATAGCCTAAAGGATGAGGGCAACGTACGTAGAGGGGCGCGAGGCCGGCGCGGTTACCATCAAAAGTCTGATAGTAGAAGGTGACAAATTGTTCTGTGAGAAAGTGTTAGATTTCGACTCTGCTCCGCTTTTCGTTGTTTGTTTCGCAGATAGCAGGAAAGTTGGCAAAGTAATAGAGACGGCGCAACGTACGAGCGATGCTGGTAAAATCTAGAGATAGCAGAAGAAGTCATTAGCATATTTTCGTCCCCATCATTCTCATACAAGTCCAATTGTGGCTTTTGTTGGCATGGAGGGGTTGGATTCTGAGCCCCAAGGAGGGGCAAACAAAACATTGACGGAAATGCGACGGTGGTCGCGGGGACGGAGGGAACATACCGGCCATTTTGATGGATATGGTTTGAGGAATATGTGAAGGAGATGAAGAGAGAAGAGTTTGAATTGGATGCGAAAGAGGTAATAAGGAGAAATGAGAGTGATTGCCCGATCAATAGCCTGAAGAGAGAAGCCTGAGGAGGAATTCCCGAGGAGCGCACAATTGTGGGGCTGGCCTGAGCGTTGCCTTCGAATCTACGGCATCATATCAACAGCGGGGATCTAGAAGTATCTACTGGGGACAGACTGCATAAATGCTCTCAATAAGGTGTCAATCATTCATACACATCATGAATTACTCTACTCTTCCGGATCTGAGTCTGCAAACATGTCCTCTGCTCGGGGCCGTAGTTTGCGAACCGACCCAGCTGGTATCTCCGGGGGCTTTTCAGATGCAGTCTCAGGTCGCTCTTGGGGGCTGTCCCCTTCCTCAATATCTTCAAGTGGACTCCCATCAATATCTTCTAGATCACTGTCCTCCATTGGTTCGCCATCAATGTCACTCATCGGCTCACCGTCGACGTCCATACCTTCCGGAACCTCCTGATCAACCTCCATTGGACTTGGTTTGGCTTCGGAGGGTTGACTTGGATCAAAACGTGCAGCAGACGAGTCTTCGTCAACAGCCTTCCAGCGGCTCTTGTTCTTGGAGAATGCAGCGGCAGCTCGTTCAACCTCAGCCTTCTCCTTCTCTTCCCGCAGTTCTTCCTCCGTGAGCGGCGGCTTCTCGAAAACCTGGAAGAAATGCTCTTGGCTTGATTGCGGAAACACGCACCACCCTTCCCAGAGATGTAAAAGGGAGCCAATGCTACGTTTCCACTTCTCTGCCCTCAGTCGCCCCCAACTCAGCTCTTTCTCTAGCCTCCCAAGGTGTTCAAAGACCTCATGTGCTTTGAGTGCTGATTCGAATAGCTGTCGATATCGCCAGGCATGTCGCACTCCGCTGGTTGCGGATGAGGAAAGGATGTCAGATATCAGGTACAAGCCGACTAACTTTGCAGAAGACGTATCCAGCTTCTCCTTCCCTGTGCCATCTATTGGCGCTGCAGTGGCATCGTCACCGTTCTGCTCCTTGCGGGCAAGTCCCTTCTCCAACTCGCGATCAGGGTTCGCCCCAGTGTAAGCGTACGGTTCGATGATGTTTGACACAATCATCTCAACCACCTCATCGGCTCCTGCGCCCGCGTGTTTGATAGCGAATGCAGTGACCCGCGCCACATCGCCTTTGCGTAGCTTTGCATGCGTTGTTGGAAGTCGTGCAAGGAGGTGAGCCAATTTTGCCTTTTTTAGAGGATTCATATGGCCCAGCCCTTCATTGCCCGCTCCAAGTCCGTCTGTGGGAGGCGCTCCACTCTGCTGACGTCGGTCTTCCTCTCCATCGGACATGTCCTCATCCGACGAATCATAGTCGTCATCAGAGACAAGTTCATCCAGCCGAGTGGTATGCTCAAAGGTAAGGCTAGCTTCTGGGTATTTCCAGCTTGCGCCGCCTTCGAATATCGGTAGTAGGCGCCCTCGTTGGTCTTTAGAGCGGCCATTTGTGATAATATCCCATAACTTCCACCGATAATATACCCCGCTAGGGCTTCTTGCGTCCCATAGCCAGGCCCATTTCTCCTCTCTTTGGACTTCCGGTCGGCTCATGAGGAGAGCCTCGAACTCGGGCCCGTAGTTTAAGAGATTCTCCAAGGTCTTGTGGATCAACCTCAACTGCTTTAGGTCGGATGGTGCTTTCACATCCACTTGCAAAGTAGAGCTGCTGCCACCATAGGAAGGCCCATATGAGCTTGGAGGAGCAAACCCACCACGATGGAGACCAGGCGGCGGGGCGCGGTTCAGTCGACCCCCTAGTTCCGGAGCCACTGATTTTGCGCCAAATGGTAATGTGCCCGTGGACGACGGCCCGATTGCAACAGTCGAGCCAATCGCAGCAGATGACAGATGCCTCGAGATAGACAAATAGTAACCCCATCCTAGATACCGGTTTTGCAGAGCACTGACGCTGCTATCGATATCAGAGGCGGCAGATTCACTAGCAAGGGTCACGATAGCCGACACTGATTTTCTCTCGGTAGCGGTCTGGCCCGTAGGTCGTAGGAACTTGACATTATCGACGTTGAGCACCGTGGGTATCAGAGACTTGACAACAGATTGAGACGTCCCAGGGGGTAGAGACGCAAGATATAAGGTCGGCTTAGCCGCAGCTTTCTCAGCTTCCTTCGCGTCCGCAGCGCCCTCATCCTCGTCGTCTGAGGCGCGAAAGGCAGATGCCGTAGCCGCATTGGCAGTATTATCAAATCCGAGCGTCCCTTGCGCAGAATCTCTATTCCGGTGTAAAGGCTGAAACCCCTCGTGGTTTCGTTTGCGAGACAGTGATGGCGGAGGTGGTCCCAGTGTTCCAGGACCGCTCATGCGCGGCCCGGAGCTCGTGAAATGCCGCTTTGCAGGCCCTCCTCCAAAGCCAGTGTTCCTGTTCCCGAATCTGTTTGGCTTTCCCTCGAATGTCGAGCGCTCGGGAGCTGGTGAGTCATCTTCAAATGATTTGACAAAGTCTTCGTAAACCGCAGCTGTCTCGGCGCGTTCGCGGGCACGTTTGGCTTCGGCTTCGGCTTTCTGGCGTTCGAAGAGCGACTTCTTGGCTGGGGCAGATAGCTTCGACGGCACGTCTGGGAAAGCCTTGGGTTTGAAATTGTCTGCCATGCTAACAAAGCTGCAGATGTAGTCAGCCAACCATCAACAGTATCACAGGGTGCGTGTCGAATGTCAAATCTCAGCTTGCACAGCGAGTTGTCATTGGAAAGCTGTCCCGCGGACTCGGAGCGGAGGCGGCTACTTATACCTGAAAATTCAGGCACCTAACTTAATACGAGAGTACTGTCCCTTCGATTAGACTACAGTCCTCAAAATCTCATCTCTTCGTCAACTCTGCATAAGACAGTAAAGACAGGAATATGGCTGCTTCTCAGGTGCAATCACTTCTCCGATTCCTATCGCAAGATGCCAAAGTGCCCTTAGCGACGGCCATGAGCAAAGTCAATGAACTCCGCAAGGCAGACCTTACAACGTACGGCACAAGTTCCGACAGGTGATGCGAGTTACTGACTTAATTGTAGCGCCCAAACTATATCAAACGGAGAGCTGAAGACATTACAGGAAATATTCAAAGACGATAAACTCGCGAAGCAAGTGCTCAATGCGGCAAGGAGAACGTCCAAGAAACGCAGTGCTCCTACAGAAAGCACAGGTAATTCACGCCCGAAAAAGTCTAGACCATCATTACAAGGAGGTGCAGCTACTCCATTTGCAATTGAAAGTGCACTGGCCCTTCCAGTCTCAACAGCTAGTGAAGAAGAGCTGTCGAACATAGTGCTGCTCACAAATAGAGCACCACTAGTACTTGCCTTTGCTGTCTGCGTCTTGAAATATACAATGCCCGAACAGCCACTCTCGAGTAGGCTTAGCCTGGCTCAAGCTGTTGTCAGCGCCAATAGCCGCTCCAAAGCAGTCAGCTTAGGCCTTGAAGGCGGGAAATCTGCTGAACAGGAAGGATGGGGCGAGGGCCAACCAACAGTTTCGGTTCTGAATCGAGACATCAAAGTGCTGAAACGGTGGGACTACAACCCTCGAGAGGGCCGATCCGCAGAGGGATTTCAGGATGTGGACCATGATATATTAGGGGAAGTTCGTACGGACGATTCAGAAACAGCGCCGCCACTTTGGGGTATCGACGTAGAAGCGTTGAAACATGCAGAATCTCATGGTTCGGAAGCCACTGCGAAAACAAACACGGCACTTCCTATCTATACCCCTCAGTCAGCACGCTCATATCTCTTCAAATCATTCCTAAGAACCCCCAGCGAGGCTAAAAAGGAATCAACGCCACCAAAAACAAAGAGCCCGACACAGGTCGAAGTGGAAAGGGGAGTCTGCCTGGGTTACCTCCTACGGTCCATTGATCTGTTGTGTCAATCATGGGCTCCCACGTTGAGCGCGGATGATCTAGATAGACGTGCTTGGGCTTGGTATGTCCGGGTCAGGCCCTCGGTACATAGTGGAATAGAAGGATGGGGAGAAAAAGGAGCTGTGAAGCTATCGGAGATTCTGGCCTTGAGAAGACAGTCATGACCGCCTGGTGAAGTTTGACCGTTTGACAAGATCACCAAGGCCATTGGCGCTTCGTTCGATGACCATGTTGTTACGGCATGAAACCGCTAAAGACAGGGCATTCCTGGTTTATCGGCGCCATTCCACCCATCTCGTAATGGAATTCGGAAACCTCTTGTTGGTCCCAGGTAAGCACAAGTGGCCGTGGCCTACTGAGGTGTTATTACTATCGACTTGTGAGATTAATGATCATAGTGTCAGCGAATATACGATCACTCGCTGTACAAGGCCACGCCGAAGCCGTCGAACACCCGCTGGAGCTCCAGCCGACTCTTCTTATAGCCTGCATGTTTTAGAAAGCCGATATCGATATCGTTCTTTATGGGTCTAGAGAGAACGGACTACCAGCGCCTTGCTTTTCTTTTCTCTCTTAGAGAAGATTGCTAAACTGTCACGATGCAGCAATAGAAAAGCTGACAGTCCATGCATGCATGCAGTTACGAGGCCTGAAACAGTGTCTCGTCCTCGAATTAGAGGCCACCCTCAACCGGGTAAGTTTGCGTCATGCGAAAGGGATTGAAAGTGAACGAAGGGGGCATGTCACAATGGTCAGATAGTTGATCCCAGGGTAGAAAGGCTATCTGTCAATTTGACTTAAAAAATTGCAGAGTTCCATGGGTCAAACTAGCTACTTGACTTGATGCACCAAGTCATTCTAGAATACTCTGCTATGCATTTAGCACAATGATTCTCTCATACTCTGCGGGTTATCTTATTGAGGGGTTGGTGCGCATCTAGGAGTCGGTCAAGTGACTTCACTGCCCTCCTTGTCTGATGACGACGGTGATTAGTCTTCCGGAATGCAGAGAGAAGGCTCACCCTTCAAGGGTTCGTCTGTCACAACTGGGCTTCTCCGGATTCAGGCATATGCATAGCGTTCTTCGGAACAGACTATGATACAAAGGGATTATTTGGCAGCCTTGCAGGGCTACAAGGTTCCACCACGTACCCAGATCCGACGGTTCTTCCTCCTTTTGAGTTTGGACAGAATTTGTCCCTGCAATCATGATTCGATTGACCAATTTGGTCATAATCCAAATCCGCTCGGATATTGGTTGCGAGAGCAAAGGAACCCTGCTTTTGACGAATTACTGTGGTTGAGCGTTGAAGGTGCCAAGGACCGGCGGGGAACAATCGGTTTGAACGACCAAATTTAGTCACTTTAGTGACATGTTCCGAGTTGGACTCATGATGATAGGTTGGTCTTATGTTTCTATTCGATTTTTTGGCTTGCTTTCACAAACATGCGGGTTTGCGGCTGCCGAAGACGATCCGGGTCCCCGGGAGGATATTCGTTCGAGACTTGGTAAGCTGGAGACTGAGGCGCAGCACGCATCACTAAGGATAATCGGGCCAAGTGGAAGGCTGGAAGCGTAGGAACTTGACTAGAGACAAATCGCTCAATGTGCGGCCAGAAATAGCAACCCGGGTGCCTCGAAAACTAAAGACACATCTCATGAAGAGATACCTACTCTTGGAGACAGCTTCCAAGGTTGTGTATGCAAGTGCCGTTGTTGGACCGTGGGCCCGCGACGATTCGCTCAGCCAAGGCCACTTGAACCAAGCTAGTCCCGAAATCGACGATTTCCTTCCTCAATCCTCAGGCTGCCACAGTCACCCTCTCCCAATCCTCTGCTCCCTCTCATCAGAGAATCTACCCTCATCCACCACTAACGACCATCCATCCCGACTCTCTTACGCCATCTCGTACGGACTCTCCCGGTCCTTCTAGCTCCTATCAATTCTCATTTCGTTCTTTGCCTTGCTGCGAGCGCCGCAAGCCCATTCATTCATCCTCAACGCCTCCGCGGCCGTTCCCGATCGCTCCTTTGCCGTGGACCCGACGACCTGATTCCAAGTCAACCTAGGCGCCGGATTGACTCGAAACGCCAGTGTCATTGACCGAGCAGATCAGAGAGCCCGTTAGGGCTGTATAACGCCATGTCTGGGCGTCTATCTTCTGATCACTCTCGCTCCTACTCCCAGTCCTCTCGGTCTCGATCGGGCCCTCACGCCCCTGATTCAACGCAACATCCATCAACGCCTGGCCGATCGTCAAATCCCAATGTTTTCGCGGACGAATACTCACTGGAGCCTTTAGAGTCGGAGCAGTCGACGCTTACGCCGCGAAGTCCGTCCGTTTCATCCATTGCCTCGTCACATACCCTTCGATCTTCATTACCCCATCACCACAAGCCATATAATACGTCAACGAACGACAATGATAATGAGCTACTAGAGAATCCGTTTCGGGACGATGCTCGTGTTTCTTTCGAAGAAGATACTGCTCGACGGTCCAGTCTACCACAGAAAGGGTTTGACCTGTCGTATCGCAATTCCGTCACATCAAATTCGACAGCTCACTCGACAGCGCAACGTAGCCAAAGCACCTCGTCCCGCTTCTCTCTTCCACCCCGTGCTATGAGTCCTTACACCGGTGCCACAGGACCAAGCCACCCGTACGCGATGTACCCGCAGGTCGGAGTCAGTCGCTCACCCAGTGTGGCCACTACCTCGACCATTCGCCCAGTGGATGGACCTTTGATTGATTCAAACGCCCCGCAGCACCCGTACGCAATGTACTCACAGAACGTGGTAGTGGAGGAGGGCTTAGATGATCCAATTATACCTATGGGCTTTCCGGGACACAATCTTGAAGCGTATCATAGACCGCCCAATCGCGCGGCTGATGATGTCGGCGATCTGATCGGACCGGATGGTTATACTGAGCAGCTTCCGCCTTATACTCGGTACCCTGAGGGTGCTTCGCCAAAGCTAGAACCGTCGGTTGTTGCACTCCCGGATGCCCCGGCTATCCCGTCCCAACCTAGCGGCAGCAGCGAACGAGACGCCGCCACCTCGGATGCATCTTCGAGAACAATGGTTCCTGGGGCAATGACTGCCGGCACGGTAGCGGCGGGATCCATGGCTGCCGGGGCAATGGCTGCTGGGAACCAACCGGCTGAACGTGGAGTCGGAGCCCCAGCCGGACAACCACCAACTGGGGTTATGGCATTTGAGGAAAAACTAAAGAGAAGGGGCCAGAAGAAAGTATGCTGTGGTCTACCGGTTTGGACATTGGTTTTGATATCTGTTGTCATGCTTGTTGGAGGGAGCATCGGAGGTGCCATTGGTGGTGTCCTAGGGGCTAGGAAAGCCGCAGAGGACGCAAGTGACTCGGATGAAACGCATATTACAACTGTGACCGTCCCTCCTCGGACGGATGCAACGCCCATAACTGCCACCCCATACAACCTACCACCTATTCCTACAGGCCAGTATGCAATTCCAGCCGCGCCAAAGAATCAGTCCAAGTTTTGCATCCTTGATCAAGATCAAACTCCAACATGGGGTTGCTATAACCAGAAACCTATTCCCATTGAAATTGGAGGCGATGAGAACGATAGGACCATCGATTTTTACAGCAACCCACTGCCACAGACCGTGACGTACGGTGCCCAGGCGCCTTTCTTCACCCAAGACTCAATGCCTCTTGAGCTGGTGATGGATACGAGCGATCTTAGTCTTGGACCCGCTCTAAACTTTTTCACCTTTTTTGACAAACTAATTGTTGTTCCCGAAGATACATTCTCTACATCAGACTTATCTACACGGTCTGTTTCAGAAGACGAAGTATTCGCTGGTGTACACCACCGCAGGCGCTCGAGCGACGTGGGGGATCGACCGTGGTTTTGCTGGTGGAATAGTACTGCGATGGAGTTCTTCCTCTACGTCAATGAGACAACCAAAGAGTCGCGATACTCATCTTCCGAGTCAAGCTCGAGCAGCAAGTCGAGTGATGACGATGATAGCGAAGTTTACACAACTGACTCTCTCTCAAGACGTGGAGATAGCTCGCTATCAAATTATCCACGCAGAATCAAAATGGAAGAAAAGCGAGATAACGCGGAAGCACACGCCCCCTATTGTCAACAGATGCAAGTCATGGATAATGGAGCATTCGCAACGGTGTCTCCTGAAACAATCGCAATCAGCGTGAATGAACCAACGCCAACATCAACATATAAGGGCGACGGAAGTGCCACAGCGACTTGGACGGCAAAAGCGCAATATCAAAGTATATGTTATTGTGTCTCGTTGACGGACTAGCTTGGCTTGCCCCAGATCATATGTGATTTCAAAAGCGACGGCTTGTGTCATGGCGGCGGCGTTATTAAGGCATTTATGGTGCTTATATGAGCGAAGGTCACTTCTCATGTGGCTATATGATTTAGTTCTCGGCGCTGGTCTGACTTCTTGTCCATTAAGATGGCATGTATCTTGCTTGGTTCACTATTACCCTTTTGCTTCTGGTCTTTCTAAGTTCATGATATCATTATTTCCATCGGTTCTGATGCTTTGCCATGCCTCGACCGGATTTTGTCTCCTTTTTTTTTTTTATATTTACACACGGCGTTCAGTGATATATCACGGTGCATACTGGTCCTCGGATTCCGCCCGGTCGCTTCTGTCTTCCTACTGATGCTGAATCCCTCTGTGTTCAAAGTTCTCCATAGTGAATTGTGCCCTTGGGATGTGTTGGCTTGGGGTCAGCCTTTTGGGATATATATACAAACTGATGTATATTCTGAAATCATTTTACTACATGGCAGCGTAATCTAGACCCCACATGCTCTAGTACTGCTCCTTTAGGGTGACCATCTTCGCCGCATAGAGCGAGAACTAGGAAGTAATGGCGACGTCATGGGCCATGGTCATGCTCGGCAGACTACCATAATTCTACCCACGCCTTCATATAAATTGAACGAGCTTCATACATTCTCTCAAGGTAACTCAAAGACATACTTGTCCTTACCTCTTCTGAAACAAAACAGCAACAATTATGACCTCGCTCCTCCGCAGCACCCGCTCTATTAGAGCCGTCAACCCTACAACCTCCCGATTCCCCGTCTTCCTTCAACAACGATTCAACGGCCAAAGCTCGTACGGCAACGGCGAGACCAAATCCGAAGATGACAGAAATGCACCTACCCGCGACATGGAGCACCCTGGTGTGTACATCCCTCAACAGTGCCGCCTATCCGTACCACCCAGTTGAAGAACTAACACTTAACTATTAGGAGCACCACCTCCTGATGTCGGCAAAGAGAATCCCTCCAAGTCCCAGCCATCATACAAGCAGGACAAGTCCAGAAAAAACGTGCTCGAGGAGGATATTCCGAACAGACCGTCCAACAACGCCAAGCCAACGATCCGCCAGTCCTCGAATGTGGATGATGATGGGAACGTCAAAGCTAATGTGCCTGACGACGTTAAGAAGCATAATGAGGAGATTGATCAGCGTCATGACAAGCCGTATAATCGAATCCATGATGACGGGAAAGTTGGGAAGGGGTTCTGGGGTAAGTTGGACGGCGCGGAGGGTTATTGATCAGTTCATCTGCTATGTTCATTCTGTTTCTGTTTGACCTGAAAGTCATGAGTGTATGATACTGGATTGAGTGTAATAAAATGTGAGAACATGAAATGTGATTGTGAGCCGTAGATAGAGTTTCGTATCGTTGATGTATACTGTATAGTTCAAGTCGAGCCGGGTTCGGGCCAGATTTATCAAAGGAGCTCCTTAGCGACCGCGGGCGGATCTCCCGTCTTTGGAGCACCCCGACCCCGACTTGAGCCCTTGATCAACTTCATATCCTGGTCCTGTAATTGCATTGTATCGCAAGCCAAATCCGTCGCTCATTTATTATACTCACCTCAAAGATGGCTAAGGGCAACAAGTACTCCGTCATCCTCCCGACGTACAATGAGCGGAAGAACCTCCCTATCATATGCTGGCTCCTGGAGCGGACATTTCGCGAGAAGTGAGCTGGCCCCAGACTCCCATAGTTCCTGTTCAACTGGATGGAAACCGGCGTGAGAAAGGACACAAGCTAACGAATTTCTCAACAGTAACCTGGACTGGGAAGTAATCATCGTTGACGACGGCTCCCCCGACGGCACGCTCGAGATCGCCAAACAGCTCCAGAAGGTCTGGGGCGCCGACCACATCGTCCTGAAGCCACGCGCAGGCAAACTCGGCCTTGGAACCGCCTACGTGCATGGCCTGCAATTCGTGACCGGAAACTACGTGATTATCATGGACGCCGACTTTAGCCACCACCCCAAGTTCATCCCGGAGATGGTGCGCATCCAAAAGGAGACCGACGCCGACATCGTCACGGGCACGCGCTATGCTAGCCGCGAGAACATCCAAGGTGGTGTGTACGGGTGGGATCTGTTCCGCAAGTTCACGTCGCGCACGGCAAATTTGATTGCTGATGTCATGCTCATGCCCGGCGTTAGCGACTTGACGGGGAGCTTCCGGTTGTACAAGAAGAGTGTGCTGGAAAAGGTCATTTCTAGTACGCAGAGCAAGGGCTACAGTTTCCAGATGGAGATGATGGTCAGGGCTAAGGCGATGGGGTACAAGGTTGCAGAGTGTCCGATTACGTTTGTGGACCGGCTGTATGGAGAGAGTAAGCTCGGAGGCAGTGAGATCGTGGAGTATCTCAAGGGCGTCTTTAACCTCTGGCTCAAGGTTTGATTCATGTCTATACCATTATTTTCACCGCTGATTTCCTACTATTTGTCTGTGATGACCACCGCATCTACCTTTCCTATGTCTGTATATTAATGCTCTCTATATCCGTCCGAAAATTTGTTCCTGTTACTCTACTTTTGCCCACGTTACCCGACTTTTAGAGCGCAACCCGGTTGAGATAGCTCAGGATGCGTTTGATCATCCATGCCTGGCCTTCGTCTTGGACATTGTGGCTCGCCCCTGGAATGATTCCACTAGCCTCATCATCCCACTTCTTCTCACCTCCCGCATTTGCTGCACGCTTCCATCTTTCCAATAGCGCCTTCTTATCAACCCCGGCGGGGGCATACTCATCGTTGCCAGAATAAAGCGCCACAAGAGTCGTCCGCAGCAAGCCTCGCGCGGCAATCTGCCCAAACGTCTCACCAAGCCTTTCATCCGTCAAATCCGAGCTAAACAAGTCATCTTCAGACGGCTTCTTAGGGCTCTCCGGACTCGCAAGACTCCAAAATCTTCTTGCATTTACCGGCGTGGCAGGGTCCATACCGACCAGACCCGAAAGTTCAATAGGACAAATCGCGCGGGCAGGCTGCTCCCGCGCAAATCTGACAAGCTTATCATACGCCTCACGGGCCTCCGAGCTCTCCTTTGTGGTTTGCAGCATTGACTCCCGATCCGACACTGGTGCCTGCATGATCGCACCGTCCACAGCCGGGCGGGCGAGGCCGTGTACGCCGTCAACATCGGGGTTGCGCGGGCTCGGGTTCGCCGAGTGCAGGTAGTGCAGAACATCCTGGCTTCCCGTTGAGTGGCCCATGATGACGACCTTCCCAGCACCATTACTGCCGGTAGTCTTCTGCTTCAGGTTGCGGACATAGTCAACACATTGGCCGATCTCTTCGACGTCTCGGTCGAGACTGCCTATTCCCCAGCCACCATAGGTAGACGAGAGGTGGAGATGAAAAATAGTCCATTCGGTTGGCTCTAGGGCCTTTGCAATTTCCTGGACGTAGGGAACTGTATAGAGACCGTCTGTGAGGCCGCCGATGAAGAGCAAGCTGTGCGGCTTGGAGGTGCTGGATGAGTTGAATTCGAACGCTACCAAGCGAGGCGCCTGTCGTGAGTCAGCTATCCACACCCTGAAGGATAGGCCATGAAGCATACATAATTGTGCAGGGTCCCTGGGTACGATACGTCCATCTTGATTAAGGTGCTGCTATAGTTGGAAGTGAATGGAAGCTATCAGTTAGCGGGGTAAAGGTGATCCAGGTGCGGGCAGCCCACCGAATTGCTAATGCTGCAGGTCTGAATGACAAATGGCAAACCGCCTTTCTATCTATATTTGTGGATATATGTATATGAAGTTCTGAACCAATACAAAAGGAGCTATTCAATACAATCCAGCCAATGCTAAAGTTGACCGATAAATACGGACATGTACGGCAGTGGTAAGATAACGCCAAGATAGCCGCTAAGCCTGATCGGGATCTATGATTTTGCGATTCGAGGTCCCGTCTCGGCATCTTGTCTTGATCTTCCACCCTTCTTGTCCCTTAACATCTCATTCTTTAAGCATATTATTGCTGATATGCTTTTTTCCAACTGAGCTCTAATAAAGCAGCTCCTCATAACAACCTATCTACCTACAGAAATGCTAGTCCGGGATCTTTTGAAAGACAACTCGAAAGAGCTGCTCAAACGAAAACATGCCCTCAAATCGTAGATCCGGTCGCTTGTCCGGCGTGCGGAAAACTTACACTCTTGACCCTTTTGCGGATGAGGACTTGGACCCAGCCATCTTCGGGGAAGAGAACAAGGCCCCGCGGAAGCAGGGCAAAAAGCCGGTGGACGATGATTCCGACGAGGAATTCCAGGGACAAGCAGAGGAGGAGGACCCTGATGATGAGGTATCTGAGGAGGAGGACCGCAGAGCTGAGATTGCCGAGGATGAAGAAGCGGACGAAGCTGTCTTCTCAGCTTCAGAAGAAGCAACACCGACAGCCAAAAAAGCCCGTCATTCTAAAGGTCCCCAAAGACCAGTGCGACTTGATCAGCCGAGATCAGCTAAGAAGCGTCGGCCGGATGGAGCTATTGTGCTTGCTGGTGATGAGACTCATTCTCGAGGAGCATGGAACCCGCTTGAGCACGTGGGAAAGTCAATTCATCTGCAGGTAACGTTTGGTCTTGATGAGAGGGATCTCCTATCTGTCCTGTATACGAGAGATCGATGGTCAAGAGGAGTTGATTCTTCGTTTCCAACGCGGGTGTCGCTGGACGAGGCTGGGAAATTGCCGGACTATGCTTATGGTTCGACGTTTGGTGTTGAGCCGGCTGATATTGAGAACGAGAGAACGGCCGGATGGGACTGGTATTATGGGAACGGGCCTGGAGAGCGATTTAGAAAACGCCAACGATTCGAGCAGATCACGGAAAGGGAAGCCCGTCAGACATTTTTGCCTACGCCAAAGCAGGGGAACCATACTGTGCTTATGGGGCCAGCGGGTGACCAAATGGAGTTCAATCTAGGCCAGTACGACGTTTTCAACTTTGGAGATGCTTGGGCGGAACTCAAAAGTCGGAGCAAGTCTCAGACTTCGCAACCTAGCAAGAAGCGACAGGGCTGGATCCTCAATATTGGACAGCGCATTCAGGCTGTGGCTTGGTTGCCAAACCAAAACGGTCGTGAACAGTATCTATCGGTGGTTGCTCCGATTTCAAACGAACAGAAACAAAAGTATCCAGATCCATTGAAAGACTACGCGGCAGCAGCATTTCGCTCGTCCGCTCCTTACCCTTGCGCCTTGCAGCTTTGGTCCTTCAGAGCTAGCGAGTTTGGCGGTCTCACAAAGACTATTGATATGAGTGTCGAGCCCAGCCTACGCTTGGTTCTAGGTACCAAATGGGGCGACTTGAGGCGAATGGCTTGGTGCCCTATTGTTCGAGAGCCGCGGGATCAAGATGACCAAGGCGGCTACAGAAATCTAGGTCTCCTTGCCGGAGTCTGGGGCGATGGTTACGTCCGGGTACTTGATGTCAAAATCAATAAAGACCCTACAGTGACTGGGTTCTGTGAGTAGCTTATGTCGAACAATGGTTACGGCACTAACCTCGTAAAGACAGAATCGACGCGCCTGTGTATGAGGCAAGGCCGCCCAATACCATATGTACATGTGTGGCATGGCTATCCTCCAGTGACATTGTTGTGGGTTGCGCCAACGGCTTTGTTGGTGTTTACAGCATTGCGCCGCCGCAAGAGTCCACACTGCCCTATTTTTACCATCCCATCCACACATCTTATGTCCTCAACGTCGCGCCCGCTTATCCGACCCATGCTCACCTAGTGGCAACCACCTCCATGGACGGCGACACCAAACTAACATCAATCATTGACCATGAAAAGGACATGGTCGAAACAAACCGCATGAGAGTGGGCTCGCCGCATCTGACCTACTCGCCATGGGTACACTCATTTGTATCCAGTGATGAAAACGACTTTGTGCGCATGTTGACTGTACGGCGCTTCTTTACCACGCTGGCGGTTGCTCGGATGTCGAGCACCATCTCTTCTATAGCGACATGCAGCCCCTGGCACCCAAGTACACTTGTCGGATGTTCCGGGGGTTCCGTAGTTGCGTCAAACCCTCTACGAAGGCTACTGCATGCCAAGGAGAAGCAGTGGCAGCAAACCTGGTTTTCGCATACCTGGATTCGAGGAGAAGACTCGGGCAGTGCTGGGACAAGTCGCTTCTATGATGGGTTCCGTGCTGAGAGCATCAGTCTACTACGGAATATGACAGGCGACCGCAAGATGGTTAATGGGACCATGGTGGTTACCATTCACGAGGAGGGCACGCACGTCACGGCGCTGTCGTGGAACCCTAACCAGTCATGCGCGGGATGGGCAGCTGCCGGATTGGGATGCGGACTGCTTCGAATTGAAGATCTGGCGATGTAGCCTCATGATGTAGCTTCATCGTCGTCATTTTCGATTCTTGGCTGTCTTGCTACTATGTGCGCTGAGTATGACTGTTTGAAGTATCTGCCCACGACTACAGGGTTTCTTACGTATGCTATGTTCACCTTGCATGGCTGGGACCGCTCGGTGTAGTAAAAGGATGATCAATGACGATCAGTGCTTATCCCGCTAGCTCAACGGTGATCGCACGCTCAAAACGCCATGCATAGGCGAAGGTTCCAAAGAGCAACCGGGAGAAAGCGGGAACAATAGCAGGTTTTTGCATCAAAAGCCGCTGGTTTGCCGTGACTTACGTCAACTCCCATTCTGAAGAAATCTAAATGCATCGATATGCAGCCCGATGTACTCGGTGTCCTAGGGCTTGTCGAAGGAAACTACTTTGCCTCGACGAAACGAAGTTTTACAAAAGTAACATAATGGCATAAATTCATGACGCTTGCATACCACTAATGTTCAGGCAACATGCACATAGAAATTTGGTTTACTTGGGGCGATAAACCTGGACTGATTCAAACTTCAGTATGTATGCATTGTGTGTTCGAACGGCAGCACTGCTCTACGTTGCGTGTCTGGCAGATAGCAGGCAGACGCGTAACTAAGAATAAACACTTGCTGCCTTGCCTCTCATGGGCCGGCTCATCGGATTCTCATCGCCTGCCTTCTGCTCATTGTGTACGGACTCTACGGTACCGGTGCTGACCGTGCCACACCGAGTCGCACAGCCACAGCCAGGGCTTCCAGGGACCGTCGCCTTTGGAACGAAGCATCTAATTTTACTCCGTAAACTTTCCAAAACATTCGGCCCGAGGCAAAATAGAAACAGGACATGATCCAATTGATTATTGATGCCTATCACGATCACAGAATAATGGCGTAGATGTGATTTATCCCGCGTCCATCACCGAAAAACTCGTGGCTGGCTTGTTGCTTGGATGGCCCAGCCTCCTGGTATACTCGGTGACGGCTGTCAGCCAGACCATCAGGACGCGCCAGCTGCCGTTATGCTTGAATATGATGGGCCTAAAGCGTTGATCATTATGCAAGAGATGGCCCACTCTAAGGGTTTTCGAGGGTCTTCTAACTCGTGAGCTTGTTTACTCGAGGTTTTTAAAGCCGGTGCCATCTCGACAGAATCGTTCTCATCCATCCTCTCATCACCACAGTCGCTGGGGTTTCAAGGTTGCCTGGGAGACTTTCCAACGTTCTTTTCGTTTTAGTTGCTCTAATATCTTGCTGAACATCCCGTTTCAACTTTCACCACCACCATCACCATGCATACCTCATCGCTCCTCTCTTTGGCTCTCGCCCTCACCTCAAACGCATTCCCTCTCACTCGACCTACGTTCAATACTACCGTCCAGCGCAGAAGCGCAGACTACGATGTCGTCAACGTTGGAGACCTCCCAGAAGCTCCCCAACCTGCTGTCCCAGCTGCGTCTACCATCATCGAAACCGTCACTGCCCCAGGTGCTCCTCCGCAAACCGTGACAGTGACCATCTCTCAAACACCTACTCCTTCGCCTTCCTCAGCACTATGGGGCTCCAGCACCGGCATTCCCTACAGCAGCTCGGCTATCCTCCCCGCAGTGACTCCAGTCCCGGGAGAAGAGGTTCAACAGGTCCAAGACGAAGAAGAAGCGACAGCCACGGGAGCCATTGACAGACTCGCTCGCGCCTTCGGGAGGTCTATTGACGCTCATTTCCGTGCTCGCAGCAGCAACTTGACGACTCGGGGTATCAACGCTCCTAGCAATGCGACCACGGCTTATTCTCAGCTTGCTGCTCGTGGTATCAACGGGACTGAACGTGCTCACTTCCCTCGTGGTCTGCTCAATTCCACTGATCCCAGAACCGTGGGCCTCAAGGCTAGGGGTCTGAACGGCACTTCTTTGAGGGTATAAATGGCATAGGAGTCCATTGAGTGTTTACTCAGTTTCTTCGGTGTCGTTAATATTACTTTTTCACGGCTACTACGTTTCATGACATGGCGGGTGAAGATTGACGGATTTAATGACTGGTACGATCTTAATGAGACAGGAGTGATGTCCTGAACGGTTACGAGATATGCATTGGTTCGAATTGCTTATAATGCTCTCCATGTTGGTTGTCTGTTTTTACGCAGTATAGATATAGACTGGAAATAAAGGTTGTATTTGAAGTACCCGAATATGCTAGTAGTATGTCGTATTTTACCGTAATTAATGTACCAGATGTGCGGCGCGGATACATTACGTACTGGTCGCATGCCCGCTCCAGTCAACGGCATTAAGCCAGCTCCACCATTCCAGCAACGCTCAGCTCCAACTCATTAATTAATGAATTAACCTCGTTCCCGTCTATGGAAACTAAAAACTCCAATCCATTTCGTTGCAGTGCCCTCCCTCGACCTCGTCATAGCTTCGCCCCTCCCCCTGTGCCGTTTACCGCCTAAATCCAAGCCGTCTTTACCTCCGCTCTTGACCAGATCCCCTCTCGCCCCATATCAAATCACAGAACCACAATGGCGACCTCGGTAGCGCCGTCCGAAGACCAGAGTCGTCTTCTGGAGGAGGCATTGGGGGTGGTGCGCCAGCAATCAGCCATGATGCGGAAATGCCTTGAGACGCCGGGGAAACTGATGGATGCGCTCAAATGCGGGTGAGTTGGGAGCTTCAGGCAGCAGTGAGATGTGTCGCGATGCGATTCACTTGCAATTCCATATATCGACGACAAAGCTGATACCCTGGTGTTGTTCTACAGCTCAACATTGGTCTCGGAGCTACGAACACCGAGTCTAGGCCCCAAGCAATACTACGAACTTTACATGGCTGTCTTTGACGCTCTGCGCCATCTCTCCGTCTACCTTAAAGAGAACCACCCGGTAAACCACCTCGCGGACCTGTACGAATTGGTTCAGTATGCCGGCAATATTGTTCCCCGACTTTACCTTATGATCACCGTTGGTACCGTGTATATGTCTGTGGAGGACGCACCCGTTAAGGAGATCATGAAGGACATGATGGAGATGAGCCGAGGTGTACAGCATCCGATCCGTGGATTGTTCTTGAGGTACTACCTCTCCGGCCAGGCGAGGGACTACCTACCGTCGGGAACCGGGGACGGGCCGGAAGGGAACCTGCAGGACTCGATTAACTTCGTTTTGACCAACTTCGTGGAGATGAACAAACTTTGGGTGCGACTTCAGCACCAGGGTCCTTCACGTGAGCGAGAGAAGCGGATGCAGGAGCGTCGGGAGTTGGAGTTGCTGGTTGGCAGCAATGTTGTCCGCCTCAGCCAATTGGTGGATCTGGAGACGTACAAGTCTGGGATTCTGCAAGCGCTCCTAGAACAGGTTGTTCAATGCCGGGATGTCCTGGCACAGGAGTATTTGCTTGAAGGTGAGCAGCTTGGCGGATGAGGCCTGCAAAGTGTTAATGCTGTTATTGTAGTGATTACAAAGGTGTTCCCGGATGAGTTCCACCTACATACGCTCGACTTATTGCTTTCAGCTATCGCGCGGTTAAATCCGCATGTGGATCTGAAGAAGATCGTTATAGGACTTATGGACCGCTTATCGTCCTATGCGGCTCGCGAGGCTGAGACGTCTACAGACTCGGAGACGAAGAAGCAAAAGGAAGAGGAAGCTGTTACGAAGCTCCTTGAGAACCTCAAGGTATCTGAAGAGACCAAGGAGAAATCAAAGGAGGATACTCCCGCTGCTCAAGAAAATGGAGTTGAGCAGACACCGACGGAAAGTGACGAGAACACCAAACCGGCCGAAGAGCCTACAGCGAATGGACGCGACGAGGATCAGAAGCCTAGCACGCCTCAAGACGTCAAGTTATACGACATATTCTATGAGCAGGTGGTCAACCTCATTAAATCACGCGGTCTTCCTATCCAAGATACCATGGCGCTGCTTGTTTCGCTTGTCAACCTTGCACTCAACACATATCCTGAACATTTGGAATATGTCGATCAAGTCCTCGAGTTTGCTACCAAGGAGACAGCCGAGTACACAGACCATGCAGATCTACACGCCGCCCCAACACAACAGAACCTCCTACACCTCCTCATTGCTCCGCTCCGCTCCTATGTTTCGATCTTCACAGCCCTGGCTCTGCCGCACTACCTCCCTCTCTTGTCATCTCAGTCCTACCCTACACGACGATCTGTTGCGGGCGAAATTGCCCGCACTCTTCTTAAGAATCGAACATTAATCACCACCACCGAGAACCTGGAACGCGTCTTAGGGGCTCTTAGGGTACTAATCAAAGAAGGTGTTCAACAGGGAGGAGGCTACCCTGGGTCGCAACGACGAGGCGAGTCGGACGAGACGATTGAAGAACAAGGGTGGTTGGCCAGATTAATCCATCTACTGCAGGCGCCAGAAAATGACACCCAGCTTAAGGTAACTAGTCCGGTCGATGCTATTCTTGCGCTGCTAACAGCGTCTAGCTTCTCCAAGCCACCCGAAAGGCGTACTTGGACGGCAACGAAAGGATCCGATACACCTTCCCTGCCATCATCAGCTCCTCAATCCGTCTGGCACGGAAACTCAAGTCCCGCGAGCACTACGATGACAACTGGCAATCACAATCATCAGCACTCTACCGATTTATGCACCAGTGTGTAAACAACCTCTATCAGCGCGTCAACCCTGGTTGCGCCGATCTTGCGCTGCGTTTGTTTGTAATGTGTGGTGAGGTGGCCGACCAGACCGGCTTCGAAGAATTCAGCTACGAGTTCTTTGCGCAAGCCTTTACCATCTACGAAGACTCTATCAGCGACTCTCGAGCCCAGTTCCAAGCCGTCTGCATAATAGCCGGGGCCCTCCACGGTACCCGAGGCTTCTCCAAAGAGAACTACGACACCCTCATCACAAAAGCCGCTCTCCACGGTAGCAAGCTTCTCAAGAAGCCCGACCAATGCCGCGCTGTATACCTAGCCAGTCATCTCTGGTGGGTAATCGAGAACCCCCAAAGAGGCGACGAAGATCCTAAGAATGTACGTCCTTAACCTCCTTATTTGCCGTTATACTGTACTAACTTAAGCTATTAGCTCTACCGCGACGGCAAGCGCGTCCTCGAATGCCTGCAGCGCGCCCTGCGCGTCGCAGATGCCTGCATGGACACTGCCGTGTCCGTGGAGCTCTTCGTCGAGATCCTCAACCGCTACGTCTATTACTTCGACCAGCAGAACGAGACCGTGACGATAAAGTACCTCAACGGCTTGATCGAGCTCATCCACTCGAATCTCCAAACAGACCAGGACGAGCCGAACCCGGCGCTGGAGAACCCCAAGAAACATTTCTACCGAACCCTCGACTACATCCGCACGAGGGAGTTCGAGGGCGTGATTACAGATCCCAGATCCTAGTCTGGGGTCTGTGTAGTAGATGCGTCCTCGAGGGTAATTATACGGTGATTTCATCGTTGTATCTGTTCATAGTGAGCGCTGTGCCTTATTATACAGTACTACTGTCCTGCTTTATCTTACCCCACCCTACCTCTCGAAAACCCAATGTGTTTCTGTTCCTTTTGTTGCCTTGTACGTTGATGTATGTATGTAAGATTCCCTTCCTTCCGTTGAGCATTTCTCTCAATACCAAGCACGTTCTCCTTTGCTTCCCTCTCTTTCCTCCCTAGAGCCATCTCATATCAATGTATGTACTTCTAGGCGACCGTGTCATCTGCTTCCCGAGTTCGTCTGTGCCCAGTGTCTATAGTATACCGAGGACTCGAGGCGTAATTTCCTTGAATAGCAGGCACGATGACGTCCATCGCACCTTCCTGATTAAGGACGCATGGGACAATTACTATTTGGGAAGGAACGATGCGGGGGCCGGGGCCCGTTATTCGTCGACAAGGGAAGGCGCGAACGCGTTCATCAAGTCCCCATGTTGCACAGTGAGATGGATGCAGGTGTGTGCCAACGAGTTTTGAATCAGGATCGGCAAGGTACTAAGGGGCTAGGAAGGAACTATCGATATGTTGCTATCGTGCCTGCTTTACTTTAGGCCGTGAATCGAGCTCGCCGTTGATTGTCACCGAAACCAGTGTGAGGTGTGAGACTGTTGCATGGAAAGTTGTAAGTTGTACTACGATATTGATACGAAGACGAAAGAAACAGACAAGTGGTAACCGTAAACCCGCGAGACATCAATCTCGGTTTGTGTATGCATTGTTCGGGAATAAAACGAAGCACGAACCACGTACTCCATGATCAGCTCTGCGGCATAGCATACGTAAGGGTAAAAGATACACGACATGACAGCAATGCCCATGGATGTTCTGAGGGGGAAAAGTAGGGCAACAGCAATGAAGCGAGAAGAAAGAAGTAAGGTGATAACTCGAACACGGACAATGTTATTCATAAGAAGGGTGTTGGGAAGTATCATATCGTATCAAGGATGCGTGCAGGGGGAGGAGATTGAGTCGGTGATTGGAGGAAGAATCGATAAAGACGGAGGAGAGAAAGGGGAAGAGGATAGTATGAAGATGAGATGACGCTTAAACCTTGACCCATGAGAACCTTATGATCCGTCCCAAAACGTTGAAGAAGAAAGCTGACTGAGAGAACCCCTTGGTTCATCCGAAACGCCTAGACTAGAAACCCGTGGTTGGAGAAGAAAATTGCCGAAGAGCAGAAGATGGCGGTGTACTGAGATTAATCCCACCGAGGGCCGGGATGGTGCTGCTAGGAACAGGACTCCCAATCTCACCAGGGACGATGCTGCCGCGGTGGCCGGTAGTTGTGTTGTTGGTGTCTGGCTCGAACTTAACAAGATCGCCGGGGCGGCCGCTTTTGATCGAGAACGTCCCGCCTCCATTATGCGAGTTCCCTTCTGTATCACAAATGTCGAGCATCTCCTGAAGAGAAATCTCAGGCTCATTCGAGGGTCGTAAGATTTCGACTTGCCGGAGAACCGCATTGACATCGTGATAGCCGTCTGTGCCCTTTGAAGGACTCATGGTGCTCAGTTGTTTGCAGGCCTGAATTACCATGAGTCGAATCGCGACAGGCCGAGACGTGTGCGCACGATGATGCACGCCACTACCAAAAGCGTTGTTATTGGTTGGCCAGTTGTTGGTTGCTAATTCCACATTAGCTGTGAGAGACTGCGTGTTTTCGAATACTAACCAGGCACGTATCCCCATGTTGGACCACCGGGGAACGAGGCTCCAAAGGGCATCTGCGCGCCCCATGTATTTACCCCCAAGACAGGGCTGACAGGGAAATTGCCATGTTTGGCCACTTGAAAATCATGAGTTAGTATTCTCGTAGGTACGGAGTTTGACTCACCGCTAAGAGGTTCCGGAAACAGTGAGGAACCGGTAAAGCTGGCTCGCGTCGGACCTGGCATTGAGGAAACGGGCGTTGTCCCGGGGAGAGACTGGGAGAGCTGTGAGGAAGTAAGGGGAATATCGGAATCATCCAGCAGTGCACTGCTACCCAATTGGGCGCTTAGGTCATCCATATCTCTTCGAGAGCTTTGCTGCTCTTGCTGAGTACTAGGTGGACGCTTGATAGGGCTAGGTCGGGATATCGCAAACGGCTGAGCGCCTGTGTCAAGGGGAGATCGTTCATAGGAGTTGGACGGATGTCTTGAATGGCCATGCGGTGAACCACTCGGTTGCGGTGAAAAGATGCCGGAGAACGGTTGTTGAGCATGGAAAGGAAGACCGGGCGGATCAAGAGGGAATCCTCGACCCGGGGCCATTGGACGTGCCCCGTTCATCCCTGGAGGTACCGGAATGCCGTTGGGAGCAGGGAATCCACGGAGCTGGTTCATGTACGGACTCGAATGCGGCGGGTACGTGGGTAAGTCATGTCCCATTGAAGGCCGAGGAACCAAGCCCGACAGTCCAGGGGGGTTGGATGGAGAAAGCCCAGGAGGATGAATTCGACCCAGAGGAGACATGGGTGTTCCCGGAAGAGGATGGAGGACGGGATGGCTAGGGCCGTATTTGGAGAAGGATGATCCTGATGAATGGGATAGAGGAACCGACCGAGGGGAGACCTGGGACGCCTCTACGCTGGCTGACTGAGAACGTGGAGACGAGCTATGTGAACCCTGTTGGGAAGAACGTCGACCTTTGGCGGGTGTTGGAGCTTTGGGAACCACAGGCATCGCAGACTGTGGAAGCGGGGATGACTGATGTCCTGGCACGGAATGCAGTCCCGGTGCCCGTTTGCCTGGTTCCTGCGCAAGTCGATCCCGTTCTCTCCTCGCCTGTTCATCCTGGGCTTTTCGTTCTCGTTCCTGCTTGGCCTTCTGCTCTTTCGATTCACGCTCCTCGCGCTCCTTTCGCCTAACCTCTTCCCGTCGCTTCTTCTCCTGCTCTTTCTGCTCGCGCTGCCTCCGTTCAGCTTCCTCCTGCCTTTCCCGTTCCTCTCGCAGTCGTTTGTGCTTCTCGGCCTCTTTACGAGCGCGCTCTTCTTCCTGAGCTTTCCGCTCGGCCTCCCGCTTCTTCCGTTGCTCCTCTTTCTTCTTCCGCTGTTCCTCGAGCTTCCTCTCCTGCTCGGCTTTGGCGGCAGCTTCCTCCGCGGCCTTTTCCGCCTCTCTTCGAGCCTTCTCTTCGTCCTTGGCTAACTTGGCCAGTCTCTTCTTGTCTTTTCGTTTTTGGGCTTCTCTAGCTTTCTTCGCGTTTCGTTGCTCGTTCAGGTTCTCCTCTTCCAGAAGCTCTTCGATTAGCTTCTGCTGGCGCTGTTCAGCTACTTTCTCGCGGTAGGCTGTTAACACTCGCTGTTCGAACATTCGAGCTGCGAATATTTGAAACATGCGTCGGCCCTCTTCCATGCGTTGTTCTTCCGTCATGGCGTCCTATCACACATCAGTCCAAGTTCTGTTACTGTAGATTTTGTAGCAAACCATCTCATCTTCCTCGTATTCTTCCTCCTCTTGGCTATCGTAGTCCTCGTCCTCCTCATCGTCGTAATCCTCATCGTCGAGTGGACCATGGTTATGATCGCTGTGAAGAGATTGGTGTGCTGCAGCTATGCCGTATTGCGTGTCCTCCTCGCGCTGCATGCGGCGCTCCGCCAATTGCTCCATCATATCGATAAAATGTTTTCCGTCATTTTTTAATAGGTCGTCTGCAACTGTGAGAATTCCATCTGAATGTAATGAAGCAGAGACAGAACCCGAAATCAGCCCCAGGCCTAGCAGAATTATTTCCTAGGTGGCTTACCTTTGACAGTTAGACTATTCCCAAATGCGAAAAAGTCGGCGCGCGCGGCTGCCCCTTCATCCTCTTCATACTCCTCGTCACTATACGGCTCATCATCCTCTTCATCTTCGTCGTAGTCCTCCTCCAGTTCTTCGTCGTCTTCTTCGGGCGGTTCAGGGATTCGACCTCGTGAAGGATGAAACTGGCCGTGTGTGTGGGTATGTTGACCGGGAGGCCGCAGCGGCGGTTGGTAAAGTCGTGGAGGTGCAAGTATCGCAGGTCCTCGTTCGAATGTCCCTTGAGTGTTGTTGGCGTACTGTTCCAGCTCATCGTAATACGCATCGTAAAGGACTTCGAGTTCCTCCTCGATCGCCGTCCGTTTCCTACCGCACACAGTACAGCTGCACGAATGCTTCTGCTGCTCCTTCATCTTCTTCAGCACCGCGTCCTTTTCCACTTTGACGAGCTGGCGCCGTTCCTCCTCGCCTAATTCTAGCCAGAAGGTCTTAATATTCTCCCGCTCTTCTTGTGTCGAAGTGTTCCAGATACTGCGCTCTTTGATCATCTTCGAAGAGGACTGGGACCCGAAATGCGGGGGTAAAGGCGGGGGTAGAGCGTTCGATAGTGATATTGACGGAGTCGACAGCGGAGTTGAGCTTGCTTGCGAACCATTACGAACCTTCCTTCCTCGTTTCTTCTTGGATTTCCGGCCCATCGCTCCTTGCAGGTCGTATTCGGACGGATGTGGGAGCTGTTGAATGTCGTGTCCATGTCCATTCAACATTCCCTCACTTGTGTTATAGTCACCGCCACTTCTTTGTTCGTGCGATGCATGGCTATCATGTACCGTCGAGCCGGAGCCGTTGACGTCGAATGTGTCACTCGGCGCATGTCCGTTTGCCGTTTGACGCTCCGCCGCTAAGCGAGCCGCCTTCTCTCTTCGCTTCTGTTTTTTGCGATTCACTGGGACGGGTTTTGATTCGGGCATCGAGGAGGTGCGAGCATCGTTACGTGCCGAGTTTTCGCGAGTTGTAGAGGATGTAGGGGCGGTAACGGCGGGCACATGACTGGACATTGTGGAACTAGAAGCTGGCCCGGGCGTGGCGTGAGTAGACATGGGATCATATGTTGTTTGCGCGGGGAAAGGTGTAGACACCTAAGCCTCCAAGGTTCCTAAGCCCGACGACCACAGCAGGAGCTGTCGGAGAAGGCGGAGCAAAATGGTTAGATACGGACCGGAATAGCGAGGGCGGAAGCAGGAGCCTTCCGGAGAGTGAGCGTGGAAAAATTCAGAGGGCTCACCAGCAGTTCTTAAAAGAAACACAGCAGAGTGAGTTGAAAGGGAGTGGTGAGACAGGAATAGAGGTCAAGGCTTGACGTCGCGATTGAAAGAAAAGCGCCCTCAAGTGGCTGGTGGGGAGCCAAGGTACAATGCCTCCAAGTGAGGGCGGAGAGAGGGGTGGAAATTGACCGGGCGGCTCAGCCAAACGGACCAGGTCGAAGGAGGGAGATCGGGGACACGAAAGGCCGAGAATGAGTAGCGAGGGTTGGATAGGTACGGAGTAGGTATCGTTACTATGTCAGAGACAGGGAGGATACCTATGATGACTGGGTTAACGCCGGGTGTTGGGCTCTGGATGGTTGCCCTGCCGCAAAGGGATAGCCTTGATAGCCGCTATAAGCGAGCTCCTTGACAATATAAAGACTTATTCTTATTATTCCATACATTCTATTCAATTCAGTCATCATGCACTGCACCCTCATTGACTACGGAGTACATCCATACACAATAGGCCATAGTCTTCGTTGAAAGAGGCTGAGCCTTCGAGAAGCCCTGCAAGCATGTACCTTGGGCGCCTTACATTGACAATGTTTACTGATTACGGAGTACCGTGTCCTGGCAGGGATACAGACGCCGCATCTAGATTCAACGGGCGTTAAACTGGAAATAAGAGTTGAGGATCGAGCCCGAGCCAGCTGAGCTGAGACTTGTGTCAGTGTAAGGGTCGATCTCATTGCCAGACAGCTCTTGCTCTTAGGCAACCAGGCCTACAGACCAGACCGTATGACAACCAACCAGTGGGGAAGCAAAGTACTGCCATTCATCTCTCTCCACGACACGACAGCTTGATATTATTGCTTTTCTTCGGCCATTCCGAAGCATAATTGACTGAATATTAATACGGGAGAGAAAAAAACCACACTGTCCGTCAGTGTATCAAAATAGCAGCATGGACTCCATCCTGAACTGAGACAACCCTCTGAAGTGGGTAAGGTCCTCCTCCAAAGCGCTTTTAATAATAATAGCACCATCAACAACTATCTACTCCTCTAGCAAAGTATATAAAACCAGTTTCGGTCCGGACAAGAAATCTCGCCTAGATTGTCTTCATTTCTCGTCTTACTTGCGCCCGTCGACCGCCTTCCAGAACGCCATCCGTTGATTGCATCGCAGCGGTTACTAGTACAGTAGTGTTAGGCTGTGCTGTTTAGTGAAAGCTGTTAAGGAGAGGGGACGGACGGCGTCGTCTTCAACCTCTCAGCCCAGCTCGCCTTCTTTTCCTCCCTCTTCATCTGCTCCGACGTCTTCTGTCCTTGACCTTTAAATACCCCCGAGATCAAGCCCGCTGCTCTGAGGGCTTCCGCCCGTTTGGTTTCTGCCTTGTCGATTGCCTTTGCCGGTCTCTGTTATCTCAAGAAGGCTTGAGTCCACCACCCCGGCATCACCGTGAAAATGGCCCAGCAACAGGATGACAATGTGATGCGAAGGTATCTATAGGCCCCCCTGTCACGACCCATGCTCTCACACGTGGTTATCGGTCCTTAGTGGCCCTGGAGTCGAGTCGTGCTCACCTATCGCTATCTAGAAAGTTGGTGATCATCGGCGACGGCGCTTGTGGGAAAACGAGTCTGCTGAGTGTCTTTACATTGGGTTACTTTCCTACAGTGAGTTTTGTCCATTTATCCCTTTGATACTCCAATACTAATCGCTATCGTGTAGCATTATGTCCGTTGTCTCCTTCTCTTCGCCGATATCTCCTGATCATATATCTAATCCACCTCAGGTCCCGACAGTATTCGAGAGCTACGTAACAGACTGCCGGGTAGATGGCCGGTCAGTCCAATTAGCGCTATGGGATACGGCCGGTCAGGAAGACTACGAACGACTGCGACCATTAGCCTACTCCAAGGCGCACGTTATCCTGATCGGATTCGCCGTCGATACACCTGATTCTCTCGAGAACGTCAAGATCAAGGTCCGTCGCTGTCGCTTTTACCATCACCAGTAACTAACATATGGGCAGTGGATTGAGGAAGCAAACGAGCGATGCCCCGGCGTACCAATCATTCTAGTCGGACTGAAGAAAGACCTCCGCGAGAACCCCGGGGCGATCGAGGAAATGCGCAAGAAGTCTCTTCGATTCGTATCGCCCAAGGAAGGAAGCGAGACCGCAACGCAGATCAAGGCCCGGAAATACCTCGAGTGCTCCTCCCTAACGGGCGAGGGCGTCGACGACGTCTTTGAGGCCGCAACTCGCGCCGCGCTCCTCACCTTTGATAAGCGGAAATCATCATGTTGCATTGTGCTATGACATGAACGAACGGATGTATATGCCACGCCTATCTACGTATTAACTCGCGACAGCGACCACCCGACCTGAACCCGTTATCGATCTTTTAGACGTCTTATTTATGCCTAGCGTCGGGCTGCTGTGGTAGATTGGATTTTGAAAATGGAGGAACCGACTCGTGGATAAATGTTGGTTGATTGATTTGATATATCTTGCATTTTTGGGCGTCTGGCGGCTTTGCTTTTCTCTCTTCATTTCAATTCTTATTCGATGGTATGTCTAACAATCCTGTTTCTTTCCCTTGATGTTCAACGATGTCTTTCCGGATACCCATACCGTTCCTTTGTACCTCTTGATGGCTTTTTACATCACGGGCACTCCGAATTCCCTCCTTCAGCTATCGTTGTATTTTCAAACTCTCATAGTTCTACTTTACTCATATTCATATTCGGTCCGTTCAAAAGCATCCACCATTGCAAACAATTCTAGTATACAGTCGAATATAACAGCCCTCAATACATAAAGTACATCATGCCTCACCGCTTCACCGGCTTATCAACCCTCTTCCACTCATGGTTCCACCCCTCTCCAGGCCCCTCCGTCTGCATCCGTCCATACTCGATGGGGAACATATCCTTGAAGATTCTTGTCTTGATCATGCTCTTGCGGAACAGCTTTCCTCCATCGCCAGCACCCGTCCTCAGCTCCTCACAGGCAGCGTTCATGGCCTGCCACTGGCGCTGCAGCTCGAGCTGGTGGTTGCGCCGGCGGTTAGCCTGGTACAGCTGCCAGGCGCGGTGGATGGTCCAGTGGCGCAGGAAACGGGTACGACTGAAGCGGAGGGGACGCGGAGTGAGCGGGTGGTAGAGGAAGTATCGAATTAGGGCTGTGAGACGTTAGTTTACCGTATTTGTAGACTTCCGGATGATCGGCCGTGTTGGATGGGTAGAGGTTGTACGTACTGACTCTCCGATCGATGTAGGGCGACTTTCGCTTGAGCAGCGGAGTTGTTGTCGAGAATGGAGCTCGAGCTTGTGCTTGCGGGCTGCTGGGCTGTGTCGCGGTCTGCTGGTTCAGAAGGGGGATTGTTGGGCGGAGCGTCGTTTGTGAAAGGGGGATGCGGAAGACGTTTGCCAGGGAGGCGAGAACGGGAGATATTGAAGGACGCATCATGAATCAATTGACTTGCGGCTTTTTCGCGTCAATTGATCGAGATCGGACTTGTCGTGGGTGGTCTAGTTGGCTGGCTGAGGTGGTTCAAAGATCGGGGAGACTTTTTCGGGGCGGAACCAAGACGCGGGTGCGCTAATTTAAGCGCGGTAGTACCACCTATGAGGCCATAGCCGCTATACATGGTTGATAATGAAAAATAAATTAATCCTTCAGTTGATACGATATGTAATTACAAATCCGCCACAGCCTGATGGGCCCGAGCCAAATCACAAAATGTTAATTGCTCACCAAAACGCCTAGAATGCATCATCACGGGTTCATGAAGAGTGGAAAGCCATTATGCGAATCAGATTACCGTGTCACCCGTTTTTTCGCTCGATCGTAGTTCAGCACCTTGCGTCGCCTATGAGTCTGAGCGAGCTTCCATCGGCAGTACAGAACTAGCGCGTCCTTGAGGAGCACAAAGACGCAGCCCCCAATCACGCTTCGGCCCCATCTGGTCTGCAACAGACCTGGCCGTCCCCGTTCCAGAGCCGAGGTTGTTGTCCATGATTTCGGTAGGACGTACTTGAGAAGCCCTCCCATGGAAGCTGAAATAGCTGGGAAAGCGAGCGCACCGAGGACAATATCGGCAAGGCTGCTTGTCTCGTGGACGAGATTTTGACCGTTGATTCCACCTCCCTGGTTCTGTTGGTTTTGTTGTTGTTGCTGCTGGTTCGCGCCTTGCAACCCAAGGGCTTCCTGTGGATCCGCATCATTTCCCACACCAACTTGAAACTCCAAATCGAACTCCATCAGGATCTGTCCATCGTCTGCCACCACTGGTTCCGGCTCCGGCTCTGGTGCGTTATCGTCAAATTCATTGACATCTGACTGTCGTGGCTGCACCTCGGTAATCCACTTCCGCTCCCATTTGCCGAACAATCTCTCGTAGACGGCGCTGTAGAAGCTTTTGATGTATGGGAGAGCTGCAAATGTCACAGCAGCACTGGGAGGCCAGAGATCGAGGTCCGGCTCCTGACCAGGGTTATGCGTCGCGAAAAAGAGGACTGGAATAGCAGGAAGAAGTCCCTCCGCATAACGAGTCCGGGAGAAGATCAAGACCAATGGGATAAGCGGCAGTCCCAGATTGAGGCCAGGATTCCATGACCCCTCCGCCGCTTCTTCTAGGATATTTTTGGCTTCATCCGTCCCAAAGACAAAATACATTGAGTATACTCCGTGTGCGCAGCATCCAGCCCAAACAGTGCCCGCCAGAGTAAATACCATTCCCGGGAGCACCAGTCGGCCGGCTAATCGCTCAACCAACCGCACAACATCCACAATATAGCTCCTAGGGCGGGTGACAACAATTTCGGTCTTGCATTGCGGACAAACCATCTTCGCATGGCGGCCGGTTCGCTTCCGAGCGCGCGGGTTTTCGAGGTCGGCGAGCCAATCTAAAAGGCAAGCTTCGTGAGCCGTCAGCGCACATGGGCAGGGTGATCGCCATTCGGAATTCAGTGGAGTATCTTCTGTCTCGTCGGTGTAGCAAATCCAGCATTTCCGGGGCTCATCGTTGATGGTCGGGGTATTTGCAGGTCGCGTGGTGACGTTTGCATCGGGTTTTCCAACTTCATCTGCAATAGCGCTGTTCATGACGATAGTTTCGGTTTCCTTCGGTGAATCATTCGACGGTTCCTGGATGTTGTGGTGCTGGTCGGGCTGCGATGATGAGGCGGCGGGCGGAGAGGTATCGGACGACCGCGCCCTTCCAAAAGCAGAAAAACTTGGGAGTGACGCCATTGTAGAGTATATAATATATGCTGGATGTTCAGTATCGAAATATAATGTAGTCAGAGAGAGATAGCGATACGCAGCATCCTGCGCAAGGATAAGAAGTTCAGCTACCTCATCCGAGGTCCAAGCAATGACGGAAGGCAATCGGAGGCGGAAACGAAAAGGTGAGGAAGAGGAAATGCCGCTTTCGTGTGTAAAGCCAATCACAGTAACCAAAGGAAGTGATTACTTTCGATCAGGCAGTAATCACTGCAGCTTAGGAGGACTCGCGCGCTGATAGTAATCAAACTGATTCACCTTGATCGGATGTGGACAGCGGCTTTCACAGCAGCGTCACGTGAGCCGCGGGGCGATGGCATGCCTGTTTAGTGAACGTCATAGCTTTCCGTAGTCTACAGAGTATACGGGGTGTTTACTAGGTAGTCAAGAGTAGGTATGAAGATGTATTGAGCCCATTATAATGCCTTTTAATTTCCAAGATGCAAATACGCATAAATCCTACAGCACGAAAACCAACAATTATATACAGGCGAAACCGAGCCAAACTTTTCAGCGGCCAGAGCGCAATAACATGCAAGATGTGAGGAATTCGGATGAAGGAACAATGACAGCTCAGGTTGTGGGGTGTCGAAGGGCATTCGTAGACAAGCAATATTGGACCTCAAGAATGCCATCTTTGGTCAGTAGAGACAACCCCTACCCCGACAGAACCAGGGAGTTGAGACTGTCAAGAAGGATAAATGTTTGAAGGCCGGTAGCATTTTCGACTTTTGACCCTGGTAGTGTTTTTAGGTATGATGCTAGGCCCTGCTAGCGTCTGAACCCGCCAGAAACGCCGTGGATATCAACAAAATGATCGCTGGTCATTTTCGGTAATGACTCAATAACTGGCTAAGAAATCGTAATAGGTGCTATCGACGTGATTTAGATGCCGTTCGGGTTCCTCTTCTTCATCAAAGCCCTCCTCTCACGGTCCTTGGCTGTTTTGGAACGTTAGCAGCAGTCCATTATTTTGTTTTGCGTTTTTGGAACTTACCTTCATCAAAGACAAGGAACTCGTGCAAGCCGCTTCCGCCGGGAACCATGGGCAACACAGGCACCTTGCGGTCGGTCATAACCTCGAGCAAAGCAGGTCCATCGCTCTCAATCAGCCATTTCAGCTTAGCCTCCACATCTGAAGGCGCAGTGCAACGCTGGGCAGAGACACCCATTGCCTCAGCGAGACGGACGAAATCAGGGTTCTTCTGGTGAGTGTGAGAGTAGCGGTCCTCATAGAACAGGTTTTGCCATTGGGTCACCATGCCCTGCTCCTCGTTGTTAAGGAGAAGGACCTTGATACCAATGTTGAACTGGGCGGCGGTGGTGAGTTCAGTCAGAGTCATGTTGAAGGAGGCATCGCCATCAATATCAATGACAAGGCAGTCAGGACGGGCAACCTTGGCTCCAATAGCAGCGGGAAGACCGTATCCCATGGTACCAAGACCACCGGAGGTGATCATGGAGCGAGGACGGCGCCAGCGGAAGTGCTGAGCGGTCCACATTTGATGCTGGCCAACACCAGTAGTGATGATAGTGCGGTCCTTCATGTGAGCAGTGAGGTCACTGAGTTTCTCGATCAGAGCCTGCGGCTTGATGGGGCCTTCAGGAGTCTGCTTCTCGTAAAGGGAAAGCGGGAAGCGGGACTTCCAGTCGTTGATCTGATCGAACCACTCCTGGCGCTCAGGAACAGCCTCAACGAGGGGAAGAAGGTGACGAATGTTCTCGGCACAGTCACCCTCCACAGCCTCGTTCGCCTGCACCACCTTGTTGATGTTTTTGGGCATGATCTCAAAGTGAACGATACCACCACGGTTCTCCGCGGCAGCGAGCTTGGCCTGAGGGGCGAACTTGGCGATGCTGCCTGTGACACGGTCATCGAAACGGGCACCAATGGCGATGATCAAATCGGCCTCCTGCATGGCCAGGTTGGCATATGCAGAGCCGTGCATACCGAGCATATGCAGCGCCTTGGGATCAAGTTCGTCGAAACCACCGAGACCCTGGAGGGTGGTTGTCACGGGAATATTGGCCTTGTCGGCCAGCTCCTTCAGAAGCTTGGGTCCATCAGGGTTTTCGAGAATACCGGCGCCAACGTAAAGAACGGGCTTCTTGGAGACGTTGACAAGACGGGCCACACGATTGATAGTGCTGTGAAGCTGCTTCTCGCTCAATTCCTTGGCTGCCAGAGTCGCGGCGCTTGGGCGAGAGGGGAGAGTGCTCTGCATGGGAATGGGCTTGCGAAGGATGCCAGCGGTGATGTCCTTGGGAAGGTCGACGAGGACGGGGCCAGGGCGACCGCTAGTGGCGATTTCGAAAGCTTCTTGGATACGGCGGGGAAGCTCGGCGACGGATTTGACCATAACGTTCCACTTGGTGCACGCCCTAGAGATACCAACCACGTCGGCTTCCTGGAAAGAGTCGGTACCGATGGAGGTAGTGACGACCTGACCACAGAAGACAACCATGGGGGTACCGTCGGAGAGGGCATCCTGCATGGGGGTGATGACATTGGTAGCACCGGGACCAGAGGTGACGAGGACAACACCAGGCTTCCCTGAAGCACGAGCATAACCCTCCGCCATGTGGCCGGCACCCTGTTCATGTCGAGGCAGAACGAAGTCGAAATGCTTGGAGTTATAGATGGCGTCGAAAACGGGGAGAATGGCACCTCCAGGGTAACCAACTATCGAGGAATACAGTCAACATGCAATCTTTTTGGGTAGTCAGAGAAGTAGGATAATGACTCACAGACGTGTTTCACACCCAGGCGCAGCATCATCTCGTGGAAGATCTCACCACCGCTGAGGCCGACGAAGCTACAAAATTAAATCAGTTCAACTCCCACAGCTGTACGATGCATTGGTTCCATACGAGTCGTCGAGCTCGGGGAGCTGTCGGTTCTGGAGAGGCGACACTTCATTGCGGCTGGGTTCCTGGTTGAAGGCAGGGCTAGGTCGGGGACGAGATGTGCTATTTAAATTCAATGTTAGCACGCCATTTACGACGTTCGATATTTTGGAGCACAGGAATCCTCACGAAGCAGTGGCCGTTGCTGTGCTCTGGTCGCGCTTCTGAGTCGAAAAGCGGTGGGGCGTCGAGACCGCAGCAGAAGTAGCAAAGGTTCTTCGCCCAGAGGCAATGTATCTCTGGTAGTGCAGAGTGCGCAGGGCACTTTTTGATGGTCTTAAAGGCATCATCGTTGCTAGGATGACTACCAGGCCAAGCGAGCGAAGGAGGAAGTGTGAAGCTCAAAGAAAAATGAGTCGAACGCAGGTCCGGGGAGCGAGTAGACAAGTCCCTTAAGGCCGGCAAAAGAACTGGCTCGGACGCTGAAGACTCACTCACCCAAACTCCCCGAGTCGGGGGCCATCCACATAGACTAGCCGCCTCTGGCTTAGCTGACTGATGGGCGAAAAATGCACCGCTGCTGATTGGCTCCCGCGTTGCCACCGCTCCGATCATCGGCCGCATTACAGAGCCTGAATTTTTAGGCCTTTACCACCAGCCACTCCAGCTGCAGTGTGCACCGTGCACTAAACGGCCTGCTGTCTACTCCGTAGGTTATTTCACAAATTCACAAGGTTGACTTGGCATTCTTGTCATTGTCATCTAGCGCAGATTTAGATGTCTTAATACCCCAGATATACTCAGGTATATGATCGCGTGGTCTGATTGCTGGCTTTTTGCTAAACCATATAATCAGAGCCGAAAGGTGGCCACCTGCATGCGCCAACAGATCATAATCATTCCCAGGGCAAAAACATTCTGAGGACAGTAGAAGTAGGCTGGTCAATACGCCTGCAAATGGGTGCGAGAAAAAAAACTGCATCAGGCAAGTAGGTCGGGTTCAGGAAAGGTTTGTGTAATCATCGCCAAGTGGGTACTTCAAGGTATATAAACCAGCAGCAGCGCGTAAAATCGGGTAAATAAACAGCGTCTTGCTTTAATCCCGGCCAGTCTAGCATCAGATATCTCGCCCCGGTATCAATTAAGCCGAAGCAGTCGGGTTCAAGCGATTCGGACCGTGAATAACCTCCGGTGAGATGGACGGAGTACTACGGTAGCAGTGGAAATCCATCCCGTCACCAGACGACAGTCCCCGCAATTCAGGACGAGTTTAATTAAACACAGTAGACTCAACCCCTCTATGAGATCACAGGAACGCCCTTCTTTTTCTTCTCTTGTACTCTCACTCCCTTCTCTGTAGCTTACTATTTTTTTTTTTTTTGTATATTATCTCCAGGAACCCTGCTCTTCCCATCCCAACCCTAGCCCGCAGCCTCGCTTTACCCCGCCATGTCGACCCCGCAGGAACTTGTTCCCCAAACCGAATCCATCGCTGAGGTCTATGCCACCGACGACGCCTCTGCCACCACTGCTTCTCCAGAACACCTAAAGCGCTTTAACAATCTGGTCTCCCAGTTTCACAAGCACTACAACCATCGCCCTGATTTCGTCGCCCGCAGCCCCGGCCGCGTGAACATCATCGGAGAGCACATCGACTACAACCTGTACGATGTCCTGCCCACAGCCGTCAGCGTCGACGTAATTATCGCCGTCAAAGTTGCCCCCTCCGTCGGCTCGGAATCGACTGTGAAGATTGCCAATGTGCTGCCTGACAAGTTTCCGACGCGCGAGTTCACAGTGCCCAAGGACTCGGACGTCGAAATCGACCCTAAGAAGCATGAGTGGGTGAACTACTTCAAGGCTGGTCTGGTTGGTGCGCTCAAATTTCTGCGCAAAGATGCCGAATTATTTGTCCCGGCCAGTATGGAGGTGCTTGTGGACGGAAATGTCCCCCCTGGCGGTGGTATATCCAGCAGTGCAGCTTTCGTGTGCTCCAGTGCTCTCGCAGTTATGAAGGCGAACAACCATGATGTCTCCAAGCAGGACTTGCTTGATCTTGCTGTAGTTTCAGAGCGCGCTGTTGGCGTTTACTCTGGAGGGTAGGTTGTCTGCCTTTAATGATATACAATTGCTAACTGGCCATCTAGCATGGACCAAGCAGCTTCCATCTTCTCACGCCGCGGATACCTCCTCTATACGCAATTCTTCCCCAATTTCTCTGCCCAGCATGTCGCCATTCCCAAGGCTTCTGAGGAAATCACCTTCCTCATGGCCCAGAGCTTCGTCACCTCCAACAAGGCCGAAACAGCCCCGCGCCACTACAACCTCCGCGTCGCAGAATGCACTTTGGCCTCTGTCGTCCTCGCCAAAGCAAACGGCCTCAGCCTTCCCAAGGACAGCAGCTCCCTCGGGTACAGCCTCCGCACCTTCCACAACGAACTCATGCGGAAAGAAGGCCGCCTCGGCGATCCGCTCGAGTACCAGATCGATTCCGTCATCCAGGCCACTCAAGACATCCTCACCCAGGAACACGGCTACACGCGCGAGGAAATCGCCCAGCTGCTATCCATATCCGTACCTGACCTTGAAGCCACATACCTCTCGTCTTTCCCCGTCCAAGCAGAGCGGTTCCTGCTTCGCCAGCGAGCCCTGCATTGCTTCAAGGAGGCTCGCCGCGTCCTAGACTTCAAGGCTTGCCTCGCCAACCACTCAACCCTAAACGACAAACGCATCCACTACCTCGGCCAGCTACTTAATGAGTCTCAGGATTCGTGTCGTGACGTCTACGAATGCTCCGCGCCCCAGGTTGACGAGATATGTGCTATCGCCCGCAAGGCAGGGACATGGGGCAGTCGATTGACTGGCGCCGGATGGGGAGGATGTACTGTCCACATGCTACCACAGTCTAAGGTCGAGGCAGTGACGAAGGCGTTGACGGAAGGGTATTACTTGAAGCACTTCCCCGATATCAATGAGGAGAAGCTGAAGGAGGCCATGGTTATCTCTAAGCCCTCCAACGGGTCTTTCATGTACATCTCACAAAGTACCTTGAACGAGAAAGGCGGCTGTGCTAACTTGTGTACAGGATTACGGGAGCGGCCATTTCCCAGGTCGAAGTCTGATAATACGTCGCAGAGAGATGAATTTGATGTAATAAGGGTATCTTGTTTGGCTTGCTATCTAGTTCGGAATAGTATGATCCAATCCATCCGTACTTGGACATCAACCCTAAAAGCAGCAACTCGGTGTCCCACTTTCATTTATCGGCCAATGTAATGAGTGCACTAAAACTATACATAGCCAATTCGCGTTGATATGGTCTACTCATATTCCAGGTGCTATATCCGTCTCCGCGTCTGACTGAAACATGTTATCAATGGCCGCTCGCAATCATAATGGATGATTGCTACTAAATCGGGCCAGCGCGGGGCGTTAATCTGACCTTCGCAGTTTATACTACCAGGGCCTATTCCTTCGGTCCTTCGGAAGACGAAAACATATCTCGCGTCATCGACAATGATCTTGATGAAGAGTTGGCGCTGCCTCTCCCAAACATATTAACACCACATTTTATCCAAGAATGTAGGGTATTTTTATGACTTCTTCTTAGGAGCCGCCCTGGGGGCTGACTTTCCGAAGAAGTCACTCATTTTCTTCATCCCGCTTGTGTTAACCTTTTTGAGTTCCCTTACACCCCTCGACTCCCCTGACTTCCTTTTCTTTTCTTCTTCTTCCATGCGACGCTTCTTTTCAGCGCGCGACTCTGCAGCGTCGTCATCTTCTGCGTTGCGCTTGCGGCTAAAGTCACCTAGAGATCGGGAAGCCAGGGCCTCAGCGCGTAGATCAGCTAGGTACTTTAGGTGATCTTGCAGCGGCTTGAAATCAATCGGACTTTCTGGTGCAGAAAGCAGCCCGTCAAGTTTGGAGCAAAGGTCTGCAGAGACGTAGGATGTTTTTAGGAAATTCAAGGCGGTTGAGATTCTTTGAAGTCGAACTATTGAATCTGGGCAGGCTTGTTGATCTGGGAGCTCTTCAGCGGCTGGTATTGGGGTTGAGTCTGTTGCGGGCGTTGAAGGACCCGATACCGAGCTGGCCGTAGTAGTTGCCGATGTGAACTGTGAGTCTTTGCTCTCTTGGAACTCGGCTTCTTTATCGCCTTCTTTGGCGGGTGTCGAGGAGGTGGCTATATCGGTCCTTGCAACAGATACCAAAGGCACAGCTAGAGCCTGTTTGACGAAACGTTCCTCTAAGCTCGTCGGAAGACCTTGCGCAGCCATGCGCTCTGCCTTTGCCAGTAATTCCCGTAGGAATTTGGCTTCATTGACTCGGAACATTCTCTCGTCACCCGCTTCAACGGAATCGCAAACCGCATCTACCCGGCGGAGCAGTGTGTTTCTGAAGGACTCATTGTACAAGATATATCGGAGGTGTTTGGGCAAGTCGTCATTGGAGTCGATAATATCGTCCAGTGGCTGGAACAGCCTCTTCCCCTCGTTGGAGGAGCGCGAAGAGCATAGCAAGGGTATCGCAAAGAACAAGATATCGATTGGTGTAGCAACTAGAAGCTCTGCCGTCTTGGAGACTGAGCCATTGCCCTCTGTGGAAGTATAGAGAATGCTCCGCGGGAATTGCGATGCGACGACCGTGAACTCGTACACTCCGAGCTTCGGACAGAAGAGGTAGCGGGTCGGATCTCCTGTTCGCGGATTGGGCAGGGTCACAAACCTGGCGTCTGGGCTGGCAGAGGAAGGGAGAATGAATGTCTTGCTGGGCTTCACGGTAGCTTTCGCCGGCTGCGATTGGGATTGTTTCTCGGACGGTGATGGTTTCGGGGCAGGGGCGGATCGAGTGCGCATTCTGAGATGTGGTATATCCAATTGTCGCCTAAGTATATCTTTCGGCGCCCTACTATGTATACCTGAAAAAGACAAGATATGAACATAGAAGGGTAGAAAGACGCGTCCTGAACCCCTTCATAATCGGACGTGACACGCGCGCGTCGGCGGGCGATCACCGCCAAGCCTTCGGCGTCTGCGTTGTTGATCACATTATTGTTTGCTGCATCTGCCCAACGGTTTTCGAATATCGATGGCTAACGACAGAAACAAGGCAACTGTGCGTTTGTCACACCTCGACTGGCTGTGAAGCTTCCGGAAACGCTGTCCTTTCTGGACGAGCAGTGGGCTCCTTCCAAGTTCGTTTACGCGACCTACGCTGTCTTCCGCACGCCTGCGGCCTGGATATGGTGGCGACGCCACTACAATCCAGGAAAGCGTGGATATGAATAGTGCGACACTCATATTTGTGTCGCCATAAGATCACATTCGTTTGCCTACAGGTAGTGGAGGCTGAGTGCGGTGACCAGTGAGTCGCGATTTCTGCCAGAACAGACAAATTTGACTAACAAGGGATCATCATTAGTGGTCGAAACCTCGTGGCCGCCAAAATCCCCACGGGAAGCCCTCCTCAGCTCTCCTAGTGGAAGACGAAGATATGAGGAGATGCAACGCAATCGAACCCTTCTAGCCTCGCCCTTGAAACATTCAGCTGCCGCCCCGAATTCTCGCAGCAGAGCGACACAGTTATTGGAAGATGGGCTGAACGAAGATGAAGGTGATGATACGGAGGAAGACGAAGAAACTTTGCAGCTGAAGCTAGCTGCTATCCAAGCCCGGCTTAAGCTGAAACAGCTTCAGAAAAGCCGTGGGAAGGCGGGAACTCCGAATCGAGATCGAAATGAAGGTGCGGATGCCCTTTCTAGGCCAGCATCCTCAGTAAGCTTCTCGTCGTTTACCGAAGGCCAGCTCTCAAAGCCCAAAGCCTCTCGTGAGACGAGTAGTCGGGATTGCTCCGACGATATTCAGGTGCCTTTATCTCCGACACGGCGCCCAGGGCCGCCAGTGGAGTCCACATCGCCTGGACGATATAGGCTGGGCATCGACAAAGGGCTGAAAGGCAGTGATGTATCCCTGAAGCGCCCACCCAGTTTCAAGGCAGCCGATGCACGTCCCACGAGCAGACTTGGTAGTAGGGATGGTCCGGCAACTCATCAACGTCACACCTTGGCGCCTCAATCGCTTTCGTTCGAGGAGCCACGTCCCAAGAGCTTCAGTGAGCGGATGGCTGAAGGTCGCGCCGCTGAGAAATCTCGGAGGGAACAAGTTGCGAAAGCTGAGCATATACGAGCGAACCGGAGTTCCGCTTTTCAGTACGACAAGGCTGAGATGGAAGCCTTCAAGGGGGCTGCAGCGGAGAAAAGGCCTGAATGCCCTTCCAAGCTACGTACAAGAAACGAACCAACTGATAGCTTCAGCCGGAACGATGTTCTGAGGTCAGTTAACAACCTCAAGCCTTCCCTAAAGAGGAGCAAGACAACTTCCAGCCTACGAGAAAACGAGCCAAGATCATATCTACAACGGCGCAGCCAAAGATCAGAAGCGCAATCGTTTTCATCTCAACCTGAGAGCTCCCGACCTAATAGCTTTACCGATGACGCCTCCACCTTGGCTGAGAGAGCGCATGAAAAGCCTGATGCGGCCAAATTTGAACCTTTTTCTACACTTCACCTTTCTAACCGCATCCTACCACATTCTTTCATGACCCGAACTCTCGAGGGCAAGAAAGCCCTCCGCATACCAGACCTCCTTCGAATGATCAAGGGTCCACCCTTTGAACTACCGGATGAAATAGACACCGACTATGTTGTTTTCGGCATAGTAGCCTCTAAGTCAGAACCTAAACGAGTAAGGCAGCCGAAGAATACCACTGCACAGGCTGCTAACCCATTCGACGACGGCCTGAACAACAGAGACCAGTATATGGCCATCACTCTTACTGACCTGAAGTGGACTATTGACTTGTTCCTGTTTGATACTGCATTTCCTCGGTATTACCGACTCTCAGAGGGGACTCTAATTGCCATTCTGAACCCTACAATCCTTCCGCCACCCAAAGACAAGCTTGACACCAACCGCTTCAGTTTGAGTCTTTCTTCCTCCGACGACATGGTCCTCGAGGTCGGATCTGCACGGGACATTGGCTACTGTAAGGCTGTCAGAAAAGACGGCAAAACCTGCCAGGCGTGGGTCGACGGCCGGAAAACCGAATTCTGCGACTTCCACGTTGATCTGCAACTGCGTCGTGCCCAAGCAGGTCGTATGGGGGTGAACAGTGGAGCAGGTATACGGCCCGTAGGGTCTCGCTCAGGCTTTTATGGCGGTCAAAAGCGATCTATACAGAAAGGATCTGGAGAGGGATTACTCAGGGCAGATGGTGCACAGTACGACCGGGAAACCCAGTCCTTATACTACGTGGCACCGAGCTCGAAATCGAGGAGCAATACGGGCAGTTCTTTCCATCATCTACACCCTGGCCAATCTGCGGCTAGCCTCATCGATGCGGATACAGACGATCCATTCATCGCGGCTGGGATGTTGGGCCGCGGGGCAGAAAATAAAGGAGAGCGCTTCCGTCGGCGCTTAGTTGAAAAGCAAAAGGAACGAGAGATCACGCAAATGATCACCTCACGCACTGGAGGAGTTGCTGGAGATTATCTCCGAGCTCAGATTAAGAACAACGAGAATGCCCCCACCACGAATTCCGCCCGATCAGCAGCACAACACAAGAGGACAAACTCCAAGGACCCGAAGTCGCATGCTGGCTCTTTCGTCGACGACAAACCGCTTGCCATGAGCTTCAAACGTGCCGAGGCAGTGAGGCTCAGCCCCAAAAAGCGCGCGCATGACGGTGACAGACCCCATGGAAGCGGTATAAAGAAAACACGCTTTATAACATCCAACGGTATCAAGGAGGCTGGAAGGGATAGCCTCGGAGGTATATCTAATACCACGCCTCAAACGGACGATTACGATGATGACGATGATCTGGAAATCGTCTAACCTTATCCTTATCTCAAGATCAACGACTGGCAGAACGCGCGGTCCATGCAAAATGTACCTTGGCTCTAGGTAGCTTTGTCGGTCCCGGAAAGATAACATGGCAAATCGAATGGATTGAATTCAATTTAATGCTTACGACGTGACGACTTTATATATCCAAAAAGAGAGGGAAAACTAGCTAATGGAGTTTTAAAATCAATGTCTTGCATTTGCATCGTCTTCTTTCGTTCGTCTTTGGGGCCAGTATAGGATTGACTCGAAGGTCGTTGATTCTAATAGTCTACTGACTGCTTCCGCTGATTATGTTTCTTGTCTTTTGAGATTCTCGTTGGGACTTCTAGCCGGCCTATGGAGCGTCCGAATATCTAGTAGACCTTTTACTTGACAATTCTATCTAAATAAATTCTAGCACACGACTATGGGAGTCCACAAGTTGCCCAGGGTAGGTGATCGTGTTGACATTCTTTCCATTGGTTGGTATCTAGCTAATGACATGACATGGCATGCTATGCATGCGAAGTGATTGCGAAAACAGCAAAACAAACACAGTGACACCAGTAATTCCTGTCCCATCCCAGCCCTGGTGAATTTCGCTCGAGCTTCAATCAACAAAGTAATCCCTGTACTAGCCGAATAGACGTAATTAGAAAACCGGACGCGGCGGATGCAATAAGAAGTCGTTATGGAGGAAAAGGATGAAATAACAGAAAATGAAGAGAAGAGTAGTAAATCCGAAACTCCAGCAATGGTATCACGAAAAGAGACGGGTATTCCTCCGGACTAACTCCATCATAGTCGAGGATGATAAGTGCCAGATCAAGATGAAGGAACGGTAGCTCGATTACCCCGGGTCTTCTTGGAGGCTGGACCGCCGGAACTGCCTGCAGTCTCTGCGTCTCGCTTTTTGGCTTTCGAGGCTGTAACTGGAGGGGTTTGTTTCTTCCGAAGCCAGCCGTCGAATGGACTGGGCTTCTTTTTGGCATCCGATGCGGACGGGGTTCGTTCGGTTTCAAGCTCTCGCTTGGGTCGTGATCGTAGGAATCGTGCCGAAGCACCTGGAGACGGAGGCGTTGCAACGGACTTCGGAGGCGGAGTAACTGGGCGCTGGTGCGAATGAACATCGGCGGTAAGATCCAGATCCTCGGCAGCATCGTCATCATCAAGAACATGATCCTCAATGTCCGTAGCGGCTTCCTCGTCTGTGTTGCCATGCTCTTGCGCTGGGCGATCGCGAGCGCTAGGAAATAGCATACGCGGCTTGATCGACGACCGTGTAAGGGGTCGGCTGTTCTCTATGATCTCCGAGTCCAGCAAGTCTGGGCGAGCAGCCAATAACCCGAGGTCATTATCGTCGCCCTCATCATCACTGCCAAATACATCATCGGTGAACTTGCGGAACATCTTCTTGCCTCGGCTGGAGGATCGTTAGATAATTAGCAATCTTCGGAGGGCTGGATGACTTACAAAACATAAACCATACCATCCTCGCGCTTGAGAGCCTCATCGACTTCCTTGTCGCGGCTTCTGGTCCTGGTTTTGGACGGCCGAGGTCTCGTGGTCGTAGATGGTTTTTGGTAAAATGGATTTTCTTCGCTTTCGTCGACTTCAGGAATTCGATCACGGGAATCTGTGTAGATCTGAATTGCATCGCCCTGCGAGGGATTATCGCTGAAACTGTCCAAGGAAAAGCCGGTCTGCTTCTTCTTTTTCTTCGGAGCAGGCTGAGGGAAGAGAGCCCGTGCAGTTGAGCCAGCATTGTCAACAGGCTTTTTCCGTGGCGTTTTAGCCGGAGTGGGAAGCATGCCCTCGGTCATCGTCGTCCTAAAAAGGCGGGAGGCATGAGAGTGAGCGGGTTCGGCATTTATGGAGGAATCTTCATCATCGAGTTGTGTTGCAACACTCCGGCCCGACATCTTCTTCCGAGGACTCATTGGCGAACCAGGTGGTGAGAGGGATTCCGATTCAGCCGTCTTTTGCTTCTTCGCGCTCCGTGAAGTTCCTCGGCCTTGGGAAATTGGAAAGGGAGGCGGAGGAGTTGTGCGAGATTCGGTGGAAGCTCGTTGGCTAGCTAAACGGGCTGAGTGACGCGTCGAGTAGGGTTCATATTGATCATATCCATTTCCGTGTCGAGGGGTAGGAGGGATTCGCAGGTAAGACGCTGGCGGTGGAGTTGTCGCCATTGTGGTCAAAGGCAATTTACGCCAAAATGATTCGCCGCTCCTTATCGAAGTGAATGTGAGATCCAAGAAGTCGAAATTCGCGATCGTTGCAGGCGTACGTTCAGGCTGCTTTCTCGACACGTCCCAGAGTATCAAGGGAGGTCGACGCGACTACACCAAAGCGACCGTGTCCAACTGGTTTCAGGAGACAAACAAGATACACAGAGAGAGTAGACCAAATAACACCAACGGAACGGATTGATAGCGATGGGAATGAGCGATAATTGATGGTGGAAGACAGGAAGGGGCAGAAGGACGCAGGACAGCAACAAAGAGGCGGGAATGCAGAATCACCAGCCACACAGATTAATTAAGCGCTGGCTCACTGTGGAATGCCTGCCCCACCACTCTAGCCTCACTTCAGTCCAACTCGCCAATTTTATAGTAGTTAGTCCAGTTAGTCTACCCCTCAGATCTCCTGCTGAACAACCTTAAAGCCTTATCCACTCTTCGTTTCTTTACACATTGCAATTCTCGCAAACACAAAACTCGGGAATGTCTCCCTATAGCACAGCCGAGGAAATGGACCGCCTGCAGCTCTCCGACTCAGATTCTGAAGATCTCTGGGACTCACCTTCGAAACGCGGAAAGAAGAAATTGAATCAGGTCCCGATCAAACAAGAAAGCTCCCCGCCCCCAGCCGAGGCCGACCGCGATGACGAGACGCTTTTCGACCGTCAAGAGGCGCGGGAGGCTGCCCTCCACAACGAACTACGAATTGTGCGAAATGTCAACCAGGTCATAGAGGGTCTGCTAGGCAGTCTAGACAAGGCCAAGGGAAATATGGAGGTATGTCATCCTCAGTATCCTGGTATAAAGGCTCAATTGACAATGAACTAGACTGTCTCGCGTACCGTCAACTCCGCCTCTACTCTACTCAACACCTGGACGCGCATCCTGTCTCAAACGGAACATAATCAGCGGGTCATACTGAACCCCAATTGGCAAGGCGCATCTCAAGATGCAGCCGATTTGGAGAACGAGGAGCTTCTCAGGCAGCAAGCTGCAGAGAGACGGGAAAGAGAGCTCCAACAGCAAAGGGAAGCGGCGGCACGAAAGGCCGAAGAGGATGAGCGGAAGAGGGCACAGTCAACAACCACCAGAGGCACAAGGATCGTTTCCAGGGGCCGGGTTCGAAGCAGCGGACTGGGAAGAACGCCCAGTGTGTCGGCCGGCACAAGGACTACGTCGACGACGTCAGGCACAAAACCATCCACAACCACTACCAGTACGCGGCGACCGGTCAGTGGGATCGCGCGGGGACCGGGAGTGCCGCGTGGCCGGGGTATTAGTAGACAGTGAGCTGGACTTGGGTATGCGTTTCCTCGACAGCACAAACCAAAACCTCTTGATCATAGGCAAAATAATACCCGTGTATCGCAATCTGGGTTTTATTATGGAAGTAAAGTAACAAAGAGGGTCTTCAAGGTAAACAACAACATGTTCGCCAAGCCATCACCGCCTGGACGCGGTCCGATAAGCTCTTGTATATGATAACAACAACGAAGCTTAAGTCCACGCAATACCCTAGATCGCCTCACAATGAACTTCGCCCCTTATCAGGACGAGTCGCCTGAGGTGGAGCGCGCGTTCTCACCATCCCTCGAGAACCGCTCTAAATCCCCCGTTGTTCGATCACCTCTCAATTCTCCCTCAATTCCCGGGTTCACCTCCGCCGGCGGCCTACCATCTCCCAGCCAGTTTGCGAGCAGCGGTCACATTGACACCAGCGGCCATGGAAATACAGGATATGGCAGAGGGGACGTGGAGGGTGGCAGATGGAATCTAGGGGCTTTCGAAACTAGTTTGCCCATTCGGATGGATGTTGAAGCTATGCTGGCATACCTGCTTCTTCCTCCTGCTGGTGGGGTGTTTTTGCTTCTACTTGAGCACAAGAGCGATTACGTTCGGTAAGTAGTAGTGGCATTTGTATGGACTTCTGGGCTGGGCTAATGTAGGCGGCTATAGATTCCATGCGTGGCAGTCAAGCATGCTGTTTACTGTCATCTTTGTAGGTCGTCCCTCGGCAGCTCTCAGGGACGTCGTGCTGATGTGCTGCAGATAATCCACCTTATATTCTCTTGGTCCAGCGTTCTCTCATGGCTGCTGTTTGTTGGCGATCTTGCATTGATCGGCTTCCTCAGCTTGAAAGCCTACCAAGATGGTAAGCGCCAAAATATCTAATACTTCGAGTCTAGAAGCTCACAGTTGCAGTTGATACTCTCGAGCACTTTGAGGTCCCTATTATTGGTCCTCTCGCAAACTCATTTGTCGACAATGAATAGTCAACATTATCTTCCGCACCTTTGCATCGGTCTGGCCTATGCTAAGCGACTTTTATTACCTCTCGATGATTACCAAGTGATGGCCAGTGTATATTGTTGAGTTAAGCATTTCCTTGTTTGCCAAACTATTCTTTCTCTAGTGTGTGTGTATCTTTCACAGCGCCTCCAGCCTGTTGAGCTTTATTAGCATGTTCTAATGGGACGATGACTTGTATGTACTTAGATGCATAGACCGTGCTAAATCACAGATAATATCATCATATTCAGTATTCTATACTGATACCAGTCACAAATCCTTGTTTGACAGGCTCATCCTTCCCTTGTCTCAGTGCCTTCCTTTCTTGCTAAACACAGAATAAAATTGCAATCTTACATTCAATCTAGTGCATGCCGAGAACACAGCAACACAATGACATTGACTGCTCAAGTCAATGCTCACTTTATTTTTCCCATCCTCTTCCTGGTCCCATGTACCTGTGTGTTCATTCACTGTACCTGGCCATCGAAACACAATCTGCCTCTCGATCTGGGATGCCCTATCCCCCCCAAAGGTCTCGACATAACTTGACTCGGCCATCTCTTCTCGAAAAGCAGCCTCCAACCTACTCCATAACAGGATACTCAGCAACTGTTGAACTATCTTTCACGTCGTTTTGTTCTCATCTCACATACCACAAAGCAAGCCAATCCTCATTCGGTCCAGACGCCCAACGCCAGCGAAAAGCCAAAGCTAAAGGCCAAAATGTGCCATGTCCAACGCGTAACCAACAGCTGCGGCCACATAAATGACCACGTCCTCATGGCCTGCTATCTGGCAAAAGATGTTACGCCGTCACCGTCGCCATCACCGACCCCTTCCACCTTCACGATAACCCAGGAGTCCTACACTTCGATCTCGGCTCCTTCAGCTGACGCGAGTAAAAGAGAGCAGCAGAGTCAAAGCCAAACTCAACATCAGGATAAGGGAGGCCATACTCAGAGTCGGGAAAAGGGAGAGAGCAGCTCGATACGCTCAGAGAGATCCGGAAAATCAAAGATCTCCATGGCGCAGATTCAAGGGCGAGGAGAATGCTTGAGCATAAGTGAAGAGGAAGATATGATCCAGCGCTTGGGATTCGACGCGAGAAATCAGCCATACTGCAAGCTTAAGTTCCCTAAGGCCTTGGATTCGCCCAAGGGCTTCAAGTGTATGGTTTTTACGTGCGGAAGGGTTGATTGATCGATTACTTGGGCTGTCATTGTCAATTAATTGCTACGTCGCCCGATCTCTTTCTCCCCGTTCTTCTCTATGAGCGAAGGGGTTAAGGCGGGAACAGGTACTTATGACGGAGACAGTGGTGGTCCCACATATTCATTTGATGGGTACGGGGGTTTGGCGTTTAGTGGATGAGATTGGGCTGATGGGTGTTACAGAGCACTTCGCGAATAGGGTACTTTTTAGGGCTTGACAAACTCGATGTTTGCGCTGGACTTACACTGGGTCTGAGACAAGCGCAGGAGAAATAGCATGGCTCAGGCAATTGCACCAATTAACTTCAAATTTTCGTTTTTCTTACAAACTCCAACATAATAATTGCTACAGACGATCCAGACTTCCGAGGAAAAGAGAGCCAATGAGTGTCATTCTGAAGAGCATTATCATAGATTGCAAACCACAAATAAAATCCATAACAGCAAGATTCAAAGTAGGTCCAATACCCAAACCATAACCATGATCATAATCAATCGTAGAAAGAAGAGAATAAAAGAGGAATTATTATCGAAAACGACAGATATACGCAGGCCGTGGTAGTGAACAAAAGCGAGGGTGAGTAGTCAATTAAGGACGTAACAGAAAATGGAAAGAGAAGGAACATATACATCAAGGTATCTACATCGTGAGCACATCAAAAAAAAAAGCAAAAAGAAAACTAGGACAACACGCATCATAAATAGCCATGAACATGTGGCCCGGAACCACCGAGATGGAAGGTAGGGTTGTAGATCGAGATCCTGATCTAGATGATCTGGAGATAGTTACTTGGCACCAACCCCGTCCTCAGTCGGGTAGTGGTGACTTCGGCTTCCCACCAACCATCATCCTGTAGACGGATAACAGATAGGACGTCACCCTTCGTGAAGCCGAGCTCTTCAGGAATGGCGGCTGTGTAGCTGTACAAAGCGCGCGCTAATAAGACAAATGCGTTAGTCATGGTTTGCCTGAAATGAATGGTCGGTACGTACCAAAGTGTAAAATTGGACGGCCGTCACGGCTGAACTGTTGTCCAGGATCGGCAACAGCCATGGATCGACTCCGGGATCGACTGCGTTGGCTACCACCGTCGTAATAGGACATTGGCCTTCTGGGTTCTCTCTGCGGGGACGCGTAACCATCGCCCCTGCCACCGTACGTATCGGGTTGAGAAAGCTGCAGCTCCATCCCTCCAGCGCTCGAGGGTCGAGCCTGCTGTCGGAATTGAGGCTGCGGCGACACGGCCCTTGGCACAGAGTTCTGAGAGGATCGCTTGGCGAAGTCATTAGGTGAGACCGCGCGTGGAACGGATGTTTGCTGCCGGAACTGTGGCTGTGGAGATACTGCTCGAGGAACGGAAGCTTGTTGCCGGAACTGTGGCTGTGGAGATACTGCTCGAGGAACGGAAGCTTGTTGCCGGAACTGTGGCTGTGGAGATACTGCTCGAGGAACGGAASYTTGTTGCCGGATTTGCGGCTGGGGAGATACAGCTCGGGGGACGGAGGTTTGCTGCATGCATTGTGGCTGAGGGGACACAGCTCGAGGAACTGAGTTTTGCGAAGACCGCTTGGCAAATTCGTTAGGGGAAGGGGCGCTAGAGGGAGCCCTAGAGGGAGCCCTAGAAGAAGCCCTAGGAGCCGTGGTGGTGGTTGGGGATGGAGCAGCACTTGTAGAGCTTCGCTTTGCAAAGTCGTGCGGCGAGTACGGGTCGCTTGGGCGTTGTGGCGGAGTAGAGACACTTGGGGAGTGGCTGTAGCGGCTCTTCACGCTGCTTGATTGATGCTGACTTGGGTTCGGGCTTGCAGCTCGGCTGTATTGACTCATGCGCGACTCGCCTCGCGGGGTCGCTTGGGGTTGAGGTTGAGGGCTTATACTTCGCCTAGGAGCGGCAGGCGATGGAGCGCGAGGGGCTTCTTGTGACTGCCTGGGGCTGCGGGTTGAGACCGAGATTGGATTGGCCTTGCCCCGAAGCATACTCTGGGTCTTGCCTGTGTACTGCTGGGTGGTCTTTTGCATTTGTTTAGAGGTGAAGGCCGGTTGAGGGGCATCTAGACGCTTCACTGGCGCATCGTTATATGCCGGGGGTGGTGTGGCCACCGATGCTGCGGTGAAATTTGCCGCAGGTGCAGAAGGAACTGGCGTAGCAATGCCATGATACCTGTCGGCAGAGACTCGGGTTGCCGACTGCTTCCCAGCGCCTTTCAGGTCCGCCAAAGCGCGCGCAATAGGGTCGAGGTCCTCGCCGTTTTTCGCTGGGTCCGCTGCGTTCGTGAGCTTAGTCTTATCAGGAGAGGCAACGTCAAACACGTTATTTCCGACGTTCAGTTGGAAGTTGGCCCTTGGGTCAACAGGTTCAGGGCTTGCGGATCTCGCAATATCATCTGCCACCTTGGCTATCGGTTGAGGCTGTTGGGGCTTCTGAGGAGTTGGGGCTTTGATAGGACTGCTTGGCTTAGAAGGAGAATCCCAGGTCCTACGAGTGGGGAGCTGAGAGGGACCCGAGTTGCGGTCTTTGTCGTGGCGGCTCTTGCGCCGGAACGGACTGTTGCTGAAAAATTTCTTCTTCTGCACCGGTTGTGCCTCGCCGTTGCCTAGTCCGGGTAACGCCACGCCATTTGTTGGCTTGGTCGGGGACTGTCTGGTGCTAGGAGGCTCTTGGCTAGATATCGAAGTCGCGTTCGAGACCTCACTGTGGGAGCCTTGACTGGATGGACGATAGCCGCTAGCTGTTCCTGAACTGCGCTCGGAGGGAGGGCCGGTTCGGCAAAACATTGTCATACCATCTGTCGGATACGCATTGTGTGGCACAGCTGAGATTTCCCCGTGTTGGCTGGGATCGTAGTTTGGCGGAAGATGACCTCCCCGGCGGAATTCTAAGGGAGGGGGCTGCTGCTCTATAGGCGACTGCATCGGTGACTGCATAGGCTGTTGCATCGGTGGTTGTATTGGTTTCTGAGGAGTGACCGTGGCTTCCCTGCTTGACGGTATTGCATGACCGGTCTGAGCCGGCTCCATCGGCGCAGGCGGCGGCATGTCATGGTGGGACTCGTAGGTCGATGGCTGCGGGGAAGAGCTGCGGAAAGCAGGGTTGATAGTGCGCTGGAATTGAGCTACAGAGTACCCGTCTTCCTCAGACACATCAGAACTGGCATCGTTCACGTCGCCTCGAGAGAAGTTGATGAACCTCGGGGCATCAGGAATCTCCTGACCAGTACCCCTTTCCTTGATAAAGTAGACGATATCTTTCTCAACCTCGCAACTCTCAAGTGAGAGACGGATTTTTTCGCAAGACTAACTCGATTAGTCGTGGTCTATTACAAGGTTGCAGATACATGGCTTGTTTAACTTACAGCATCATCGCTTACACACACTGTTGATGCGATATTGGCGTATGTCCAGAGACTGCTCTTGGTAAAGTCGATGCGCTCTTCCTCGAGATCTTGAAATTTCTGGGCTGACATTAGCTTTAGACACCAACTAAAAGAGTCCCAGCGCAACTTACGTCACATGCAGATTTCCATTCCTTGTTCCACCGTTCGGTGGTATCTGCGAGAACTTTGACCGCGGCATCGTACTCAGCACTGCTAGACGCTAGCTGGATCTGAGTCTTCTCGAGCTTCGCCTTGTTCTTTCGCTCCTCCTGTCCCATCACCATGTGACCTTGTGCCAGGTAACCTTTTATCCTCAAGCAGTCCTGCTCGTACCTGTCTCGAGTCTGTCCGTGTTAGCGCAATTGCCCGGTGTCGCTATTGCAGGAGCTTACCTTGTTTACAGTGTGTGTCTGCTGCATCTTGGTCTTGTGTATACGCTCGATCCCATTTTGAATGATCTTTCGTCGTTCTTTGTTTCCACCTGCGAATGCAATGAGCGGTTCCTCTATTTCCCTTTTCATTTGCCCCGCGATAGCGGCGTGCGCTTTTGCAATTGCCTCTGTCTCTCCTCTCACTGTATCGAAAGACTCTCGGAGTGAGCCCATTTCATGCGTCCCGAGAGGCTTGCGGCAGAGTGTAAGGAGTTTCCGTGCGTATTCATCCTCGATGGCGGCGCGGACTAGCAACTGTCAGAACAACAGCCCGATGGACTGGGAATAGCGCGGTTGACGAACTATTATACCATGTCTTCAGTTCATCGCACGAGACTTTAGCGGCCTGCATGCGCTCCAGCATAGGCTGAACACCGGCATCGTCTTTTCCCCAGAAGTTATTGGCAACTGCGTCGACGTGGTTAGCTGCTCGATTTCTGGTAGAAGGGTGTTAGCTGCTTACAAGATAGGGCAACTGTTGGCCCATCAGCAACTGTTCCCGGCATTGCGATTATGATGTCTCGAGTTTGTTGAGCTTTGGCCAGCCTTTGCTCATTTAGTTATCGTGAGACAGTACGGAGGGATCGGCCCAGGATATAGAAGAACAGACGCTAAAGACGGTAGAACAAGTTGAGTGAATAAGAAACAAAAGCAGTTGAAACAAACTCCAGTCGCATCTGGAGCAATATTAAAGAAGACCAGCACGACGCAACTGGAACTGGTGGAGATAGATATGGAGTGGAATGGCCGCTGGTAATTATTTACGGCGCGCGTTTCTCGGGGCAACCGCTCTCAACCACGGCTGGGCACCAAGTAATCGGCGCTAGGCCTGCCAAGACCTAACGATCTATAGGCTGTAGAGCAGACGAACACTCTTGCAAACACTTAAAACAGGGCTCAGAAACTCTTGATAGCATCATCATATAGTGCTTATGTCTACTGAGTGACTAAATAGCGCTTGGCGTGGCATTTGCAATGGTTTCGCTCTTCGGCACCTTGCGTCTTGCACAGTCCCTGGCTCCGTTTGCAAGTCACGCGAGATAAAGCAATGGGTTCTAGGAATTGCTAGAAGCTTTGATTTTGAACAAGAGAGCTGAGGACTCTATCTCAGTGTCATTGCTTGTCGTGGTAGTTGCTTATGGAATGATTTGATGAGGGCCAGCTTTCAACTGAACTATATATTTACCCGGATTTCGTCCAAGATGTTAGGGGACATAGCATGGTGTGAGTATAGAAGTGGACAGAAAGAGAAGCACAGCCAGCCAACCAATTTTAGTATTGAGCTTCAACTTCGACTTCGCGAAAAGCTTCTAGAAGCATGTAGCTCCCCGTTGGGGGTTGTGAGGAGGTCCAGACTGGGGCCGCTCGGTAGTGGGCACTGGCCACAAACTTGGGTCGATACTCCAACATTTCATCCTCTACCCAGAACCATAAAACAGCCAAATCTCATAATAATGGATTCAAAGGTGTCTGACTCATACCTTCGCTATGCAGATGTAAGTCTCTCTCTGGTTATCTGAGCATACACAGTACTGACATCCCACAGGTCGCTGTCACATTCACAGCTGATCAATTCAAGGGCATCTACCGTGGGGGCAAGGTCTACCACGAGCCTGATATCCCGCACGTCATACAACGTGCAAAGGAGTATGGCTGTGAGAAGATGATATTAACGACCATGTCTCTCCCCCTCGCGCATGAAAACCTGCAATTCGTACGCCAATTCCCGGAGACATGCACCATGACGCTTGGCGTCCACCCTTACCATGCAAAAGAGATATACACCTCTTCTGAATCTCCAGACTCCGCCGAGTGTACTACCGACAATGGCACCAAATACCTAAAAGAACTCCGAGACCTTGCCAACACGCTTCTAGCGGAGCAGAGCGGTGCATTCGGGTCCCCGCTTGTCGCATTTGGCGAGATAGGTCTGGATTACGAGTACCTCAGCCGCTCGGACAAGACTTCGCAGCAGCGCGCTTTTCGGGATCAACTGGCCATTGCGGTTGAACTTCAGCTGCCTCTTTTTCTGCACGTGCGGGACTCTTGTGCTGACTTCACCTCGATCATTGAACCCTTTCTGGCAGACCTCCCGCGTCGAGGACTCGTTCATTCCTTTGCTGGTACAAAGGAGGAAATGCTCCAATTAGTTGCTCTCGGGTTCGATATCAGCGTGAATGGAGTGTGCTTCCGCACGGAGGAGCAACTCGAGATGGTTCGGTGTATCCCTCTAAACAAGTTACAGCTGGAGACTGATGCGCCGTGGTGTGAAATTTTGGAAGATAATGAGCGAATTAAACACTATTTGGAGGGTGCGAGGGCGCTCCCGCCCAGTAGGAAACATGGAAAGTTTCGGGTTGGCGAAATGGTCAAGGGGAGGAATGAGAGCTGTACAATTGAGAGAGTCGCCATGGTTGTTGCGGGGCTGCAGAAGATTGGAGTTGAAGAGGTTGCCAGGGCTGCTTGGGAGAACAGTATTAGGATGTTTGGATTGGGAGTAAAATCTTAGAGGCGCTGCTGGGGATTTAGCCACAGCACCTGCAGATTGGTTCATTGTCCCGAATAGACTTATAGACTAGGCATAGAATAGCAGACGTTTGGACATGACCAAAGAACGGCCTGCTAACGCGGGTGTCTTGATATGTAGCAGATATGGAACTTGACCTGCACTCTGTAATATCTTCGCCTTCCGAGTAGCATTAGTCGGACAGCCAGACAATAGACTGTCAGGATAGTTGCGATGATGTGTACCGCAATCCCCAGACGAAGGGATGTCAAGGAGTTGGTAATATTGACTCGACATGACGCTTGGACCGAGTAAGCCTAGCGATAAGACTCGAGTTTGCAATGTTTGTTCTGTCTCCAGCCGCACATGGTCACATGACGCAGCTCCAGACCGTCACGTGCCGTGCTATATGCAGTCGAAGCAATAGATGTAAGGCTCTATCTAGTACAAGCCAAAAGAAAATACCCACGGCTTACAGTCTGCATGAGAATCAGCCTACTGTAGAAGCTTTGTTGGTGTGTTTGCTCACAACAATGCAAACTGTCTGGGACCAGTTCTAGTAGTTGGCCTGTGAAGTCTAATCCTCAGTCACCGCCTCCAGAGTCTCGCTTTCTCTGCCATTTGACTGACTTCCGAACTTCTCTGCCACAAGCAACACATCCTCATTACCATCAGTTTCTCCTCTCCCCGCCGCAAGAGTTCCCCGTCTTGCCAGGACGACTTACCAGGCAATTATCTGGCGTCTGTCATCTTGACTACCATCATCACATATAATTTCCACCCACAACCTCAGATCAAATGATCGCGTCTCCTAGATGACCTTCCCTCCCCCTCCCCCTTCCTCCCAATCGTCGATTGCTTCTGGCACCGATAAGTCTTCCTCGACCAGGCCTCCACGGTCACAGCAGTCTCCCTGGGGTCTGCCCGTGTCGCAGTCGAGTGTTCGCCGGGGGTTGACACCGCTTGCGACCAATATTTCCAACCCCTCTGTTTCTACCCGCGGGCTGCCTCAGACGAATAGCCCTGGTCCCGGCATCTCAACCTCATCCCCTCTCACGTCATCATTCTCCGCCGTCCTGAGCTCCTCAAGGGGTCATCCACTTGGTCGGGGCATACCATCACCAGCCTCCACTCCAGGACCCTTTGCTTCGTACCAATCTGGCTCGCAGCAAAACCAGTCGCTCCCCGGTCAATCTCTCTCTTCTCCCAAAATCAGAGCTCATACCCCGTCCTCAGGGTCACATCTGGCTTCCGCAGCGGGCTCCGTCGTGGGTGGTGGAGGCTCCGGGGGAGGTGGAGGCGGGACGGGTTCTTCCAGAGGCGCAACCTTCTCTCCGCTGCTGTCCGGCACAACCGTGAATTCACCGACCGGATTCCCCTCCGACAAACCTGGTTCTGCAGCGGCTCACGGAAGTCAATCATCGCTGGCGAAAATATCCATCGCTCAGGTGTTCCTGCTATTAGATTCTATTACGGAGAAAGAAGGCCGCGAGAAGTGGGAGACCAAAGCTGCACAAATCCATAAGGTGAATCCTTTAACCCTTATGTACCCGAATACGTTCATACTAAACTCTAGTAGCTTGTTGAGTCGAACGGAATGGAGGTCTTCTCGAAGTATTTCCGACGCCTGCTCACAGGCAATGCTCCTCAGATCTTCCCGGGCCTGAACAAATCCGTCGAGAATGCCGGGAACTATCCACTTCTGGTTCAGGAGATGCACAAGGTTTCTCAGGACATAGAGCAAGCCCAAAAGATAGTGGACACAGTGGATGCATCAGAGGGCGATATCTTTCGTGACTTCGACCTTTCAACCTTCCTGGATCATTTTAAGCTTGACCCCATCGTTAAGGTTGCCTTGGCATTGACCTTTAAGACTGCGAACAAGTCGGATCTGCGTGTAAAAGGTAAGCTACCCAGATGGCGGCCGCATGAAGAACCAGTTTCTGACCAGCTGCGCTTAGCCGATGCCATCCTTGCGAACTCGATCAATCCTTTCCTCCAGAGTCTAGCGAACCCGTCCGACGTATCGAAAGACTTCAATAATCCATTTATTGGTATCACCATCGAGCGCTTTATACTATATCCACCTCGCAATTTCAGCGACGACGTGAAGTCTAAACTGCTATATGCTGCCAACCTCCGGTACCAGGCACTGGGAGTGGACTTGCCTTTCGAGGTAGCGTCCGCCCTTCAAATATTCAATTTTGTCAACCCGAAGTACACGTTGATACGGCAGCTTCATTCCAAGGGACCAAGGTCTACGTCAAGTCCTGATGCTGTGAATGAGGTTGTTTCCTTGGCCGGACCGGAGTGCTGGAACGAGGAAAGTATTGCAGCTGCCCTTCTTTTCCTGGTCCTGTCTCAATATTGGCGAGAATTTTCCCTGGAGACCTACCTTGCGACTGTTCGATCCCACTATAATGGTCGGCAAATCAACTGGCCGCTCATCTTCCAAAATTTTGATCGCGAGAGCCTAAGATTAGATGCGCGGCAATTCGCCAAGTTGTATGCGGCGCTTTTGCCGGTAGCCGCAGAGGATTCGACCCTAGACATTCAAAGGCTGTGGGGTGGTGATTGGGAACACCGTGATACTCAAATGTCCTTTTTGACTGCTTTCATCAACTCGCGAACCGATGTTTCACAAATTCCCAACCTCCGGGCTACCTTTCCCGCCGACTTTTTCTCCGACGGCCCAGAACTCGTTCGTTTACAAGGAGATCGTGCAGCAAAATCTCCTCTCCGGTCTTTGGATGTTATGAGGGCCATTTTCGAACTAGCTTTGTTCTCGCAACCTGCATGGGCTGCAACAGAAAGCCAGATGCTCATTAAAGCTGTCGTACAGTACGATCTTCCCGTCTTCTTGTGCTCCGCTTTAGCTTTACCGCAGCCATGGACCAGCGTCCAGCAGAGTTTCTTACTCCGTACCCTTGCTGTTTTTATCATGAAACAAGAAGAGGGTTATCAGCTGGCTCTCCATGGCGCCTGGCGTCAGGATAAACAATGGGTAGCGGAACAACTCTTTGCTATGTTCACCCAGGACCCTACCTCCACCGCAGCGATCTACGAACATGCGGTTGAGTATAACTGGATGGATTACCTTCTTGGCCACACAAATGGTCTCGCCATGGACCTTGCCTGTTACGCTCATCGAAAAGGTCCGTTCGAATTGGAACAGTGGGTTCGAAATACTGCATCCAAAGGTCTCATGGATATGGGCACTCTTCTGGCCAAGTACCTTCGTATCAAGGCCGATGACGAGCTTCGTGTTCAAAGAAGGGAACAGCCTGCTCCTCAGATGGTGAGCCTGTCAGTCAAAACAGTCTTTACGCTACTGTCGGTTCTAGAAGAATACGTCGGAGACCGCGAGAATATAACCCCCGTGCAACGCATCTGTATCCAAACCTACCCTCGATTGATCAATTATGGTGAAGGGTTTGATAGTATCATCGATGCAAACGGCGAAAATGGAAATGCGTTGCCCGAACTGGTTGACAAGAAGATGCAAGAGTTGTTCGGCAAAATGTACCACGAAGAGCTCTCCTTGAGGGAAATTCTTGAGCTCATGCGGCAATACAAGTCCTCTCACGACCCAGCAGAGCAGGATTTGTTCGCATGCATGGTCCATGGTCTTATTGATGAGTACCATTGCTACCATGAATACCCATTAGAGGCACTTACGAAGACCGCTGTTATGTTTGGTGGTATCATTAACTTCCGCCTTGTTGATGGTATTACTCTGAAAGTTGGCCTGGGTATGATATTAGAAGCGGTTCGAGAACACGATATCCATGACCCGATGTATAAGTTCGGCGTCGAGGCCATTGAACAATTGATCAACCGCCTACCGGAATGGGTCGGATTTTGCGCCCTGTTACTCCAGATTCCTAGTTTACAGGGATCACCAATCTTCCAAAAAGCAGAAGAGGTACTGCGCGAACAAGGAAATCAAGTCCAAGAAAACGGCCGACAAGAGAGCATTGCAGGAGGGTCTATGACGAACGGTAATGTCGACGAATCTGCGGTACCGGATGGCGCGAACCGTAAATTCCTCTCCATCCATGTCGACGCTCCTCTTCGGCCGGAGCTTTACCAGGAACCCGACGAAGAGGTGCAAGACAAGATCTTGTTTGTACTGAACAATGTGTCCGAGCAAAACATTGATGAGAAGTTGCGGGATTTAACCGATGTTCTGAAAGACCCGCATCATCAATGGTTCGCCTCGTATCTCGTGGAGGAACGTGCCAAATTGCAGCCGAACTTTCAGCAGCTATACCTTGACCTTCTGGACCGCATCGACGACAAAATACTCTGGGTTGAAGTACTTAGAGAGACGTACGCTAGTACGTCAAAGCTACTTAACTCTGAAGGAACCTTAGGGTCATCCACCGAAAGGGGTCACCTCAAGAATCTTGGTTCATGGCTGGGGTCGTTGACTATTGCCAAGGATAAGCCGATCAAACACAAACATATTTGGTTTAAGGGACTTCTGCTGGAAGGGTACGATAGTCAGCGCCTGACGATCGTCATCCCATTCACCTGCAAAGTGCTCGTTCAGGCTACACGGTCTACTGTTTTTAAGCCACCAAATCCTTGGCTAATGGACATTATCGCTTTGCTCATGGAACTTTACCACTTTGCGGAGTTGAAGCTTAACCTCAAGTTCGAAATTGAGGTTCTATGCAAGGACCTTGAAATTGACCACAAAGCTATTGAGCCTTCTGTCATCATCCGTGACCGTTCAACAGCTATTGAGGACTCGTTGTCAACAGCAAACATTCCGGATGGACTGGAAGCGTTTGAGGATATGACTCTGACCAGCATTAGCCAGGGAATTCGCAACGAGAGACTATCCCCGGCTGCTATCATGTCGACTCTTCCTAGCTTGGATAAGATCTTGGTCCTACCGTCTTCTGCAAGCAGCATGGTTGATCCCAATGTTCTTCGGCAGATTGTGCACTCCGCAGTGGAACGCGCGATTGCTGAGATCATTACACCTGTTGTAGAGCGGTCTGTCACCATTGCCTCGATATCTACTGTTCAATTGGTTTCGAAGGACTTTGCCATGGAACCTGATGAGGAGAAGTTCCGACAGGCGGCTGGGAACATGGTTAGGCAACTCGCGGGTAGCTTGGCACTGGTAACCTGCAAGGAGCCCTTAAAAGTTAGCATGACCAACTACATTCGAATGATCCAGCAAGAGTATTCGGATCAATCTATGCCGGAAGGACTTATTTTGATGTGCGTCAATGACAACCTTGACGCTGCCTGTGGCATTGTCGAGAAAGCGGCTGAAGAAAAGTCCCTTCCTGAAATTGAGAAAGTCATCGAACCTCAACTAGAAGCTCGTCGGCGCCATCGCGCGACCCGCCCTAGCGAACCGTTTATTGATCCGTCCATGACTCGATGGGGCCTGTTTATTCCTGAACCTTATCGCCAGAACCCCGGCGGTCTGAACAAGGAACAGCTCGCAATTTACGATGAGTTTGCTCGCCAAGCTCGCGGCCCAGGAACGGCCCATGCTCAGAATGTATCTACTGACTCTGGACGCCAACTTCCGGACGTTCTTCAAGAAACATATCCGCCGATCCCAAATCTTTCCACTCCCGCAGAACAGCCCGCTGTTCCGCACAGAACGCCACAACCGCAGCAAGATACTCGTCTACAGCAGTCCGCTTTAGCCGGGGCCCCCTCTCAACTCAACGGCTTCCTTGATACGCAGAACCCTCGCGACAGAGTGGAAAGTCTCGTTTCCGATCTTCAGCAAACAGCACGCAACGCCACTGAGGAACATGTGAAAGACCTCGGCCGTGATAGTGCTGTACTTCAAGAATACAACCAGGTCATGCGGACTATTGTAGCATCACAAAACGGCGAGGAGGTGGCCCGATTAACAGCGCTCAAGGCATGCACGATCCTTTACTCACAAACTCAGAGTACGTTAGAGATTGAGGTGCTCGTGCACTTGCTGGCCAAGTTATGTGACATGTCTGCCCTGGTCGCTCGCTACACCTGGACTGTCCTGGCGGAAGTCGATGATGAGCATATGTTCAACGTTCCTGTCACCGTGGCTCTTATAGATGCTGGACTTTTGGATATTCGTCGTGTCGATATGATTTTGACGAGGCTCATCCTCCAAAAGAACGTCGCTGCGCTGGACGTCCTAGCTGAACTGATGGACCAAATCCTCTTCAACGAGGAACCCTCAGCCTTGCGTTCCGATTTTTCTGGAAGTCTTGAAGCGATGAGCAAGTGGCTCGCCGAAGAGCCTGGGGTTGCGCGAGCCAAAGATATCATCAAGAAGCTACGAGAATCCGGAATCCCCGAAGTTGTGAACCCACTTCTCTCAGATAAAGCCCGTGCGAAACGGGATCAGATGGAGTATATCTTCACTGAATGGATCGGTATCTACAAGGCGCCGGGCGCTGTGGATCGTACATACTACGCTTTCCTGAAAGATATGCACCAGAGACAGGTGATGGCAAATCAAGAAGATTCCGCGCTCTTCTTCCGACTCAGCATCGACATCTCGGTCGCGAGATTTGAGCACGAGTCTCAGAACCCAAGTGGTAGCTTGGATGAGGCTTTCCTCTACATTGACGCTCTTGCTAAGCTTGTTGTCTTGCTCGTTAAGTTCCAAGGCGAGGGCACCGGCCCCATGAAGACTAGCAAGTCGGCCTACTTCAATTCAATTTTGTCTGTTCTGCTTCTCGTCCTGAATCACCATCAGGTAATGAGGGGGGAGGCGTTCAACCAGCGAGTTTTCTTCAGGCTATTCTCAAGCATACTCTGTGAATACTCCATGAGCGGGCTGCAGCATAGCGACCAGCACCAGGAGATGATGTTCACTCTGTCCAATAAACTGCTGTCTCTTCAGCCCAAGTATTATCCCGCGTTTGTCTACGGATGGTTCTCGCTGGTATCCCATCGATTCTTCATGTCTAATATGCTCAACATGCCCGACCGAGCAGGCTGGGGTCCCTACTGTGAAATCATGCAAGCACAGCTGTCTTATATTGGCGAGCAATTGAAGTCAACGAACATGACCCTCGTTACAATGGACTTGTATAGGGGCATGCTGCGCATTCTGTTGATCCTTCATCATGATTTCCCCGAATTCGTTGCCGAGAATCACTTTCAGTTCTGCAACGTCATCCCTGCCCATTGTGCGCAGCTTCGCAACTTGGTCCTGAGCGCTTATCCGTCTTCGTTCCAGAAACTCCCCGATCCATTCCGCGAAGGCCTCAAAGTTGAACGCTTAGAGGAGATGCGGGAGGCACCAAGAATTGCAGGGGACACCGCTGGCCCACTGCAAGGTGCCGGTATCAAGAACGTTGTTGATACTGCCCTTCAGAGCAACAACGTGTCGGACTCGACTATCCAACAGATCCGCGATGCCATCTATGATACAGAGAGCAAGGAGTCTGCTCTCTTCCATGCTCCGATCAATGTTAACGTTGTACTTCTCAACGCACTCGCCCTCTATATTGGTCAAGGAGCAGCATCAAAGGGAAATACTCGCGCGGCGTTTGAGAGCTCACCCCACTCGGCTTTGTTAGAGAAGCTCGCTAAGATTCTGCGGCCCGAGGCCCGCTACTACCTCCTGAGTGCAATGGCAAACCAACTTCGCTATCCTAACAGCCATACCTACTTCTTTAGCTTTGCAATCCTGCGTCTCTTCGGCACAGACTACACGGAGCAAGACGAGTCAGACATTCGTCAGCAAATCATTCGTGTGCTTCTGGAACGACTCATTGTTCACCGTCCCCATCCATGGGGTCTAATCATCACCCTCCAGGAGTTGCTGCAAAATAGTAGCTATGCCTTCTTCCACCTGCCTTTCATTCAGGCTGCGCCTGAGGTAAGTGTCGAGTCCTCCTCATCATCTATTCCTATACTAATACCCGATCAGATTGGCCGTCTATTTGATGCTCTCCTGCAGCATATCCAACAGCAAAGCCCCAGGGCGATATCCTAAGCGATGCGATTATATTTGCTTGGTAGCCTCTCCGTCGTAATCGGGCACTCATCACACGACGATTGACATGTTTACGTTTTACGGTGTTATAGAATGCCGCTGATGACACGAAGTGCCAAAACCTGGAGCATGATGGCAGGGTTATGATTTGAACCCCCTTTTTGCTCTGCATTATTTACGTTTGTTCTCTGTTTACCATCATTTTCCGGCTGGGTTACTGGGAGGGATATGCATTTCAGGACGTGGCAGCATGTTCCAAGCTTATATTTTGTTTCGTTTACATCCTTTTTTTTTCTCTTCTCTTGGTGTCTTACTATTGCTACAGCCTGCGTTGTGGCTTGTAACGATAGGGTATAAAAACATGGTCCTAATGAGTTCTGATTTGCATTATAATGGAATTGGGTGTTCACGTTGGACTTCAGGGTCTGTGATTTATTCTCAATAAATCCCGAATCTAAATAAGTCTATGATCTTAGAAACTCGTACTCCGTGCCCTGTACCTGGATCTGAACCTGTGGGGAGTTCTTATCGGGGACGGTGACGTAGATGATTTGGCCGAGCCCAGCCTCTCTCCCTCGTCCGCAGCTCAACCACCATCGCCACTCGGTCTGCTCTCCACGGCCTCCGCAGTGACATTATGGACTCGGATGACTCGTGGGACGAAGGTGTCAATACTGGTCCTTCGTTTGCCGCGAAAGCGACGGTGATCATTGCCAGCAATTCTTTCACAAACACTTGAACTAACGGTAATACTTTAGAATTCGCTGTTGGAGCCTTTACGTCCACTGGTTTCGAAAAATGCGCTGACGGCCTACCTGGGTACCTTTCTCTTCTTCGCGACCGCCATATGCATGATATTTGTATCAATCCTCGCATACGGCGTGTTCTACTACAACTTCATCCCACAGGTCGGACTTGAGCGCATTGTTCATCTACAATTTGGGTTGGTGATTCTTTATCGGCAACCGTTCTGGATAAATAGAGCTTTGCGCGGCTAATTTGTCATGTTCGTATAGAGATGACCATCCCTGGGGCATTGCGGCTCTTGATTCGTCTCTAGTATCGTCCCAACCGTACGATGTGCACGTGGAGCTCGAGCTGCCCCGGACACCTTCAAACCTAGCTACAGGAAACTTTATGCTAGACCTCACCCTTCTTTCGCATTCTTCGACGTCTGCCCGCACTGGCGAGAATACCACCGCTCCGCCTATCTCCCGCTCCCGCCGCCATGCGATCCTGACATATGCCTCACCTCTAATTGACATCACGTCCAAAGTCTCATTCATGCCTCTGTATGTCCTAGGTTGGAAGCGTGAAGCAGAGCGGCTGGTGGTGCCGCTGATGGAGAGCGTCGAGTTCTCTCGTGGTGCACATAATGTACCTGAGACTCTGCGCTTGGAGATTTATAGTGAGGAAAAGATGCAGTTCTACTCGGCGAAGATAAAGTTTAGAGCGAGCTTTACGGGGCTACGGTATGTTTTCCCCATGTCTTCGGGTATACGTATCTGATGAAGCCGCAGGTGGATTATGTATCATTGGAGGATTCCGTCATTCTTTGTCTTCAGCTTCATGTTCTGGTCGGTCTCAATGTTCTCCTTCTCTTTATGCTGGGTACTTCTCGCCTGTGTGTTTAATAATGGCGTGAAGACAGAGGAAGAGGACGAGGGGGCTATTAAGGAAGAGGACGAGAGTGAAAGTGAGCCCGCGATCAAAAAAGAACCGTCTGAGAAGCTTAGCCTCCCGGAGATTGAGTCTACTACGGCGTCGTCGGATAGAGTGCTCGATAGCGATTCAGACGATGAACTGAACCATGACGTGGGGCGCAGACGCATGATCACGACGCCCGATTCAGGGCCATCGGAGGCTGGGCTTGGAACAGGGACGGAAAGAGCCGGACCTTCAGGTGTCCAGCGGCGGCGAAGCAGGTTACTGAAGGAGGAGGATACGTAGATAGCAGCCATTTATTTATGTGATGAATGACAAGCTAATAATCGCCTGATTGTCTCCAAATTATCATGTCATCCTGGGGGTGGATGATGTCGTTTGTACCCGACGGCTATTATCGATAACAAGCGGGGAAATTCCTCCTCGCAGTCTCTTTGCGGCACTTTTAGTCTTCTTCCTAATCCCCAGCCATCCTCCTCTGCTGCATACCACCCAATGCATATCCTGGTGAGTTGAATGCGATTCTTTTAACTTCAGCTGCAGCTGACAGTTCATTTTTTCAGGTAGCGAATGATGACGGCCCTCCGTCGGACCAGTCGTCCCCTTACATCCACTCTTTCGTCCACACATTGCAGTCCGCAGGACACACCGTCTCTGTAGTCCTCCCTCACCAACAGCGGTCATGGATAGGTAAAGCCCATCTGATCGGTGCCGGCGTCAAACCGACCTACTTCCGCCCCGGAACCCTGCACAAAGACGATGGCACAACCCACGAGTACCCCCGCGGGGACGACGACCCGGATGGCGACGAGTGGGTTCTCATAAACTCGACCCCCGCCAGTTGCGTGCAGATCGGCCTCTACCACTATTTTCAGGACCGTGGGCCTGTGGACCTCGTGGTATCGGGGCCCAACTACGGGCGCAACACTACGACACTTTTCGCCATGTCGAGCGGTACAATCGGTGCAGCCATGGAGGCTGCGGCATGTGGGAAACGCTCGATCGCCCTGTCTTACGCCTTCAGCTCGCGCAACCATGATCCCGTTATAATTGCAGAGGCATCTCGGCATTCGGTGCGGGTTATCGAGCACCTTGCGAAGAACTGGGATGAGGGCGTTGACCTGTACAGCGTGAATGTGCCGCTGGAGCCTGGTGTTAGTGAAAGCAAGGTCATGTACACTGAGATGCTCGATAACCGGTGGTTTTCTGGAAGCTGCTTTGATGCGGTTGATGCTGAGGTACCGGTGGAGAATCCTGATAAGCGAGAACAGACTCTGCGAGACCAGGAGGAGAAGCTGGAGGAGGATCCCACTGTGAATGTTAACGCCACGTCTGGAAGGAAGTCGCGGATTCCTCATAAGCACTTCGTCTGGGCGCCTAAGTTCACCGACGTCTATCGAAGCGTCGAGGAGAGTGCCCCTGGAAATGACGGCTGGACTGTCAAGGAGGGAATGACAAGGTGTGTTTACTCAGTTCCATGACCTCTTACAATGCATCGTGGACCTGATCTAACATAGAACAGTGTTACCCCGCTTAAGGCCAACTTCATGCATACGCCTGGTATCAAGGGAGAGATCAAGCTGTGAGTGGTTTCGGCGAGCAGTTCCTGTCTAGACGGCCGCTTAGAACATATACCTTGCGCTCTGTTTTATCTATCAAGCGATGCTACGTTCTATATGTGGATTCATGGTCTGATAGTTCTATATCGCGTAGATCGGATAATGATGAGCCCGCCTTTTACTCCATAGTGGATTGTGACGACCCCTACGTCCAAGGACTGGTCGAGCAAGCACTCCGATCGCGTGTGGGGTCCCGCTGCCGGCAGGTATCATCTATATCAGACCTTCCCTCCCGGTCCACCCCAGTGTTCCAATACCGCGAATACGAACGCCTGGATTTCGAGCACGCCATGATGCACTCTACAACGTCCCTGACCAACGCCTACATCATCCGCAAAGCCTTGATCCGAAAACATTATCTCGCCAATACCGTCGCGAATTGGGTCACGAAACACCCAGAGAGCGTGCTAGCGAAGCACGTCAAGGTCTCCGTGGACTTTGAGCTCGATTACGCCGAGTTCCTCGACGATGCTTTACTTGAGGCTTATGAGCTCCGCGGGAGTCTAGAGAATAACGAATCAAAACCGGACTCCGAGAAGGAATGGTGGATTCTCAAACCGGGGATGAGTGATCGTGGACAGGGCATCCGGCTGTTCAACAGCGAGGACCAGCTCCGCGAGATCTTCGAGGAGTGGGAAGTCGATTCTGAAGACGAAGACGAAGACAAAGATGAATCCAATGACGAGCGCGACGACGAAACCGACAAGGCTGCTGCGAGTGGTGTAGTGACCTCGCAACTCCGCCACTTCATTGCCCAGCCCTACATCGACCCGCCTCTCCTTCTGCCCTCGCTCAACAACCGCAAATTTCACATACGAACCTACGTCCTTGCCACCGGCTCATTAAAGGTCTACGTCTTCAAGGAAATGCTCGCCCTCTTCGCTTCGAAGCCCTACGTCTCCCCAACCTCCTCCACCGATGACGCCGAATCCGAAGACCCCGTCGCGGATCTAACCCGCCACCTAACAAATACCTGCTTCCAAGATAAGGCCCTACCAGAGTCTGAAACCGTCCGCCGCTTCTGGGATCTCCCATCCAGCCCGCCGCCGAGTGCGAAGCTCCCCAACACCTGGAAGGAAGACGTCTACGAGCAGATCTGCGCTGTAACAGGCGAGCTCTTTACTGCTGCCGCGCGGGGCATGATGATCCATTTCCAGACGGTCCCGAATGCGTTTGAAGTCTTTGGTGTGGACTTCTTGGTCGATGAAGGTGGCAATGTGTGGTTGTTGGAGGTCAATGCGTTCCCGGACTTTGGGCAGACTGGCGAGGAGTTGAGAGAGGTTGTTGTGGGAGGGTTGTTCGGGGGTGTGGTTGATGTTGCTGTTAATGGGTTCTTTGGGGAGGGTGGTGAGGTGAAGGAGGATAATGGGATGAGGCTGGTTGCGGAGTTGGATCTTGGGAGGAAGAATTGATTTTTGTTACAATTGTGGTCAAAGCTGACGGCGTTGTAGAAGAGAATGGTATAGATGGTCGGATGTTAAAAGTTTGATAGATGCCTAGATAATTGGTTGCTTAATGTATTGCTCTTCGGTTGCGTTTTACTTATATATAGTCTATGAACCTCACTAGCCAAACCTCTGCTTTGCCAATGTCTTCAACCACCCGATTGTCTCTTCCTCCTTCTCCCGATATTGCCTAACTCTCTCCTCCCGCTCCGCCGTTTTTGCCCGCAAGATTTCCTCTCTGCGAAGCTCTCGCTCATTCTTCTTACGCTGCTCCCTCTCCCTAGCAGATTTGATAGCAGCAAGATCATTCTCGCCAGAGCCCATGAGCTCGTCATCCGGCGCACCCTCTGTAGGCGAGCCACCGCGGCGCGACTCTGCAAACGCCCGATTAGACGTTGCAGCCTCTCGCCGCTTCTCCATGCGGCGCTCGTGTGTGCCTGGCTCGGCGCGCGGCGCAACTTCGTCTTCCATATGGCGGACCGTCGACCTGTGTGAGCGAATTTCGGCACGGTGCTGTTGACGCGCGTCATATCGGTCTGCCATAGCGTCTTCTATGGCGGTTTCTGTGGCTGATTAGTATGCCGACCGCTTCTACTTGAATAACATCGTTCACAAAGGACGTACCTTTCCGCAATTCTAGATCTTGCATGGTTGGTATTGCTGGGCCAGGCGCACGTCCACGACTTGGACCGTACTGGGGCATGGGGCCGTACTCATCGTCATCGTCATCATCATCTTCCTTTTCATCGCTTTCGCCAGTATCAGCGCTAGGTACAGTTCCCTGTTGCCTTTCCCCTCCCGCGCTCTTGTACGAATCTTCCGGCCCCGGCGCAATTGCGATAGCACTTCGTGCCTTCTCCAGAGTAGCAGGGTCATACCACCCCTCCGCCAATTCTCCACGGTTCCTAATATGTCAGCCCCTGACCCATCTCCAACGAAACGTACACGCGCAATCCAGGGCAAGCAAGCTATATCACCTACCATTTCCCCACAAAACTCTTCCACCGCCCCTTCAGCTCATCCTCCGCCATGTCCTCGAGTAACTTCCCCTTCTGGATATCGAGGTACATCGCAAACATTGGCTCGTAGATCTCTAGGTCTCGTTTTCTCAGTTCGCGCGCTTTGAAGGGGAGGGTTATTATTGCGACTCTTCTTTCGGGTTGAGGCTCGCGTTCGGTGCGTCGGTCGCGGTCGCGGTCGCGGCGATAGGAGTGGGAATAAGAGTGTGGGTGTCCATGTCTGTGGCGGCGCTCGCGCTCACCCTCGCGATCACGATCGTAGTCATCGCGGCGATGGTGCTTGCAATGTTCGTGAGATCGTCTTGTTGGGGATCGCGAGCGGGCGCGTGAGGGGGAGGTTGATATTTGGTGATATTCGGAGGGGGGTGGCATGGTGACTTTTCTGTCTTCTTTTTGTTTAGTGCTCCGAGCTGTAGAGAGGCCTTCTTCAAGCCCTCTTGAATCTGGTTGGTCGAGAAGATATGAAGGTGAGGTACGAGGCGGAGTGGAAAGGTAAAGATGGAGATGCCAAGAATTGGTGATCAGACGCATCTTCACATGCTGATTTACCCTGACTACTCCACGCTATGGGCTATTATACGCGCAACGCMTCTGCATCGAGATGTGCAGTAGGAGAACTCAGTAGATCACAGTCGAGTAAAGCTCTTTTGGTCTTCGTTGAACTTGGCAACCCCGCCATAATGGAGAATTGACAAACACTAAAAGGTACAGAAGGTAGTCCGTACAATGGCTCTAGATATATGCATCAAACGGTTAGAAAGACTAACTAGGAGGCGCGCTCGACTGTTCCGCGCCAGTGTTTTCACCGGACGCCGGAGTGGAAGGAGATGACGCGGGCTTGGATCGATTCGCAGCAGCCAACTGCCAGGCAGGAATTGAGGGGGACTTGCTGAACCGTGATAGAGGGTTGGTGGGGTTGGCAGAGCCGGCGCTCGGAGTTGCCGCTCCGGAAGGAGTTTCAGATTGGGATGGAGTAGGCGTAGTTCCGTTGGTTGCGGGTGCGGACGAGGGCGAGGCGGACTCAGTGCTAGGGACGGTTGTATCAGGTACCCTTGCGCTAACCGGAGAAGGAGCAGCAGCACCACCAAGTCTGTTACCCAAAAGTGTCTTCAAGCTCTTCAGTTCGGTTCCCAGCTCCCGCAGTCGGTTTTCATTGCCCTCGCGTGCCCCCTCTAGCGCCTTCGGGATGGCGTCTTTCAGTGCGTTGACCTCATCATTGATGCGCCTAGTCTCGTCATCGCGCCGCCGCGACGCAGTCTTCAGATCGGCAACCAAAGTCTCTACGTCTCGCAATGTAGCATCCAACTTCTCAGTACGCGCCTCTTCAGCCGTCTTCAGGGCGGCGGTGTCAGTCGAGAGCTGTTCGATCAAAGCAAAAGCTCGTGAGAATTGCTCATCGATATTCTGCTTGTCTTGTTCTAATTGAGGCGGAGTCGGGGGTGCGATCAAAGGTGTGATATATCGCTAGATCCGTCAGAAGTCGAACCGCAGGGATGTGATATATCTGCCTACCTTTGCTACTGTGTAGAGTCCAAAACTGACTCCGCCCATAACCGTAGCCATTATGAACCAGTCGCGCCAATCCCGTTTCGGGGGCCTTTTCATCCGGCATTAGTCAATTGTTCCTTCGCAATTAGGGATTGGGCAGTCGACTCAAACTCACTCTGGCGGGGGTTGCCACTGGCCATACGGTGGGTAGCCATATCCTTGTGGTGGTGGAGGGGGTGGCCGGTAGATGGGCTGTTGTGGTGCGGCTTGGTATCCCGACGATGTCGACGATGCTGCGGCTACCACTGACGGGTCCTCGCCGGTGCGGGCGAGAGCTACATCAATCTCTTCTTTTGTAAGGTTCTTAGATTGTAGAAAAGATATCCTCTTCTCGATCGGAGCTGAGGCCACAGAGGGATCCTGTAGGACTATGGGAGAGAAAGTGTGAGTATGCTATATCGCGATAGGAAAGGCGTTCGAGTACGCACATGTCACCTAGGCGATCCGTCAGTCAGCTCCGTGATCCACACCCGGAGTCTAGAGGGCGCAACACTTACAGCTGAGGAGATCAACTCCTCTCGAACCATGGTGGCTTATCCTTCGATTGACTACTAGTCAAAGAAGAGGAGGTGCATGGATTTGGAAAGGGGAATGGGGAAGGAAGGGAAGAAGAGATGGCAGGGAGTTGGAGAAGCGCCGCATCGGCACCGAAAGCATGAACCTCGGGACGTTTTGCCGCCCGCGTAGTACTACTATGGCGGAGGCTCGGAGCCTTCCCCGGAGTCTCGTGATCCTTGATGCCGGAACCAGGTATGGCAGAATGAGTTCCGCCCAAGATACACCGCTTACTTATCCTAGAACAAGGTGGGACCGGGGGGTTCTTGTTTACATTCGGGGCATCCTGCGATTATTTACCAGCGCAGTCACGACTCACTTCTTTTCCGCACCAGTACCTGGTTTTCGGCCTTTCTTACTGGGGAACCCCCAAATCCAGACGCTTGGGTCGTATTGGCTGACACTTGCTTTTTTTTTTTTTGAATAATTGTCAAATCCGTGTCACGCTGCGGTCGCAGCTTCCCGATCCACCATGTCGCAAGATACAGGATTATTTAGCATCAAACGCCCCCGCGACGTAAGTCTAGTGCCGCCTCTTTCTTCGCATTAGAATATTCGCAGGATAAGGGAATGACGTTTGTTTGTACAGACATTGGGGAGCGTCCAAAATTATTCAGGTCTCCCGCAGCCGTCGTCAGCCCTGAAGCGCACCAGCTCAATCGGATACCAGAACCCGCCGTTCACTTCCCAACACACACGCTCCATGTCCCTGATGAACTCCGTTGGTCGCCCTCAGCAACCGAACTTTCAGCGATCATCGTCTGGAGGCTTTGGCGCGGATCCCGGTCTTTCGTCTGTCAGACGCTCCGTTTCAAGCAATGTCTTTCACGGAGCCAGCGCTGGACGGCCGAGCTTTGCCCCAGGCTCAATGTCATCCAACTCGGCTTCCCAGAGCTTACAGAGAAGGAGCAGTGTATTCTCACGACCTTCCACGGGCGGTGCCATGGGTCACCAGTCATTTTTCACACAAGTGCCTTCGGCCGCCGGCGTTCCTAGAGATCCACGACCTCTCCGAGACAGATCTTTCCAGGCTCGCATTGCGCAGGAGCTGCTGGAGTACTTAACCCACAATAATTTTGAGCTCGAAATGAAGCATTCTCTTGGCCAGAATACTCTTCGATCGCCAACTCAAAAAGATTTCAACTACATCTTCCAATGGCTGTACCATCGGATTGACCCAGGATACCGGTTCCAGAAAGCGATGGATGCGGAGGTTCCACCAATCCTAAAGCAGCTACGCTACCCGTACGAAAAGGGTATCACGAAATCGCAGATAGCGGCTGTCGGAGGTCAAAATTGGCCTACATTCCTAGGAATGCTCCACTGGCTGATGGAACTGGCGCAAATGATGGATCGGTTTGCTCTAGGAGAATACGACGAGGCTTGCGCGGAGATGGGAGTGGACGTCTCGGGAGACCGTATCATCTTCCGTTTCCTCACAGGGGCCTACCACGACTGGCTACAGGGTGGAGAGGAGGAAGATGACGACGCTGCTGGACAAAGGCTTGTCCCTCACATTGAACTCATGGCCCAGGAGTTTGAGAAAGGCAATGAGAAGTACGTCCAGGAGATGCAGGTTTTGGATGCTGAAAACCGGTCACTGCGCGATCAAATCGAAGAACTGGAGAAGAATGCTCCCGACATGGCCAAGCTTGACAAGCAGTTTAGGATCCTGGAGGATGACAAGAGAAAGTTTGAAGACTACATTCAGAACGTGCAAGGCAAGATCGAAAAGTACGAGAGTCGCATAACCTTTCTGGAAGACGAAATCAAAAAGACAGAATCGGAGCTGCAAGCCGCTGAGGAAGAACGGGCGGGGCTTCAGGCTAGCGTCGATCAACAAGGCCTAACGATCCAAGATATTGATCGCATGAACACCGAACGCGACCGACTTCAGAGGAGTCTCGATGATACCGTCAATCGCCTGGAAGAGACACATGCCCGAGTGATGGCCAAAGAATCTGAAGCTAGCGCTAAACTCGAAGACCTAGAAGAACTCGTCAAGACCTATAATACACTAGGTTACCAAAACAGTCTCATCCCTTCGACTGCCGTCAATGCTAACGGACAAGACTACGAGCTCGGCCTGAACGTGAACGAGCGTAGTTTCTCTGCATCACAGATCGGTGGCATTCCTAGCAGAATCTCACCGGAAGCTGATAGGCTGTTAGCTGAGCCTTTCACTGGCTATCATCCAGCACACCTGTTGAACTTGGACCTACGGGGCATGGTTCGCAGCAATCTACAGGCACTTCGGAAAGAGATAAACGAGCGCAGAAAGCGCGGAATTGATGCCGATTTGGAAAGACGAAACCTGTTAGATAACATCAAGGAAGCCATGGATGAGAAGCGGAGCGAGGTTGAGGCGCTAGAACATAAGCGACGCACAGCGCAGGAAGATTTCGAGCGGCTCAAAGAGGTTACAACCACCCAGAAACTCGCATCAGACGCGCAGATTGAGAAGATGGAGAAAGAGTTGGCGAAGATGCAAGCCACCATGAGTGAGAGTGTTCAGCTCATGGAGCAACGCGAAATGAACACCAATATCGAGTATGAACAGCTCACGCTCCGAGCCAATACTCTTCGAGAAGAATTGCACACCAACGTCGAGAGCATGTTGAACGATGTTATCCGGTTCAAGGTCCATGTGCAAAAAGGTCTGGAAGACTACGAAAACTTTGTTGTGGATGAAGTAGAACAGGAGTTGGGTGGCGACATGCAGATGGACGAAGAAGGTCCTATGTCTACCGAAGAGCTCTGAAGCCGATGATAACCCCGTCACGGACCCCTCACCTGCGCTGCTGCTAGCATTTCCACGTGCTTGAGCTGCCTTGAGAATATCAATCTTTAATACCAATCTACAAATGCAGGCCACGACTGTCAAGAACGCGCTCAATTTGGTCACGAACGCCATGGTGAAATCTATACTGTGTTGGCGAGCAGATATCTTGTTGGTCAGCCAACAATTCGTCCATGACTTTGTCTGCACAACCTTCTTCCAGGTTTACAAGAACGATTGCCTGGATCTATCTTGACAAACGTTCTAATTTTGAAGCCGTGCCCTTCTATCTCTATGCTGCCGGCAATATTCAATTATAGATCGGTGTATTGGTATCTGGCTGTCTTTTGGCACTTTGTCGTTGTTTTTGCGGGCGGGACTTGATTTGGCTGTATTCAGCTTTATTCCTTTTTGGACGGATATATGCTTGTATGACTTATTTATGGAGATTACGGACAGTCTGATACCATTGTGCTTGGGTTTTGTGCTATGATTTTATTTCATTTGGCTATACATATATCAGGTCCTTGGAGTGCAGCGCCAATGGCAACATATTTGTCCATACCACGCTCACATGCTCGACGCCCAGGTTCCACGCCAGCTGGATTGCAAACCCTCCGTGCTTATTCTGGCCAATTGGCTAGGCCATGCACAGGAGAACTAGGGCAGCCCACAAGTTGTGTGAGTTATACGGCGTGGACGGTGCCACACAGCGCCCCAATCACTCAGGCATGCGCCTCTCTGAAGAGCTTCGGCTGATTTCTCGCCATGTCCCAGGCCTAGACGTGTTGACTGGGGTAAGAGGTTCAAGGCATGCCCCTCTCCCCGAAGACAAGCATATAAGGCGCGGTGCAGTCGACCTTCGGCTGCGGCTCAACATCCCTCAGCAGGCTCTCCGTTGTATTGAGGTTGACTATCCATCGACGGTCCGCCAACTCAAAATCATGACGACCTCTGCTACCTTGAGTGCGGTCTCTGCCCTTCTCATAGGCAATGCGGTAGCTCAAATAACCATCGTATGTGCCCTGCTGGAGGGAGCATCATTGTTCGTGCATGTGCTAACATATCTTGCAGACCATCCCTCCCCTGCCAGACCGTCCTTCCGTCCCTATGCCAACTATCCCAAGCACCATCTCTCTCCCGAGTCTCCCAAGCCTCCCAATTCTCACCTCTTTCCCACGCTCCGCATGCGTTCCTTTACCGCCTATTCCTACTGCCACTGTAATCCCAACTCTAGTGGCTACAGCATCTACCGCTAGCTCCGATAGCGACACTGAACCGTTGCTCAATGACCAGTTTGAGCGGACGCACCCGCGGCAGATGGTGCTAGTTGATCTTTGAAAGCTTTCTCGTCTATCTTATGGGTCTTTACAGGTTGCCAGGATGCGTCTCGCTTAGTGTTAGCTCTATGGTCACTCGACACAATGTTGCTTAGCTTGGAATATTAGTTTTATTCTACGTGCTGAACCGCTCGAACTTGGCCTCTAATGGTGCCACCTAGCAGGCGTATTGCTATAGAGATTTAGGGCCAGATCAAACACAATGATGGATCTCTCTGTATATGCACTACCTGAGCAACATATTCACTTCAGCCCTCCAGTTACCTCCACCACACTACCAGTCATATACGAACTCTGCGGGCTGAACAAAAATGCGACAACATCCGCCACCTCCGACGGCTGTCCCAACCTCCCCAGAGCGAGCCCGCTAATTAGTCGCTGATTTGCATCCCCGCCCTCAACATTTCCGGCCATGGTTGGCGTATCCGTATATCCTGGGGCAACCGCATTAACTCTAATACCCCGCGGTCCGAGCTCCAACGCAAGAGCCTTGGTGAACCCCACGATGGCGTGTTTCGTCGCACAGTACACCGTGTAGCCCGAGTATCCACGAAGCCCACAATTACTCGCGACGTTGACAATGGAGGACTGCCCAGAGAGAAGCGGAACACAGGCGCGGCTCATATTGAAGGTCCCGCGAACATTGACCTCCATCAGGCGGGTGAAATAGGAGTCTGTCGTCTCTGTGATGGGGATATTGGTCGGGTTGATCCCGGCGCAGTTGAAAAGACAGTCCAGTTTGGGCTCTGCTCCAGTGCTGGTAGGGATAGACTTGACGACGGCCTCGCAGTCTGCTGGCGAGGATACGTCACACTTCTGGTAGACATGCTTGGGCTGGGACGAACCACTTTCCTCCAGGTCGGTTTTGACCTGCTCGAGGAAATCGGTGCTGATGTCGCAGAGGATCAGGGTTGCACCGAGGCCATCGAGCGTTTTTGCTGTAGCCCGCCTGAAAAAGATATGAGTTGGCTACTCACGGGACTGTACATGATGCAAGGACAATGGACATTGCTCACCCTATACCACTTCCTGCACCAGTGATGAGAACTTTCTTGCCTTCGAAACTCTGAGCCATTTAAGTGAAGATAGTATGTTGTTTTTGAATGGGTATTTGGGGTTCGTGGCTTTATCTGCAATCCATTTGGAGACTGAGGGGCAATCCTGTGTTCAACTATGAGCTCTCCAAACCCCAATTGTGGAGATGTGGAGTCGATCTTATCATGGCAGTAGCAATAGGAGGCTCGAAAGGACTCAGGAGGACAGAGTGAGATAATAGCTGAGCCTGGTACTAATTTGATGATCTTTAACAGACTATCTTGCTGTCCTGCTCACAAATGGTGTTGAAGTCCTCCAAGGCCACCATTTCACGAAAGAGGCTTTATGTCCAGCAGTAAATGCTGGCAGGTAAAATCTCACTTGAACGTCCATATTAATCGCTCTCTTCTATGGCATTTCTAAGCATATGTATTGACAGGCAGGTTTTACCCCGTACGGGAGAGTAGATGTACGAGTGGCACGTGACCAGTCGTATACTCTGTAGAGAGCAAGGCTCTGATTGGTGAATCTCATGATTACTCAGCGTCTTTCTCAAAGCTCAAAAAAGCCAAAGAAATCGAGGCGATCTCGAACTTGTCTTCAGAAGCCACACCTTCAAATCTCGACCCTCGTTACGCTACTTTCTTTGTTACCGAAGTCTCGGATCTCCAAATCCTCTCCTCCCGCGAACCATTTGGGAATGCAGTGTCCAGTCAGCTCTTAGACATGCGCAACAGAGCATCACTCCGACGGCGACACCGAGATTTGGATCACCTTGCGCTCGCCCTATTACCCTCCGTCGTGTCATGACAAGGTGCCCTCCTCCAGCTCGCTTGCTGTGTCTGCATTGCAGGTCTTTCTTGCGTCCTCTTTTCGCCGTCGCTTCTTCGCCGTCGCCAGCAGCACCTCGTTCCGGTTGGAGGCTACAATGGAGCAAGCAGTACTCCGTTGGCGCCCGACGTCCGGTTTTTGATTCTGAATTTTTAAAGAGTCTCAATCGCCTCTATCCCCTGGAACGCCAGAACTTGGAGGCGCATGGGAAGAAAGTGAAGCCCTGGGTTTCTTTAATAGAGGAATTCTTGCGGCGAAACTCGAAAGATGCAGGGACACACTCGGCCTCCGGCAATTCATCGGGGATAACTCGAAGGTCGTTTGCAGAGACTATCGACTTGGCCAACCATCTGAGCACCGCCCGGACGGAGCTCAATAGGGACCTTTTAGCTCATATTGGGTTCAAGTTGAACAACTGGTCAACGGTATACGGCACGCTCAGCAGATTAGTGGATGCTGCGGAGGCAGTCTGGGAGGCTTCTGCCTCGCCGCCTGGAGTCATAGAGGATAGAGCCAAATGTTCGAAGCTCTCGCTCGACGAACTTACCGATGAGGATTCCTCCCCACAGTCCCGGCGGACTTCGAAAATTACCGGATTGGCCAGTCTGGATTCGCTTACCTATAGGCCATTCGCGCGCGACTACCATATGTTGCTCATGGCTGAAGTTTGGAAAAGTTTAGGCATAATTATTCTCTACGCTGTAGATACGTCTCCGGCTAAATCCAAGCTAGCCATGTCAGTGGTGTATCGCACCCTTGCGCGGCTTCACCATTCTGGTCTTGTTTCTGAACGTGTCTACAAGTACACCACTCCAGGTATCTATCAGGCTACGTTTCGGCCCCCGGGAATGCATCTACTATCCAGTCACATCATGGACGTCCTTTCGGACGCTGCCTGGACGGTGCATGAGGCTGAAGTTGCAGCGGAAGCAGCTGCCGCAGGAAAAGACGCCCCCTTTCTTCCTGCCAAGATCAACATCAAAGAGCTAGGGCACGAGATTTGGTTGGAATTCATCCTGTGGTGCTGCGTCGAACATGGACACATCAACGAGGGAATCTGGCTGGTTGATAAATTGGTGAGTCGACAACGAAAAGGGTGGAAGTTCCAGAGCTGGGCGCCCCTTCTTCGCGACGAACAATCCTTGCGCAACACTAGGATCAGCCGAGAAGTCTCAACATGGCCTTCACCCGATTCGGCAAGTGTCAGTCCCGAACCGCAGAAACGTACCGACTCTCCCTCGCTTTTTCACGGGCTGGGCAAGCAAACAATCAGTGTTGAAGTAGTTCAAGCATTGTTAGATAACCTGCTCAACCTTGTTCATATGGGAATGAGCACCGGGGGTACACCTGCGACTGAACTTCTCCGTCGCATCGACAACCTCAAGTTCACAATTACCTCCGCTACAGCATCTGACTCCAAATTTCTGCCCACAATCAGAGCAGCTAACTGGTTTACTACCCGTGTGATGGAATCAGGCGGGCTGATCCCCGAAGCTGATCCGCAAACGTTTGATGATTTCCTCAAGCTTACACCTCATGTTGTCCCGCCTTGGAGCAACGGCATGTGCCCTGTAGAAGAGGAGGCCCTAGCAAAACTTCATCGATCTCAGCTCTACGACGACACGTCTGCTTTTACCGGCTTAATGGAATACAACCTGAAGTTCCACTCTTTTCAGAGATTTACCGGAAGCGCCCTGAACTTGTTTGCCCATTTGCAAGCCGTTATGGACACGTGCAAAATGCGACGCCTTGATGATTTCTTTTCGTCACAGGTAGGAAGCGATAGCGCCCATCCTTCCAGCCATAGCGATGATATTGCACCCTTCGAATCGTCGATTCCGCAACTTTCAAACGTTACGCTTGCCCATTTGTTCGATCTGATTACTGTATCACGAGCGTACGCATTCGGCGAGTGGCTGCTTTTGTCTGGTGATATCGATGGGCCTACAGTGCCCGCAAGCGCATATGGAGATCAGGCCTTGGCACCATCTCTCTTGCGGTTCGCGGCTGCTACCAAGAATGACACTGTAGGCGAGTCCGTCGTACAATCACTCGCTGAGCCTATCTCTCTCAACACTCTTCGGGCGCTCCTAAACTATCGCATCACCATGCATCAATGGGACCGGGTCGTCCCAACCCTCAGGTACATTCGCGATAATCGAATCAAGACTTGGGCACATAGCAACATCGCGGCCATTGCTGCGGAGATCATCCGTCTGGAGCATGCCCTACGGCTACAGCCGCAAGTACAAAACCCGGACGACACGGTGATTTCCGATATTGAAGTGAATCTTGTGGAAGCAAAGAAAGTCCTCTATCGCATTTTATTCGGCGAGTTTGACGAAAATCCTTGGCGCAAGCGCCGCAACCCTAACTTCCAAGCGCACACCCTCATCAGTTTCACACGCCTCTTCCGTCATTTGCCCTCTCCTTCTCTCCACGAAATCGCCGACTCCGTCTTCGAGTCTGAGTACGTTCCTATGTACCGTCTTCCTTATATCCCCTCCCCGCCGTTCCACACTGTTCTCGCCGCTATCGTCGAGACTCAGGGTCCTTCCGCTGCCATGAAAATCTATAAGCGCTTTTGTGTGAGTTACAGCTCACCGGAGTTCAGTCATCTTGTCGTAGGCGGTATTACGCGTTTCTATCAGAAGGCTGAGCGGGATTTTCGGAGAGGCGATCCAGACTTCGACGCCGCTTATTTCCACCACCTTCAGAAGAAAATGGTGTTCCCTAATCCGAATACTGTGAGAATTCTTACCCAGGCGGCTGTTCGGGAATACCAAGCTGCTGTAGCCGAGATTGAGGCGGAGGCAGAGGCACGGCCAGAGTCAAATCCAGAGTCCGCGCCAGCGTCGCCAGAGTCAAGTTTAGAAAGCACGGTACCTGAGCAGTCTTCTGGTGAACCCTTGTCTCTTCCCACCGACGATGAAATCGATCCGCTTTCGAGCCAATCGTCATCACCTCTAACACCCGCGGAAAGGAAAGCCGAGGCAGAAAGAACCCTCATCTTCTGCATCAGACGCTTCGAGATTTTCCACATGAGCGACATTGAGATTGCCCGTGAGGTCGGCGAAGAACTCTACTCTAACTACAAAATAACCAACAAAGATAGACGAGAGTGGGACCGCCGAATGAAAAGCGAGTCAAAGCGCAAATGGGAGAAGCTGCAGGAATTGCAAGGACGGTTGAAGGTGACCGGAGACACCCATCAAGACATCAAGAATAACGCGTCCATAAACAGAAAAGAGAGACGCGTAATATGGCAAAAGATGCGGAAATTGAGAGAGAAGCTGAAGGAGAAGGAAAGGGCTCGGAACGATACCAAGCTGCACGTCCTCTTGGACATGGCCACACGTGAGCGTGAGCGCAAGCCCGACCACGAACCCGTGCCTATGACAAAAAGCGAGATGAGGCGGCACAGGCGCCAAAAAGGCATTGAGAAGAGAAAGGCCAGGGAGAAAGACGAAGAATCTAGACCTTGATGGTTGGATTCATACCCATACTAACCTATACGTGTACTATATTATAGAATAGAACCTAATTGTATATACAACGAAGCGAGCGCTCATCTATCCTGCCAGAATAAACTCGAATACGAGTGCAATGTTCGGGGTTGGGAAGGACCAGTATACTAGGCAAGATACCCGCGGAAGGAGCAACTGTCCCCATCGCACCTGCCTCCCAACGCTGCGCGCAGAAGAGTACTTTCTAGGAAGGAACGACCGCCGCAAAACAGGAAGGGACAACCCGACCGCACCATCTGGCAGAATAAATATGGCCAAACAAGAAAGGAACGACTGACTACCTCGGATATACAAAAAGGGACATTAAAAGTAGGGATATAGTCAATTCTGTATAGATACTTTTGATTGACCATAGTCGTACCTATAAAGTATCTACTTAAACAGGTGGACCCTCATATGACATATGTAGGTCAAAGGGTGTAGATAGACTGTCCGTACACCAGCCTAGCCCTAACTCGAGCCGTTCCGGATGTTGCTCTACGACCCCTCAAACTCCTTCCCTCAGCAGGTCATTTTTGACTTCTTCTGCCCTTCAATACTACGTAGTTTGTACGAGTATATGGCATCGAGACGCATATCGATTAGGGCGGTTTCTCCCTTGTCTTTTAGAGGATGAGCGTCAACGGAATATTCAAGTCATTCGGGGTATATTTGAGATATGCCGTTCTACTTAACCGGGAAATTGTTGGAAATGACTCCCAGTTGTAGCCCTGTTTGTTGTGTTTGTGTTATTCTGTTTGTATACAGGAAGCTCTATATATAGAGCTTCCTGGTTCCCATCTAGAACTCAGTTCTCTACATAATTCAAGCTCTTTTTTATCTTCATTTTCTATGTAAATGCGCACAGTACATCCAACCAAATATTACCTGGTATAAATAGAAGGGAAACGGACACGGAAATGCAGACTGCGCTAGGCTAGGCTGGGTTGAAGAAGGAAGAGATGCCTTAACCTGCCGGCCAGCGGATTGTTACAAGATAAATTCTCCAATAAAAGCAGAATATGCGAGGAAATCTCATCTCAGGCCAAATGAACCAGAGAAAGAGGAGGTAGAAAAGCAATGGAGTGAATAAGGCGAAAAAGAAGATGCACATAAATCATGACTGATCAGTGATTCATCCCTCCCAAGGCTCCTCTTCATTCGAGTTCGGGAAGAACGATCGAATGAACTCGCCAGTTATGGGGTCATAGGGGAAGTAGACATCGTTGGAAGCTCCAGCGGAAGTAGTGGCGTCAAAAGGATAGGAAAGCGGATCATCGGGATGTGTAGATGGCAGAAGAGGAGCAATTGGAGGTTGTTGGAGAGCTGATGATGTTGTTTGACATTGAGAGAGTGGGTTCTGTTCTTGCGGGTTGTTGCTCAAGGGGGAGATATACTGGAAGGTCGGTGTCGATGCAAGAGTCGGTAGTTGAGTTACGGTGGTCGTGATAGGAGGACGAGGGTTGGCTTGAGGTTGTTGAGAATGGTTAGGCTGGATACCGTTGGTATCGAACTGATAGTCCCCAACAGGCATATCGCTTAGGTCGATGTTCGAGCCGGCGGCGGCGGCGAGCTGGCGGAGGTTCCTGTCGCAGAGCTCCCAGGCGCGCCTTGATGCAAGACTGGACTCAGACATGGCGTAGAGCCAGCGAATTCCCTTCTTAGCTGCCTTAATAATGTTCTTCTCCTCTTCGGGCACGTGAATGCTGCCGAAGGAAATCTCGAGAAGCAAGACAGTGGTGGCCTGCATAAGGTAGTGTAGAATGCACCACCAGGGACAGAGTTGATAGATTCGCGAGGCATCAGGAACGTCAGGGATCAAGGATATTAGCTGCCGCGCAGACTCGAGCACTGATATTGATATCTCGTGGCTAAAGGGTTTCTTTTGACCCGGGGAGTTCGTTGGGCGAACATCGCGACGACACAAGCAGGGTCGCCCTAGTGTGATGCGCACACTGTAATAATAGAATGCGAGACAAAGACTGGCCCTGAGCAACACTGGGTTTTGCTCGTCGCTCCGACCCCAATCATAGGCTTCAGGAAGGTTCGAGTGCCAACACTCGACGCGTGAGCGAAGCTCACTGATGCGGTTCTCAATTTCACCCCAAGGTGTCATGATGCAATCCAGAGAATAAACACGGTTCACAATCTCCTGGCTAATAACCGCGAGATCGACGTAGCAAAGGAAGAAGAGAGCAGTGCTAGGGGGTAAGCTTTTCAGCCGCGCAACGTCAGCACTTTTGCCTGCATCATTCGTCTCCCGACGGCGCCGTGGATTCTGTGGCATTTGTCGAACGCAACAGCTTGCGAGAGCCGCTTCAATACGCTCTTGTCGAAGTTCTAGATTACTGAGCAGCTCTACTACAGCTGGGTCGTGAAACCGATCCTCGTCCACAGGAAGGGGCATTGGCGTTGTGCAGATGCCGTCCGAGATACCCGTCATGCGTCCGGTCATTGTCCCAAGAATATGTTCAAAGGTAAAAAGACACCACCAAACCCTATATCGAGCTTCCTTGGATATGTCCGGAGTAATTTCGCTGGTGTTTCTTAAGTTCAACCCAAGAGATATGCCGGAGCGAAGAGCTAACGATGCAATTCTCCACGCTCTAGTGATCCGTTAGATGGTTGAAGCGACTCTTGGGAGACTTTGTGTGAACCTACCGGTTAATCTGACTAGTTGCGAGAAGATAGAAAGCCGTTAGTGCCTCCACCTGCACTTGCTGAAGATCAGGATGAGTAAAAAGCGTGTCGCTATTCATACTGAGAGCCCGCGCCCGCGCCAGGTAGACGAAGTGATCACGGTCATCCCCGCGCCACGACGCCTGCATGAGGTGAGCATGACAGGAGGATATGGCGAAGATCAGATTCAAAATAGCCAACCACTTGTCGCCCGGTCGTGCAGAGTTATCGAAGAAATTTCTGTACTGCGCTGAGAAAAGTGGACGGCTGATGATCGGAAACACAGGATGAATAGTATCTAGATAATCCTCAAACAGCTTATCAGCAATGTTCCGCGGTGGCATCCAATATAAATGAACAGGTCCCGGGGGGGTAATGTCCACGTCGTCCAGATGGTAGTTTACGGAATGAATGGACAGCTCGCGGTCCGGCCTCGAGTCAGCCATCCCTGATAAGTTGCGCGCGCGGTGACCAGCCTCTCGCCCCAATCGTTGCAGCCAGGTGACCTCTGAATTCTTTCCCATATATCCCGTAGCCCGTGCATTCGAGCTGCGGTTAAGATCCTCATCCACACGGTCAATAGCCTCTAACGAACCAATAGAGGAGGGTAAGCTTTCCATCTCCGGATCCAGCTCTTCCTCGACACCAGACGCCGGCGCAGAATTAGTCGACTGCTGGTCATTGAAACGTTCGGTTCCAGAATCCGAGTACTACTTGCCAAGTCAGCAGACACACCTCTCGTTAATTGAGTTATCACGCACTTTATCGAGGGTGTTCTTGATCCGCTCCGACATTCGGCCGTCCACAAATTGGCTCATCTCACGGAGCAGGTTCTCATAGTCATTCGACTTAGCCGAGAGCTGAGAAATTTGTCTACATCAAGCCGAGAGTCAGCTATCAGTGCGCATTATGCTGGGTAACAATAAACCAACCCTTTCGTTCGTTCTCGCCATGAAACTGGATACCGACATTCAACCCTGAGCTCCAAGCACTGTCTGCATATTGGAGTATCGCCGCTGCATTTTGTTTTCCGCATGCGACATGTTTCGCACGCTAGTGGTACGCGGCGACTATAGCGAGGGGCAGTACCGGACCTTTGGCGGGGTATAGCGACCTTAGACATATGCTTCTTTCCGGTGGTTATGGCGCTGCGCGGCGGGCCTCGTGGAATCTGTAACGACGAACCAGAGAGGCTAGGAGGGTTCGACACCGGGACGATGTTGGGATGGCTATTGGACTGCGGCTGAAGGAGGTGCTCGCCGCCCTGTCCACCAGCATCCGACTGCGGGCGACCGGACGGCCTTTCCATGATGCCGACACCAGCTAAATATCGGAAGCTTGGTTATGAGGGCAGGCCCCTGGGCTAGGCAGTCCCGATAGTGAGAATGTAGAGCGAATGCAGGGCCGGATTTCTAGAACGTTCGCATCGCGCGCCAGGGCCGGAGGAGTATGGCGGAGCCTAAATTGATGGACTCAAAAGAGATGACGCCATGAACCAGCAAAGTCACAAAACTCCGATCATAGACGGTGGGTTGATTCACAGTCGCCGGGAGAAGATAAGAATTGAAGAAGAAATGAACCACTTCGTACAGTACCAGAGAATGCACGATTGCCACGGTCGAAGAGCAGCATAAATTACACGATTACGTCAGATCTACGTGCCTCAGGCGCCAATCAGATGCCGGGAGGCACGGATAAAGGGACCAGCAGGCACTGAGTGGTCGAGTCAAGCAAGCATCTTGGAGTATCTATACGTAGTGTGACATTACGAGGATGGACAGGTATTGGCTAATAGGTCTTGATGTTCTCTTTGTATTTGATCCTCCTCCAGCTATTCCCTCTTGCATAACGAGCAGCATGCTTTTCACCACGCCAAACCAAAACTGAAGAGACGGTAACCAACCAAGTAGATGTATCATAATCAGGACACGGCATATTGGGAATCAAGTGAGAGAGATCGAGACAGGCGTGGGCAAATTATATGTACAAGCGAAAGATAGACACCCGCCACAAGAATGGAGCAAACGCAACAGCGTGGACAATAAGACAAAATTAAACAAATATAGCATTGGATCAAAGCAGTCGCATGTCGATGAGACGATAAATTTCGTGTTCGAAAAGGTCGAAAGACGTCGTGAGTGGAGATGACCAGAGTCAAGCGCTCTGAGCAGATAAGAAGGGGTTAGATTTAGATCTCGTCGAACATCTCATCAAGTTCGTCAACATTCACGCTCTCTGGACTTTGGAGCTCGCGCCATGAGTCGGATGCCATCTCAGACGAGAGATGCAGAGGTAACATAGCATTCACAGCTATTTTATCTTCGGCATCGGCATCGGACATGTCCAAATCCGGAAGTTCATCGTCAAGCATGTCGATTGGCCTCTTGAGTGTCGACATACGTGCCAGGCTGGGATCTTCCGGAAGAGCGATACGTGGGGCAGCTCCGAGAGAACCAGGAGCACTCTCGATATCCGACCCGTCATCACTCGTTCCAGACGAGATGGACAACGCAAGTGATGGAGATGGAGAGGTTCCAAAGAGGGAAGCAGCAGCATTCTCATCAAAATCCTGCTTTCGAACTTGTTCTTGCGGACGAGGCCGCTCCTGGTAGGCCTCCGAGAAGTACCTATCCTGGGTTTGCGACATTTGGTCGTCACCGAATGATAGGGGGCTATCATCAACCGGCGTTCCGGAGATGCTCATGCTCATGTCATCTAACCCTTGGAGAGCCTCTGTGAGTGCAGAGTAACCGCCCTTAGGTTGCGCTAGTTGGCTTGCTTTTTGCTCGGAGGCCCGCTCACGAACAGCGCTAGCCGTCTGCGTAAACTCCTTCTCATCACCCTCGAGCGGTGGAGAAGTCGCACGGTGAGAGTGAAACACGCGCATGTGACGATGGTCCGCGAAGCTTGAGCTATGACTCGCGCTACTGGATCCATCCAAATCAATGTCTCCGTCTTCAAAGTCGGGTGAAGACAAATCGACCTCGGGGCTTGGGGAGCGTTGTCGCGCCATGGCATCCTCCTCGTCGTCCATGCTGGAGACACTGGGCGCCATGACCTTGCCTTCAAGGCCGGGTATTATGATATCGTCGGAGCTCTCAGGGATAGGCTGGCGAGCTTGAGTGGTGAGGTAGTAGTACACCTTGCGAGGATGTATAGGAATGAGCTCCTTGGCCAGGGGACACGGCGCCAGTGCCGTCCAAGGACGCTTCATGTAGGCGCTCAGGCGGGAAGACAATAAAGCAGCAGGGTTCGCGGAACTGCAGCAAAGAAGCAATGATTAACGCTACCCACGCGCAAAAACGTCAAGGAGAACTTACTTTGCCACATTATCGTTGAATGTGATGAGAACTGCAGCGAGTTCTTTGACCAAGTGCGGGCGATTAGCCGTCTTTTCCAACTGCTCAATCACCCCGACCACGATATCATCATTGATGCCCTCGAGGTCGATCTTAGGTGCAGCGCCACCAGCAGCGGGCGATAGCGGAGGTGTCGGTTCCAGTGTCGCGCGTCGACCAGTCGGGCGAACAGGAGCTGACAGTCGATTTGAATTCGAGGCGCGCTCTGTAGGCTCTGGAGATGTCGAGGCCGAGTCGTGCGATCTCTTTACCTTTTTGGAAGGATGGCAATTCTCGTCGGTCGCGTGAGCCGATTTTGAGGTAGAAGGAGAGCGGCGAGATGTGTTTGGAACATGAATTCCCAATAAAGGCAGAGACAAAGACTTGCGACGAGTATTGTAGGGCATGGCTGATCTTTTTGATGATGGAGATGTAGATGCGCGTGGTTGTGGTCAACGCGGAGGCGGCGGGAAATAATAGGAGTCGGGATATAGTAGATCAGACAGGCAGAAGTACAAGCGAACTAAACAAAACACAGGCAGCAAGCAGTAGTCTATACAGTAACAAGGTAATGAGAGAGTGCGGAATAATAGATAATAGGTAATAATAATAAAAGGATAAGGATACTAATAACACAGAGTTGATGGAGGAAGAGCAGACGGAAGATGGGGATGGGGATGGGAGAGAATAATGGATGGATGGGTGGAATGGAAGGGGGAAAGGGAGACTAAACTGCTGGAGCCGATGAGGCAGAGTGACGATGTGAGATGAGCTCAGGAACTAATCAGCGCGCGTCAGAGCAGTCGAGTAGCATGAATAATGAGACAAACTAACAGAAATATGTTCAAGTGGCCGCGGCCCGTTTACCTTCTTCTAAGTTCTGTAGCTCTTTGCTTGACGCCTCTTCTCGCCTTCTTTCCTGTCCCTAATATTTTTCCCTTTTTTTTCTCTGAATTCCCAGTTGTCCAGGAAGAAGGCGGATGCTTTAGGGTGGCGATAATTGGCCCAGTATACGGCTAATCACGTGCACAGTGGGCTCAGGAATGCCCAGATGCCGGGTGGAAAATAACACAGACAAATCAATCCAGAGATTCGGTCGGATACGGACTAAGTCGGAGCTACGAGTTGACTCCGTACAAAGTACTGGTTGCTGATCAAGTGAACTCAGTGAAGTCTTTTAAATTCGGTACTCGAGCATCGCGCACACCGCTGGTCTCCAAAGACACACCTACTCTTACGCCCGCCACACTATACCTCTAACTCAGGAGGTCGCCATGACAGAGTCCAACGGCAAAAAGTACGGTGGAACCGAGCCATGTGCCATCTATGACGACCGACCCAATCACGCCGCGCCTTGGTCTCTGCGATTGGTGGAGAGGCTCCATGATCAACTGAGGTTCTGCATGGTGTCGACGATGGAGAAACAAAGAAGCGAATCGGGAAGCGACTGCTGCAGCTACGCCTGGTTGCTGCGCAGAAATTTTCTGATAGAGAAACAAACAACGCGATCTCTCAAGAGTCAAGGATAGTCCTGGACACTACGATAGCCAGCTTGAAGACTTAGTCTGCACCTAAGAAGAGAATCTCTCTAGGCAGTCCTCCGCTCTCACCGACTCGAGAACTCCTCTGATCTCCAAATGCCAGTGCCACTGATCTTTGTTTCATGATGGAGGGGTGATCCCTCCCGTTGCTTGCAATCGACAAGGCTGCGCTCGGGGTCTCCTCGATTCCCTGAGATTACTTACGGTGCTTATGACTGGTCAGCCCCGAAGCTTTGGACAAAGAGTCGCCTCAGCACCGGGAGCTGCTGGCAGCTGGACAGCTGCATCATAAGGGTTCCACGGTCCACTGCTCGAATGTGATGAATAAAAGTTTCCATGCTACCAAGATGCCCTAGCCCAAAGCAGCGAAGGAACGGAACCAAAAACCGGGCGAATTCCAGCTGCGCCCCACCACTTAGTCTTGAAGCCAAAAGATATCGTTCCTAGCGTCGCCGTTTGTCTAGTTCGATGGCCAACCACATCAAGCCCAGCGGGGCATCAGCCGTCGTCGACCTCAAGATTGGAATCTGGCTGGGTCCAATCGGAAGTTCTAGGGCGGTGCAGACCCGTTCCAGCCTTCGCCTTCGAGACGTCCAATGAGACGAGACGAACATACTGTTTGTGCGGTGTATACAAAAATGTACAAAGAAAAATGTACACACCCACCCTGCCGGTCCGTCGCCTGGGCAGTCAGGTTTGTTATGTGGGCTTGACGAGTCGAAGACGCGTTTGCAGTTCTGCACGCTACTGCTGCATTCTGCAGGTGTACAATCTTCTCCGTGCATCGGATGCGTCACCCAAAGCAAGGGATCAATAATACTATGATTGATCATTGTCCATCATTTAGATAAGCTTGATCGAGTGCTTGTTGACAATCAAACATCAGAATCCAAAAAAAGAAAAACATCCCTGTCTGTTGCCCAGTAACAGCATGTTTACCCCTCACTACTTGGATGTTTGCTCGGCTGGCGATGCAGCGAACCCATAGTTCATGCTGGCTCTTGTGATTGTAACTAAGAGTCCGGGGACTTGGGACTCGGGAGATGAATACCCCGGCCCTGAACAACCTGTTACTCGGAGATCTGCGACATGCATGAATCGTTATCTTCAGCCCTTCGCCCTCAGTGGAAAGTCCCTAGTATCGAATAATAACCCTCTGGCCTGCATATAATCAACATCCATATGTCTTGTTAGCCGCCTTAATGACCATGGTCGCGAATGCTGGTTATTGAAACAGGCGGCTTGACTATACTCCGTATGCAGGGTATGCATCAGAGGTAGGGTAGCCGAGCATGCGGCTTAAGCTTTACTAGATGATTTCAATATAGGCGCGAACCATGCATTTTTGTTTGCCACTGTATGAGCTCGGAGTACGTCGCAGTAGAAGCTAAGAGGGATTCGCAATAGGGTCCATATACTTAAACTCAAAGTGACTTCTTCATGATGCTCTGTACGGAATACAGTAGACACTTGAGCCCAGCGATGACCTCAACTCCAATGCGCCACATTCCTGCAGTGGCACCGTATGTATCCCCATCAGATGTACGGAGTAGAGTCTATTCACGCTAAAAAAAGTACGATGTACTCCTTACATCTACTCCGTATGTTCATTTGTTGTATACCTATAGTTCCCCCGCATCATCGACGGCAGGCTCAGAGTCGACGCAATCTTGACCTCATACCTTCCATCCATCACATACGCAACGCGAGATCAAGATATGCGCTGCTCTGCAGCTCCATTTCCCATCAGAGGGGTTGCTCCGACTCTCTAGACTCAAGTTGAAGCGCGACGTATGTTCAGATCTATTTGATTTGGGCTATGGCACCCGGGTATAGTACTAGCACAGTGAAACAATTACATCATATACATCATTCCAAACATCCTTAGACGCAGGAAGAGACAACCTTCTACGTCTGCTTCGGCCTCAAGACAAATCTCCACGTCGTTCCAAAATGGTAGCGCTCCTCCTCGACAACCTCCAGGCCGCTATCCCGAATAATCTGCCCGATATCACGATTCCACCAGCACCCATGCCGGTCCGCGTGCGAAGGGGCGAGATTATCCAGAACACGATTCAGCCAGTCGTAATGCGATCGGCCGTGCTCGAGCAATAGGATACGGCCATGCTGTGGTTCCGTGATCGTCCCAAGGTGCCGCAGCGCCCCCGCAGGGTCCGGCATTGAGCACAAGCCCATTGTTTGCACAATCGTGTCGTAATGCCCTTGCCCCTTCCCCTGTCCTTGTGACTCGGATGTCGCCGCCGAGCCCGTCTCCGTCAACGGCGGGGAAAGAACATCTCTCGCATCCTGTGCGCGGAATTGAACCCTCTTGCTCTCAGCAAAGCTTGGATAAAGCTTCTCAAACTTCGCCTGCGCTATCGCAACCATCTCCGGACTCAAATCCACAAACGTCACGGACCGACAACCTCGCATACTCGCCACGCCCCTTTCATCAAATCCGCGCTTTTCACCTAGCTCGTAGTACTCCAGATTTCGGCCAGTACCGCAACTGACCTCCAATACGTTGCCTCTGGCCTGCTTGACCAGATCGCGGCGCTTCGCGCCCATGCGCATTAGCTTCTCCGAGACCTCAACGTCTGCGTCGAACGTCCGCGCGGTATGGTTGTACCGGTCAGAGACGTCTTCTGGGACAGATAGTGACTGGGCCTGCTTTACTTCGCGGTGGTACGAGGCGTAGAGATAGCCGCAGTAGGTGCTTATGCCGAGGGCGCTGACGCCTAGTATGGTCATTGCCCTGGGAGACATTCGAGCAGAGTCTGCCGTGGAGTCGTGTCTGAGATTCAGGAGATGCGGGTTTGCTCGCTTGGGGAGCGGTGGGCTAGTCTTATTGTTAGCTATATCTATCTCCCCTTTGGTACGTGCTGCGCGCATACCTTGTTGGTCGTGTGGCCGGGCTCGCTTTTGTGGTTTTGGGGGCCCGTGATGGACCAGGGGTTGGCCCTTTGGCCGCTTTCAGGACGCTCCGCCCTGCTCTAGATGCGCTCATGTTTATACAACCGTGTTGTGAAAGACTGATGTTCTAGACAGTTTGCTGAGGACGAAAAGCAGCCAAGCTCGAAAGGGCAGGTCGTCGCTCCGGCCGGGGCGGGCCCCGATGCCGGAAAGATCTTCGGCTTATCATCGGCTTCTTTTTTTCCTGGAGATCAGTCCATAATCTCGGGAAGAGCCCGCTACTTCGAGTGTCAATTCACACTTTTCAACACCATGTCGCTCCCTGAGAATATTCTGATTGTTGGCGGAGGAGTATTTGGATGTGAGTAGTCATCCAAAAGTAGGCGACAGGCGTACATTTGTCCGGCGTTGTGAAATAAAGCTGGCTGGGGTACAATTCGACCCCCTCATACTGTTCGCTCCTCAAGCCGATTGAGGACTGAAGACTAACAGCGCATAGTATCTACGGCTTTGTCCCTTTCAAGGCGCCATCCCAAGAGCAAAATCACCCTCCTCGAAGCCTCACCCACGATCCCCAACCCTCACGGCTCCTCCGTCGACAGCAGTCGCATCATTCGCGCCGATTATTCCCATCCCACTTACGCAAAGCTCGCCTCTGAAGCCGTTGACCTCTGGCGCACCACAGAATGGGGTTATGATGGCCGGTATACTCAGAACGGACTGCTCCTCGTCTACCGTACGAACAAACGAACTCATCCCGTCTCAAAATCGCCGCTAACAGAATGTAGCCACCGGCGACTCCACGGCCAAGGACTACACCACCAAATCTTACCACAATGTCAAGCAGCTCGGCGAGAATGCTCAGTTCCTGCCCACGAAGGCGGACGTGCTAAATGCGGCCCCGGCGTACGGCGAGACACTTCAAGTCGCAGGCGGATACGTGAACTGGAGCTCCGGCTGGGCAGACGCAGAGGCCGGTGTCCGCTTCGCAAAGCAGAAGCTCGACAAGGAGGGCAAAGTGCGCTTTGTGCACGGCGAGGTCTCGCGCCTACTTTTCTCTCCTGAGGACAACCGCACCGTCACTGGCGTTGTCTATGACCAGGACAAGACCATAACCGCGGACCTGGTCATCCTCGCAACAGGCGCATGGACAGCCGGACTGGTCGACCTCCGCGGCCGCACCGTCTCAACCGGCCAGGCAATTGCCTACATGCGCATCTCCGACGATGAGCAGCGCCGCCTCGAGCACATGCCCACAATCCTCAACTTCGCAACAGGCATCTTCATCATCCCGCCGCGCAACAACACCCTCAAGATCGCCCGACACGCTTACGGCTACCACAACCCCAAGACCGTCCCTGTCCCCGGCGCATTACCAACGGGGGAGACAATGCAAGTCAGCCTGCCCGAACGGGGCGTCCCCATCCCGCTCGAGGGCGAGACCGCATTCCGCACAGCCCTGAAGCAACTCCTCCCTACCTTTGCGGACCGTCCGTTCATCGACACCCGGATCTGCTGGTACACTGACACGTACGTTCACTGACTACCCTTCCTTCTCTTCAAGACCACACAGGCTAAACCCCATATTCAAAACAGCCCGAAAGGCGATTTCATTATCACCCCACACCCATCGCACCCGCACCTCTTCCTTGCAACCGGCGGCAGCGGCCATGGCTACAAGTTCTTCCCGCTCCTCGGTGAGAAAATCGTCGATGCGCTGGAGGGTAATCTCGCGCCAGAGCTGGCGGAACTCTGGGCATGGCCGGAAGCCGTTGATGAGGATAGCTTTGACGGGACGGAGGACGGAAGTCGTTCCGGGGAGAAGCGGTTGCTACTTGTAGATGAGCTGGCGAAGGGAAATAAGGCAAAGCGCGGAAGTGCCTTATAAGTCCATATCTGGGACTAGTTTGCGGTCTGGATGTTGTGAGGTGGTGAACCGCAAAGGAGAGATATACATATATATATATATATGTGCGTGTGGTAAAAAGGCGAATAGAACTGTAGATATCTTGTACCTTCAAATTAGCTCAGCGAGACCTGGGCATGCATTACTACGGCGTTCTCGCGATTCGAGGTACCAGTCACAGTAATAGGACTGCTAGTATACTAGAGAAGGTCTGATATTAGGTGTTTTAAGTTTACGCAACAATGCATGAAAAGTTCATACCCACTCATTTTTTATTTGCATGAAAGCTAATGCTGTTGGATCAGGCTACCCCATCACCAAGCATTCAACAACTAGGACGATCTGAAGTCCAGGGCCCCATGAAAAAAAAAGGCTGAGGTCAAGATGGCACAGCATGAAGCCAAGCACAAGACCATCAGTGCCAATAGGCTGGAAGATAAGCGAATAATTAGAAGGAGGCAACAAGTCGACCAGCGCGCAGTACCGCCCCCCTTTCGATCTGCGGAGTGCGACTATCTAAATGTAAATCGTGCTGAAAGTTGCGAGAAAAACAAACCGATATCGCTAGAACGCCGTAGTAATGCTTGCATGAAACTCGTGATGCAGTTCAGAAGATACCACACTGGCTAGAGTTGAGACTTAGCCGGCCGGGAATCAAGAAAACTTTTTGATAATACAGGGGTTTGAAGGGAGGATCTGGTGCATGAGATGTCTCAAACACACGATCATTCGCTACTCCTCAGACCTTGCGGAAATCTGACATCTAAATTAGTAATGTCGAAGAGCACGGCAGCATGGAGACTTACCAGAGAGCACAGGGTAGATGAGCTCGAAGGCCTGATAAATCTCTTCACGGACCTTGGCTCCGGTCAAGACAATCTTTCCGCTGACGAATATCAAGAGCACAATCTTGGGTTTCATCATACGGTAGATTAGACCAGGGAACAACTCCGGTTCGTAAGAACTGAAGTTGTGGTGGCGACTCGCCAGACCTTCCAAACGGATCGGAAATTTGATGTCGCAAGAGCCCACAATGTTCTGGATTTTGAAGTCCGTGAACTTGGCATTGAATCCTAGCTTTTGGATGATACGAGCGTATTTCCTTGAAGCCAACTTGGAGTCGTCCTCAGACTTCGCACCAGTAACCACCATCTTGCCAGAGGCGAAGATCAAGGCAGTCGTCTTAGGCTCTCGGATACGCATGATAACGGCCGCAAAACGCTAGAGTAGAACTAGTTCAGCCACACTGTACCCTGATATTATAGACTCAGGGAGGTGTGGAAAGTAATACCTTAGGGTTGTATTCCGCATTTCTGGCGTGGAGCGCAATGGTCTTGAGATCAAGACGGCAGTCAAGGTTGACCGTAGCGACAATGTTTCTTCAAGAGTAATTCTCGTTCAGTATTCTGGTGGACCAGAAGAAAGACAGTAGAGTATACTCACTGCAGTGTAGGCACAATCCCACTCCCCGGAGCACTGGCACCAGGGGTCGCAGCCGGAGTAGCGGGCGTCACCCCATTGCCATTTGCGGCATTTGCTCCTGGCTGCTGGCCGTTCACATTTCCATTCGCGCTTTGACCGTTCATAGCCATGCTTGCATCCTTGTCCGAGGGTGGAGTCAGGTCGGCGCTACCGGGGAAGGCAGTACCACCGGGGAAAGACAGCGACGAGGGAGAAGTGAAGGCACGAGCCTGTTGGGCGTTGGCCGGATGAGTAGTGAGAGAATCCATTTTGAGGTGGTACTCAGGCTGTTCAGTTGAGAGTCAACTGGGTCTGGCAGACTGCGGTGTGTTAGTTGTTGTCGCAGCGAGCGAGGCTTTAATAAGCCGAAGAGAAGAATGAGAAAGAGATGGAGATGTATTTGGGAGGTGAAGTCGTCAACGAACCTAGTGGGAGATGGACAACTGAATGTATCCCCTACAAAAGAACTGCCTTGAAAGATGAGCCGTTTCGAGAAAAGGAAACAGGCGCGGGCAATGACGATAGAGACGACAAGGCCCGAATAGGATGAGAGATGTGAAGGGTGGCGGGGATGGGCAGAGAAAGATCACAGTCAAGTGTTTTCTATTGATTGAAAGGACAGGTGGTCGCAATATTGAATGCAAGCAACAGCGATGTGTAATGAAGGCAAGTGGAACACTTCCGATCGAGAAGTTCTATTGTGTTCTGGATGTTTTGAGAGAGCGGCGCAGATGCGTGCCTGAGGCTGCAATCTTGGTATTTCAGCAAACCCTATCTGAAACCCGTGAGAAAAGAGAAAACAGACGTTTTTCCCTTGATTTTTTTTTAGCACCCAAATTATTAGCAGATTAGTGCAAAAGCAGAAATCTGCAGACCTCAAGAAAAAAGGTTTGGTGTGGAGGAGGAGAGTAGGGGGAGCGAGGATCAGGAATCACCAAACCGAAAATGTATCAAGATCAAGGCGCAGGCTTTGGGCGGGTGGCAGCGCCTTTTATAATGACGAGTCGCCCCCTAGCCAAGACCGGTCCCACGGAACTACAAGCCTGAGATGGCGAATCACAGCCAATGAAAAATTGTAGGCTGAGTGGGCCAGACAATGAAGCCAGCGCCACAGCTGCATCCAGTCGCGACGCGCGCTACAGTCCCCGTGATCTTTGTCCATGGCTGTGTGGGTGCCTTCTTTTCTGCTTCCAACAACATGGATCTCTCGGATTCCAGTTTTTCGACCCTCCACTACTGCAACTTGATGAAAAGGTTCAGTTCACGATAAATCTCAACAAAGGCAGTCCTAGCATCTTTATCAGCCTCAAACTCCAGCAAATATGACCATGGTCCAGAGCTCGTTATCAATCCGCTCGCCTCGCCCATGCCACTCCTTGCCGCTCTTTGCCATACGCTATTGATTGGATCTTTCTTGCGCTCCTTATCATGCCTTAGTGGCATCCACGACCGGCTGCTTCCCCAGACATCGAGGCCGTGATCCACTGAAATGATCCCTAAGGGTGCATAGATGATAGGACAGGTCATATCCGTATCATAAGAAATTTTCTGAGAAGTTGAGACCTATTCGCACAGAGGCTCGACTATCTTTTGATACATGCCACGGTGGCATTTCCCAGCTGATTATCTAGCAACGCTTAGCGCCCGCCCCTTGAGCCACCAGTCGATGTCCAGCAATAATACGCTGGCTCCTATCAGACAGAGCCGCATACTATTGCTTTTGTGTTGCAGATAATCTCACTTGCGCGCATGATGATGTAGCGCCATCATTATTATCGTATACATACGTAATCTCTGGTTGCTGACCTCCACAGCGATTATTACGGTCGCGACAAGAGCCGCCGCAGGGGGTATCACGGAGCCGCAGGGACTATGGCCTAGATACTGCTGGCACTGACTTGCGGCTAGGTCAGATGAAGTCGCTTGTTTCAAGGCCTTTGATACCAAGGAGTGCTGAATACTGATCTGGAGAGACCTTGTCTTCCCGCATGGCCAGTCGTACGGAGTACTCTGTAAGGAGGGGGCAGTCTGGTCGCGGGTTATGGGTTGTTGTGGTCGGCAAGCCGCTTAGACGTCTGTACTCTAGCTTTATAGACTGCCAGCGGGATTTGGACCACAAAGAGCGAGGTTATTTCGGCTTTCAGGCGGAAAGTATGGCGGCTAAGCTGAGCGGCGGAACTGAATATGAATTACCGCTCCTCCCATTGGATATCGATATACCCGAGGTGCGGATGGGGGTCTGTACGCCATTTTTTTGCCTGGCCGATCCGCGGAGTCAACCCTGGACGCTTCTCCTCCAATTTAACTTACATTATCACTCGTCGATGCTTCCTCTCTCTGCGCGGGCTATGTTTAACTGTCTAGTGTAACTTGCGATATCGATACCAACGTCATAATCCCTGCGCTTCTCCATGGCTTCCAGAGGAGTCGTGTTGCGTCTTCTGAGGCGCGAGGCACGGCCTGGCCCTTCTAGGCTCGCGAGGCCCTCCTCGACATTATGCTCCGCCCCGCGAACTTCAATAACAACATCTGGCAAACGAACGAATATTCGATGCTCCGCGCTCTCAACACCGAGCCAGACCCGCGCATTTTCACAGTCGCTCTCAAGGAAACTCACCGATGAGAACGGCCACTTCGACCCTCGGCAGGTAGAGCGAGAGTCAGACGAGGTGGATGTCTGCATCGTCGGCGGCGGTAAGCAACCTGCTGCATGTAGTCTTGATTCGCCTGCGATATAAGTAACTGACTAGTTCTTTCCTCCTAGGACCTGCTGGTCTCTCCGCTGCTATTCGGTTAAAACAACTTGCCAATGAAGCCGGGAATGAAGAATTCCGTGTTATTGTTCTAGAGAAGGCTGGTGAGCTCGGCGCACACGTCCTATCCGGCAATGTCCTCGAACCTTCTGCGATGGAAGAATTATTCCCGGACTGGCTGTCGGAAGATAACCCTTCGCGGTTTGAAGGTGTCACGCCGGCCAAAGAAGATAAGATGCGGTTCCTGACCCAGAATTCATCCATTCCAATGCCCTCGCCGCCGCAGATGAACAACCACGGGAACTATATTATCAGTCTAAACGAGTTGACAAAGTGGCTCGGGGAGCGGGCCGAGGAGCTGGGCGTCGAGGTGTACGCCGGGTTCGCTGCCAGCGAGATTGTTTACAATGCGGACGGTTCAGTAAAGGGCGTGGCAACCAATGATCTCGGCGTCGCTCGGGATGGTCAAGCCAAGGATACGTTTGAGCGGGGAATGGAGTTTCATGCCCGTGTCACGCTCCTTGGAGAAGGTTGTCACGGTAGCTTGACCAAGCAGGTTTCTAAAAAGTACGACCTCAGACGGGACAGCCAACCACAGACGTACGGGATTGGCATAAAGGAGGTTTGGGAAATCCAGCCCGAGAAGTTTCGATCTGGTGAAATTACACATTCCATGGGATACCCACTCCCAAAGGATACCTACGGCGGTGCATGGATGTATCACTTTGGTGAGAACATGGTCAGCATCGGCTTAGTCGTCGGCCTTGATTACCCAAATCCGTGGCTGTCGCCTTACGGAGAGTTCCAGAAGCTCAAGCATCATCCTTTATTCCGCGAGGTCTTAGAGGGCGGAAAGTGCATCTCGTACGGTGCTCGAGCTTTGAACGAGGGCGGTTTTCAGTCCATCCCTAAATGCGCATTTCCCGGAGGCGCGTTGATTGGCGATAGCGCCGGTTTCCTCAACGTCCCCAAGATCAAGGGCACGCATACGGCAATGAGGTCAGCGATGTTGGCAGCAGAGTCCACGTTCGCGGCTCTGCAAAATGACACTGGGGGTACCGTCTTTCTCTTCGATTACGAAGAGTCGCTCCGTAAGTCTTCAATCTGGAAGGAGCTATACGAAGTTCGCAACATGCGACCTTCTTTCGGCACCCCTCTGGGTATCTACGGGGGCATTTTGTACTCCGGTCTTGAGGCCTACATCATCCGCGGCCGCGCACCATGGACGCTCAAGCATCACGGCACAGACGCAGCATCCACCAAACTGGCATCTGAGTGTGAGAAGATTGAGTACCCCAAGCCCGACGGCAAAATATCTTTCGATATCCTGACTAGCGTGAGCCGAACCGGTACCAACCACGAAGAAGATCAGCCGGTGCACTTACAGGTGGAAGACTGGGACAAGCACACGGATATTGCGTGGCCCAAATACAAGGGCGTTGAGAACCGCTTCTGCCCTGCCGGAGTGTACGAGTACGTGGAGGATTCAACCAAGCCTCACGGGGTTCGGTTTCAGATCAATGCTCAGAAGTACGCTTTTTCCCTACCGCTTTTACTTTTGATAATGCATGCTAACGTTCTCCAGTTGTATCCACTGTAAAACATGTGATATCAAGGTCCCTACCCAGGACATCAACTGGCAGACTCCTCAGGGTGGAGAAGGACCGAAGTATTTCAAGACATAGCCAGATAATTTGTTCAATATGACGGGTTCGATAGACATCTAATCGGAATCATGGGGTAAGCTGCTGTTCAAACTATTCCAGGCTATTTTGGAGCCGGACTACCTGGGAAATGTATATATAAGTCCGTGTGTATCCATACTATATCGCGTCCATGCGCTATCAGTCAATGACTGTTGATCCATCATCCTATGATTGTCCGTGGATAGAGTGTTCAGTGGAAGTATACGGGAACAGCTCCCGAGCGGAACCGGAGAAGCCCCGGGCCCATGGTTCGCATGCGTGACCAGAATTCCTGCCAATGATTCTAACCGGTGTAGGTCTATACATGAATTAAATCCATCGTCCGTGAATCATGGCTGAGCCTCAATACATTCATCTCAGAATCAACTGCAGTCTGCCGCTGTTCTGGAGGCAGAGCAGGCGGGGCCACGTGGACCCTCTACTCAAAGTGAGGCGTAACGCGCTGCTCTCTGATTTGCAGCCTTCCTTTTAGCTCGTCTTCGTCGCTCACTTTGTTCAACACTCCCCAGTCCTCACCTCCTCTTCTCTTCTCCTCTTGATCTCTCATCAGCACCATCAGTATACACCATCCGTCGCTTTATATTCCATCGCATCCTACTGCCGGGTAGTTTGCAGGCTATACACCGTTTGATGATTCCAGCATTTCTTCCCTGATTCGACCCGCTTGGACCACGCGCCGGATCTTAGGAGCAGCCCGTCTCTCCCACTGACCACCGCCGTCTGTCTCACAGGACATCGGTATTCTATATCCGTGGCCTTATTTTTCGTCAGCGCTCGCTCTCTGTTGTTGACTTGGATCTGTGCTTGGGCTGTAGCCGGTTTCTAGGCCATTATTTTCCTTCTGGATCACCGTGTGGTAATAATCATCGCTGTGATTGATCTTCGTCCTCTCGCCGCCAGCCATGACTGAGGTCTCTTCCACCCGACTCTATCTTGGGAATCTTCCCCGCAATGGTATGCTGGCCTCCATCAGCCCTTTCCCCAGAGGGCTCTCTATCTCCAGCCCAATTGGATATTGTTCCCTCGAATCCCAGTGCTCCCCTGAATTTCAGGATACCCCGGTGGATCTTTGAGCCCCGTTTGACCGAAACGTGCCCCGAGACCTGACACTGTTGCCGATGTTCCTGCTCGACTGCGCATCAGACGGGGTGGCCTCCATATCGGGGCCTCCATCTCCCTTAGTTTGTGCCTTTTATCTTTGGGTGGCCGTTCGTGGCCGTTCGTGGCAGTAGCGCATCTCTCTACTTCCCTGGACTGTCATTTTATAGTTCTACTGGGCTAACCATTTGCACGGCGCCTTGGCTGCGCCATTGCCTTCTATTCAGTGACCAAGCAGGATATCGAAGAACATTTTAGCACCCATGGCACCGGAAAGATCACAGAGATCAAGCTTATGAATGGCTTTGGGTTCATAGAATATGAAGATGCGATGGATGCAAGAGATATTGTTCCCGGTAGGTTGGCGGCAATTATACGCGTGAAATCACCAAATTGCTAACATAAGTGAGCAGCGTTTCGTATGTGAGATCGTTAGCCCGGCTCAAAAGGGCAAGTTTTGTTGACCAGAAACCAGACGGAAGTGACTTTAAAGGCGAGCGTCTTACCGTGCAGTTTGCCAGGGGCCCCCGTCGCAAGGAGAACTTTCCAGCTCCTACGGACCGTCCTAATGTCCCTCGCCCTCGCCGTACGATCTTTCGTATGTTGATCTCCGGTCTCCCGGAAACAAGCTGGCAGGTTAGCAGCCCTCTCAATGCCCCCTTCTTCAGGATTCCGTGGACGTCAATACAACTCTGCCAATGAGCGTCCAGCCGCCACACCCTCTGATGGCCTGTTTGGTTTGACCCTCTGGCACACAAGGATCGTGCAATGGAGTCCAGCGTAGGGTTAGAGACCACAGCCTGGAATATGGACGGCCCGGACTGGACGGAAATTACCTGGATATGTACTTCCGGATTGTCCCCTCACGCCTTGGTGGTACTGTCGGCCGTTGCTTTTGTTTCCGTGTTCCCCTTAGCCGCCACCCACTTGGACTTTACCTGGATACATTCCTCATGCCTGGACAGGAACTTACACCGTGGACTCTAGGATCTCAAAGACTTTGCCCGTCAATCTGGGCTGGACGTCGTTTACTCAGAGACTGGCCGTGAGCCTGGAAGAGGGTGGGTTGCGCCTAGATGACCTGAGACTTGGTGGCAATGGTTAACACGATTCAAGGTTTGTTGAGTTTGAGACTGCAAACGATTTGAAAACCGCAGTCGAGAAACTCGACGGCCGAGAGTTCAAAGGCGCCAGAGTGACTTGCGTTCCCGATGTAAGGACCATCTTGTGCCCAAGGATTGGAACGAGATCCTCATTGCGTTGCGCCTTATAGATTCAGCCGTATGATGACCGCACTTACCGTGACCCATACCGTTCCCGGTCCCCTCGTCGAGGCTATCCCCCGATGGATGAATACGACCGCAGATACTCGGTGCCTCGCGGCTACAGTCCGCGTAGCCATTTCCGCGAACGGTCTCCTATCCCCATGCGCCGGGAATACTATGGCGATGGTTATGGCCGCCGTACCCCGCCGCGTCCTAGGATGGAAGAATATCCCCCTCCACGACGCCCTTACGAAGACCCCTATGGCCCACCACCTCCGCCTCGGTATGACGACCCGTATGCTGCCCCAAGGCCCTATGGACGACCTCGATCCCCGCCACGGGGTGAGTACGCTCCGTACGAGCGCCGTTACTGGTAGGAAATGCACAGCTCGTTTTCTTGTGTTGCCTGCACGGTGGATACCCATTTTTTACGTTGAGAAAATTCCCACACAGCACTATTTTTGCTTTTACCGGGCCACAGAACGATATCGTCTGATTTGAAACGTATCTCTTCTTTCTGAGATGAATTTTGCTGGAAGACTACCTATATTTAACCATGGAATCGCCCAGTTGGCGAATGACTAGTCCCGCCGGTGCCGGGCATGTTCAGCTGATCGAAGACCGAGATTGTCATCTAGGTCTGGTAATGATTGATGAACTTACGGCGCTTGATGAGTTTTAACACGGCCGTTGGGAATAATGTATCGCAGCTAGTATACTCAATCTACCGAACGTTTGTATAGTTCCGGACGTAGGAGTCGCTTGAAGAAGTAGGCAACGTCATGATTAAACCAAACTTCGTCTGACCCCGCGCTAAGTGAACCCCGCTGAATCCTAGCAACAGAGCTTCAGCTATAGCAATTGCCTGGGTTCGATGATGGTTCTATCGGAGTGGATCAACTGAACACTTGACTGTGATCAACTAAAGAGTTGACTGTTTGTTTCGGTTATCACTGTGACACTGTCTTTCCAGTCAGGTTCATGTCATGATTAAGACCCCGCATCAGCTTACCTGACTCGCGGATTTAGCTTGCAAAACGACGCACTGATTGACCATTTTATCCGCCTCAAAAAAAGTTCAAGTTCCCATCAATTCCATTCAAAATGGCCGAGCAACGAGTCAACGTCCACATCCCCTCTCACCCAGCCGTCCTCGACAGTGTGCGCCTTCGCAACATCCAGCTTCCCCTCCCCGCAGCACCAGACCCATGGCACCGCAACGGTAAATCGCAACCCTGCACCGCATCGCTGAAGCTCTCATACTCTTCCGCCGTGGCAGCCGCCAACGCCGACGATGTCTCCCTCTCCCTCGACTATGGGAAGCTCTACCGCCGCCTGGAGGAGGAAATTCGCAATATGACAGCAGGAAGCAAGCCCAGCGCAGCCACCCCGGGGCAGCACATGATTAGCGTCGAGGGAAGCCGGCGCGAGGAGATGTTGAGGGCCGATATCGGCCAGGACGTGCGTCTGACCGCGGGGATTGTCGCGAACTGCGGCCTAGGACTGCTCGAGGAGACGGCGGCTGGGGTTCGACGGATGGCACACGTGCAGCACAGCCGGCGGAGGAGTAGCGCGTCTGCTTCTGAGGCGCGGGGCGCGGTCTTCAATAACAAGGCTCCCTCATCGTCGTCTGCCGGGCCTATCGATGATGTCTATGGCCAGTGCGAGGTTTGGCTTCATCTACCAAAGGCTCTACTACGTGCCGAGAACGGCCTCCACTACCGCAGCTCTACGGTCTGGGGGTACAGACAAGGAAGCACAGAGCGGTGCCCTGTAGTTTTGGAAGAGGAGTTTCGGATTGAGGGGATCCGGTGCTATTGTATCCTGGGTGTGAACTCGCATGAGCGGGTTGAGAAGCAGGCCGTGATTATCTCGTTGGAGTTCAAGGGCCCAGGGCAGCTGGCTTGGGGGTCGACTGTCGTTGATACTTACCAGGTGATGACTAGGGCTGTTGCAGAGGTTTGTTGTTCAGGCTATTTGGAATTTGAGATCGCGAGCTGACTTTTATACTTTTAGCGCGTTGAAGAGACTTCATTCCAGACAGTCGAGGCGCTGGCGACGTTTGTAGCGCGCATTGTAACGGTGGACTACGCCAATGAGCGAGTGACTGTAAGAGTTGAGAAGCCAAGTGCGCTGGCATTCGTGGAGGCTTCAGGCGTGGAGGTGACTAGGTCCCAGGCCTTTTTTGAGAGATCTCCTTGATTTCGAGCCAATGTTAAATTCTATGAGCGATATATAAATGTCTCAACTTCTCAAGTCATCTGAATGGTCACTCTGTACATCCAATGGCCGAAGCACGTGAAGCCGGAAGGGGCCTAGCCTCGCTTAGCACCGGCTGTTGCTGATTGGCTGTGAAATTCAAGGAAAGGCACTCTCTGCATGGGCTTCTTTCTTACTGCCTTGTCTTTCCTGCTTACAATCTCCCCTGTACGGGATCATCATTTGATTTGAAACTCTCCCTGCGTCTCGGCCTCGAGATATATCGCTCACGCTTCATATTCCATCCCTTGTCGTGTCTCTATGTGCCTGTCTGCGCCCAAGCCCTCATTGTTCGATCTTGCCCGCACTGCTGGCCTCCACAACCTCATCTCAAACTTCGACTTGACTGCTGCTCCATCCTTCGCACTGGCCGGTTCCCTGCCCTACGCTACCGCCGTCTCCGTGCCAGATTCCTCGCTGCGCGAGACCTCCGTCAACGACGTGATTTGGGTAGGGGTTCGTCGTCCGTCCTGAAGAAGGGCGGACGGTAAATTCGACGCTGCTTTGTCCTTTTGTGGGCTTCATCATATAGGGAGGAATACGGGGTCTAACGGTTCAACCGCCCTGCGCCCGGGAAAAAAGAGTGGTGTTTGTGATTTGGTCCAGAAGGTGGGGTTTCTTCTCCAACATCTTCTGTCGTCTGCTTAGTTTCTTGGCTAACGAGGTTTACGGATGGAATAGATCATTATCGGAAATTATACCCGGTCGGTGATTCGCATAGTCCATGAGTGAGCGGATGTAATCAGTCTCTGAGTTGCAATTGCTCTTTTCTCCGGCGCATCAGCAAGACTACGATTGGCTTCTTAGGACTGCGGGATCCTGAAGAAAGCCCGACAAAAAATCTAGATCGAGCGAAACAACGCGGAAATGTCGCCGAACACAGCTCAGGACGACATTTCGGTGGGTGATGTGTTTAGCCCACAGGCTGACATGTGCCACTCAAAAGCCGAAGACCACTTCAATGCCGCCAGCCAGCAGACCGGCTTTCGAATGACTGCGCGCAGCCCGGAACGAAAGCCTTGTCTGGCAATCAACGAACGCGCCCCTTTCACGAAGTTAGGCGCGAACCCCCTGACTGCGAAAGGTAACCGGCGTAAGAAAAAGAAGAAGCAGGCTGAAGTTCAGGCGACGCCGGCTCTATCTACCGTTCATGGATTTACCCCTCGTGGTTCTGGCGATGAAGACTCGGACTTCTCAACAACAAGCTCTTGCGCGCCTAGTGCTCAATCGCGTGTCTTGGCTGGCAGTAATGGTGCTAGCCCTATGCTGCAACCGGTTTCTGGCGGCGGTATCAGTGCTCTACGACTACAGCTCGATTCCATGAATTTGTCTGGGAACTCCCTTCGCCGTAAAGCTACTGATGGTCTTTGCACCGCAACACCTAGCAACGCCAGTGTGTATTCTGACAGCGACGAGACTGAGATTCTGACTAGCTATGAGGTGCCCTTGGACCACGACTACGTCAGTGCCGATGCTGTTGCGGAGGAAAAGAAGCAGGAAGAGCAATCCAAGAATACCATGCAAACCCAGGATGTCCGCAACCAGCTTTGCCGCAAGATGACCACCGACGATTTTGAGCCTCTGCTTTGTTTGGGTAAAGGATCCTTCGGTACCGTGTTGCTGGTGCGCCACGCTCTCACTGGAAAGCTTTACGCGCAGAAACAGTTCAAGAAGGCCTCGATCACGGTTCATAAGAAACTTGTCGAACAGACCAAGACCGAGCGTACGATCCTGGAGAGCGTCAACCGACACCCGTTCGTTGTCAAACTCTTTTATGCCTTCCAGGACCACGAAAGACTGTACCTTGTCCTCGAATACGCCCAAGGTGGAGAACTTTTTACCCACCTCGCAATGGAACGCATGTTTGATGAAGATGCTGCGGCATTTTACATGGCTGAGATGGTCCTAGCCCTGGAACATCTCCACCAGAACGTCGGCGTTATTTATCGCGATCTTAAGCCCGAAAACTGCCTCCTCGACCACGAAGGTCACCTCCTTCTGACCGACTTTGGCCTCAGCAAAATCGCCGTTGACGATGATGACCGCTGTAACTCCTCCCTCGGCACAATTGAATACATGGCCCCCGAAGTCATCCAGGGCAAACCTTACGGCAAAGCATGCGACTGGTGGTCCCTTGGCGCCCTCGGATACGATCTCCTCACCGGTTCACCCCCATTCAAGGCAAACAACCACGCTAAGCTCCAGGAGAAGATTCTCAAGCAGAAGCTCGTTCTGCCCTACTACCTGGGGCCAGACGCAAAGGATCTTCTTACACGTCTCCTTCGCAAGGAGCCCTCCAAGCGCCTGGGTTACCACATGCCCAAGGACCTGCAGACAATCAAATCTCACCGCTTCTTCCGCAAGATCAATTGGCGCGCTCTCGAACGCCGTGCCCTAACACCACCCATCATCCCGGTCGTCACGGACCCAGCCCTTGCAGAAAACTTCTCTACGGATTTCACTGCCCTTCCGTTGAGTCCCGTCGAGGGACCCTCGTTCTTTAGCGACTATTACGTCTCTCACCACCGGGGCAGCGGTAGCCACTCGGGTATGGGCATAGGTATGCCGAACGGTCGCGACGGCGCTGAGCATGATAGCAACCCATTCGGCGGGTTTAGTTTCGTTGCACCTAGTAGTCTGCTGGATCATGCTGGCGGCGGGAATGGAGCGAGTCCGATGGCTGCGGGTTATTGACTACAGGGCTTCTTAGATAGCTATCGCTGCCTTTGTTGCTATCTTCTGCTGTCGGGACCATCAATCCTACTATGTATCTACCGGTTTTCGTTCTGGATATTGGATCTCGGTCGATTGTCTTTAGACATAGATAGGCTAGTGCTACAAGGTAGACATCAAGTTATACCTTTACACACCGGGATTACACGGTCTAATTCCTTTTCTCTTTCCTTCCTTTGTTATTGTTAAATGTCCACGTATATTCTTTGCTTAGTTTAGCTGCAATGTGAGTCCAAATTAGGCTGGCACGATCGTATAGAGGGACTACATAGAGCCGCGTACATTTTTCATCTTCCATCCCAGTCTTCACTGCATTTGGTTGACTAGCCAATGAACAAAAAGAATACAGAAAGCTCATGTGGTAAAACAGGTCGAAGGCAAAAGGTATATACAACAGAGCCTTCGAAGTAGAGAAAAACAAAACAAAAACAAAAACCATCAATGCTATGCCCACCCATTGTCTATAAAACAGGAGCTCAACGTTAGGATATCAATAGCCACCTTTCTTTCCCGGGTTTGAATCCCAGAGGGTTGATACCAACCCCGGAAGAGAGCAGTGATTCTCAAATAGTCATGAAAGATTGAAAAACGTGTGCGGGCGTCACAATGCTCGCCCAAGAAAGCGAGAGCCCGAGAAAGGTTATCGAGTTAGTAATATGTAATACTTTGCTACAGTTCACCCTCCTCGCTTCCACCACCTTCATCATCCGGTTCTGGCTCCGGAGGCGGCGGCAGCGGCGGTTGCCGACGATGCTCCGGTGGTGGAGGGGGCGGGTGCTCGTTTCTACCATGAGAAGAGGAGTACGATGATCTCCGTCTCTGGTAGGCGTCGTCGTCTTCTCTATCTCGGTCACGCTCTCGATCCCACTCTCTATATCTTTCAGGCAGGCGTTTAGAAGGTGCCGAGTTCTGCTGCACGATCTGGTCGATACGCTGCTGAATGGGGTCGAAATTTTTGATATCACTGTTTCGGCGCTGCGGAAATGTTGTTCGGGGCGCGGGTGGGAGTGGATGTTGGTGGCGGTGGGATTGGTGAGCGTGGTGGCCGTTTGGCGGGCGGTCGTTGGAAAAGGACGATGATGATGATGGAGGTGGTGAGTGTGAAGAATGAGGTGGTGGCGCACCATCTCCGCCGTATGGTAATGCAGAAGCGAATGATGCTGTAGTAGAGCGAGTCCTCTCTGCGTCCGAACCTACCCGGGGTCGTTTCGGTGAGCGTGTCCCGTTTTGAGTAGCCTCGTCTACTTTCAAGGGCACAGGGTCTTGTGAGTTTTGATCATAGCTTTGATAGCTATCTTCTGGCTCCCGCGAGCGCTTCCTGGAGGCTGGATCAGGTGGTGCTTCGAGTGAGCCGCCGGGGCGCGGGATCCTAGTCTTCTCAGCACCTTCTTTCCACGAGGATGGGACGGGCGGGAAGTACTGGCTATGTCTATGTTGTTCATTGCTCTCGTATAACTCTGCCATTCGACTGCAGGCGCGACGGACCTGCGTTATATCAACGTCGATCTGCTGCCACCAGGTGCGACCGAATTCATCGTCTTGGAATGCAATATCACAATGGCTTATGGCGGCGTAGAAGGCAGCTGCAGCGATGACACGGGCAGGGAACTGGAGACAAAGGACCGTATACGAGGAATCGTTCAAGAAAGCCCAAGACGAATTGCGGACATGCTTGTTGTCATTGACGCCGAAGAAGCAAATGTAATCATAGAGGATCCGGTACGGTTGTTCGAGTTGCAGATCGAAGCATAATGCTTCGAGCAGTATGTCTTCATGATGAAGGATAGTATCGCGCCATTTCCAAAATTCTTTCGACTGCTCATCCACAATGAGATCCGGCTTTTTTTGTGCAACCCGACAGACGGCCACCACCAGCTCTTTCATCCTCCGGACATTCTCTTCCACTTTTGTAGCCAGGAACAAGGATGTAGCGGCGATTGGGTATGCGTGAATTCCCGGTCGCTCCGGCCTGTCGGCTATCCCAAATCGCATGAAGAAACGATGAAGGTAAACGGCGGCTGTGGCGAGGGTCGGCTGCGGCAACTTTAACATCATCCCAACCTGAGTGATAAAGTTTACCCCTTTGCTCCGGTTCAAGTTCTCTATTTCTGCGGTCATGCCGTCAAGCTGCGACGGCGATCGGGCGAGCTCCTCGTCCGTAAAGAGCCATTGTTGTTGCGCGGCAAGAAGAACCGGATTCGAGGGGGCCGGAGGGGGTCGTTTGACTGGCGGTTGTGACGCCATCATCGGTACGTATGAAACTCTTGATCGTCGTCAAATTCAGAGTCTGGATGCTGGACCGCAGGTCTGGATACTCCGTGGTGTTGTATGTAGGTTAAGCAGGCGGTTGGGAAGCGGGATTAAACACCGGCGAGATTCACTTCGTCCCCTTGATTCACGTTCTAGGGCAGCAGCCAACCAAGCAAGCACTGGTAGTCAAAAGCTCGTCCGGGCAGCAATTCGCGTTCATTGCATCGTGAGCTAGGACAACGCGGATGCGCCTATTCCGCGAGATGAGAGCTCGGCGTAGTAGCGGATTCGTAGACTCGCCTTGGAGGTAGAGTCCAAGGATTGCGAAGCGGAAAACGAGCAAGACAGTTTCCTTGCTTTTGTCCGTTTCCAGTCTCTTGTTCTCGGTGTCGTCTTTGCTGCTGAGAGCTCTAGAGTTCTCCAATCAACTTGAAGATCCCGGAGTGGAAAGGTAGGCCAGCGAGTCGGAAGCGGGTTTCTCCGTGCCCGGTCGCTCATACTACCCTAACAGAGGATTACAGAAATGATTCCGATTGCGGTTATCTGAAGAACTAGAATAGATAGGTCCAGAAGTAAAATGAAGTGTGATATCGCTGTAAGATGCCTTGATCCAAACGCCAGCCGATACCCAATGCATAGATTGACAACGCCGTGATACAGATGCCCGTTCAAATCGCTTTCAATCAACAAGTAATCAAACAGAAAAAGAACATGGTATGTGATGTCAACATCATTCTTCCTCGCTGACCTCACTCTCGTCCTCACTTGGAACATATTGATGCGACGAAATGTGCGTCTGGGACTGTTGACTCCGCGCTTCTTCTTCAAACGCTGCTTCCATCTCTGCAGCCAACAAGTCGTCTTCATCTTCCGCCTCCTCCGCTTCGGGTCCAGCGTCCTCGCCCTCGACCTGGATGTTCGGGATAGGTGCGGACCTCTGAGTTGTGGGGACCGGTGATGGGAGTCGCAGATCCTCAATATCCTCATAACCATCTCCGCCGTCTTCATCATCTTCGTTATTCGAGGGTGTATTATTGGACGAGAAATGAGCGGGATTCACTCTGAACGGGCGAGCTGGAGGTGGTGATCCCATATCGATAATCAAATCTCCGTCAATGATGATGTTAGAGCCAGGCGACGGGACGGTCTTTTGCGATGATACTGCGCCAGTACCTGTTTCCGAAGGCGAGGATTTGGACGACTCAAAAACAATCTCTTCAACATCTTCATGCTCCACCCTTCTTGCCTCCTTACTGTTGTCTTTCTGTCTTTCTATCACTCTAATAGGGGATTGCGGTTTCGATTTGGATTTCGCAGGGGCCGCCTTGCTCGATCGCGGGGTATCAGGTGCTGGCTTCTTTTGGCGAAGAGGGTTCGTCTGGGGTTTTGAGCGAGGTCGAGGACTAGGAGCAGGCTTAGTCGCAGTGATCAGTGGTGTTGCCGCTTTGCTCGTGCTAGTAGACGGTTCTGGGGTCGCATTTCCCGAGGCCAACTTATCGTCGTCCAGATTATCTTTGTCTTTGGCAAGGAAATGTCGGTAGTCGTAAGGATTATCTTCGTCCGCCGGCCCGTCATCATTTCCGCTGGCCTGGTCGGATCCGCGATCATCTCCAGAAGCGTGTTCATCCTGTAAGGTCCTAAGTTGGGGATACTGCTGAATCACCTGCTTCTGCGTCTTCGCCGGGGCCGAACGAAGGTTGAAGTTGAGCTGCGTAGCAACCGGTTCCAGCACGAACGCCTTCCTTGTCGCGTCGAATATAAGAACTAGATTATGAGCTTGTGCGTCAGAGGCGCTCTGTGCTGGATCAACGCTGCCCTGGTAGGAGTAGGTCAAGACATTCTGTTCGGCACTCGGAGCTTTATCGGTAACCGTCAGGTTGAAGTGGTCCCGTGAGTGTGGGGATTTGGTGATAGTAGATCGTTGCTGTGAAGCCGCCGCCTTGGTCTTATAGTTGTATTGGATGTTTACCAACTGCGAGCGAGATTTGTCGGTCTTTCTTGCCAGTCGCTCGCCCAGAATGATGGGGTACTCGGCTTGTTTGGACGGATCGATCATCCCGCCGGCTGAGAGTGTGGAGGCCGCCATCGGTACTGATGATCAATTCCTCAAACAAAGAGGTACGGAAACAGATGTAATAATTATTTAGATGAGAGATAATATAGTGTGTAGTAGTATATATACCGTCCCCTTTATAGGTCGGGAGAGAAGACTCGCATTGCTTGTAAGATGAAGAGTGAATTCGGTGGCACAATTATGAGAGAAGGTCACACGGAAGGTGAATTGGAGGAAGAAGAATCAGGAACAAGAATAGGAATAATGGCAGCTAGAGCATAAATAGACACAATAACACGAACAGGGGATAAATAAAGGAAGGGTAGAGAATGAGTTGACGGAGAGTTGGAGTTGGGGACAATGGAGACAAGGCGGGCACGGCCTTGGTACTGATCGGGTTAGCGCGCGAGTCATTATCCCCTTTGATTACTATATACACCGCAGTTATCTATTATGTACAGACAACGTTCAAGGAGTCCATTTGGAGTTCCCAATGAAATGGTGTGGTTCCGCGCCAGGCTAAGAGTGTTTGCATGGCAACAACCCTCCTGACTGCTGATGGTAGCAGGAACGATGATACGGAGTACATGAGCTGACCACAGCCTCGCCCCAAAACTCCAGTCAGCTTTTGGCACGAATTCCGTTAATTGGCGAAACGTCTGTCGCCCGGTTCAGCCGTTGGTCCCCTGTTCTAGGCAAGGGAAGGAATATGTTTCAAACCTGGGGATTTGTAGACACACTGGGCGGCAGATCGTTTGCGCTTGGTTTCTAAAATCTAGCAAGAAGCGCCCTTGGCATATGCTTAGTGCACAAAAACGACGCTTCTGCCCGGAATGGAACTTCTGTAGACTGATATGTTGACTTGTCTAGGCAGACCATTTCCTTGCCATTGCCTATGAGGCAGCTAGTGAGGTTGCCTGCAAGGTACCTTTCGAGGACCCTGTAGGGCTTGTTGGATTCGCCCCCGTAAGCTGTTCAAGGCGCCCTGCCAATGCTCGGTGCTTCCGCATAACTTCCTCCCATTCGGAAGCAAAGCCCTCAGTTCCTTCATCCCCTGTGTCGCCGAGTTCGGTTAGAATCATGCTGAAGTCGCCCCCTAAACGGCCTAAACTGGCAGCGCAGTAGAGTACCTGCGTAAGAAGACTTTCACGGGCGGTTTTGTCCTGAATATTCGGTAGATATGTGCGCAGCGTGCCAGTTAGTAGTTGAACCAGGTGCGTAGGGAAAGTTGCGAGAGCAGGTGGTAGGCATTGGAAAGGGTCTAGTCTGCGATCCGTCTGGGAGGACTGTGCCGTCTTGGTCCGCGCGTCGATTCCTCGTAAGCCCGGGGCGGTCGCATCGGTCTCTGACTGATCTGGTGTAAATATGTTCTTGTACAAAGAGACAACCGCGAAGCTTTGCTCGCGGAATATCTCAATGTACCTTTTCAGGTACTTTTCTGTCTGATGACCGGCTGTCCACGAGCCAGTACCGCTTTTCTGGTCTGAACCCCGCGTCCTGCGCTGTGTTTCCTGATCTGCAAGTTCACGGAGGGGATCAAGAGCTTCCAGGGTGGATACCAGGTTTGCTAGACGGCATATCAGGAATGTTGCACCCAGCGCACCTCCTCCATTACTAGCTCCGCCCTCGCCAATGGCTGCATCAAGCTCAGGGGCCACCCTTCGTAACCAACCTACAGTCCGCATCCCCGCCGCGAGTCGAAGGTTCTGAGCACGAAGAGCAGTAATAAGATTCGAAGTCATATCTTTCATGGCGTCCTCCGCCTGGGCGGCCACGTCGTTCACTAAAGGCGAATCCGGGTACAGCGTCTGCAAGCGCTTGATGTGAGCGTAGAGATCCAATGCTGCGGAATATGTCGTAGAAAACGAAGTCCCTGTGTTTCCGGAGTTGGCAGCGGCCGACGACACGGTTGTTGCAAGTAGTGTGGGTAATTCCAGGATGTCCGAGATGCGGTCAACATTCCGCGAGAGACGCATGACTTTTTTCCGTTGCTCGAGGGTGGCATTCTCTGCCGCTCTGCTGTATTTGGAGGAGAACCGGACCGCCTCCTCGTCGAGTTTCGGGATGCCATCGCGTAACTCCTGGGCCTGGCGTTTTAGATTGGCAATGGAAGAATGGAGGTTGGATAAACTGTCTGCGGAGGTGATGAAGGACTTGTGAGATCGGTTGGACAGCGCTTGCAGAGATAGAAGATTGGAGTGCGCGGACTGTGCCAGTGACTGGGGTTCTGTAGTCTGTAGGGCCTGTAGGGAGAGCGTAGGCAGTCGGTTGAGGTATTGAATCGTGGGCGGATCCTTAGACAGGTTCGCCTCGGTTGAGGGCAGGTGAGGACTCAGGAGCTCATACAAATGCTCAGCCATGGCTTCTGCTCCCTAGCCAAGCAGACCACTTTCAATAATGTCTCAAGCAAGCGGAATGGACATCGACGATGGTATAAAAGAGCGCTCGACGGCGATAAGGACAGGAAGTACGGACACCGAAGCGGCAACAAGCGCAGCCCTCGGAGGAGCAAATGAGGCCCGGGCTATTGGCCATTACGTATCATCCCTGGCTCCTACAACTCCCATCCCCGCATCCTTTATTAACCCTTTATCGTCTTTCTTGGAGATCTTTTCACATAGCAACATTCCAAGATAACTACCAGAGGTTGGGCCATACATATGATATCATCGCCCTATAGCCCTTGATCCACCATCTCCACCGTATACAGTATTATCGACCAGCTTAGGTCGGCCAGCGAGGGGCCAGGAAGCTCGTACAGTAGTATTGACCATGGGCAAACCGCGGGTAAGTCATGTACTCGTCTCAAGGTACATTCACGATAATCTGACCTTGCATAGATGATTATTTTGATCCGCCATGCCCAGTCAGAGGGAAACAAGAATCGCGAGATCCACCAAACAATCCCTGATCACCGGGTAAAGCTCACGCCCGAAGGACACCGGCAGGCACAAGAAGCGGGCAAGCGACTGAGAGGACTTCTAAAACCAGACGATACGATTCATTTCTTCACGTCTCCATACCGTCGGACCCGTGAAACCACCGAAGGCATCCTAGAGTCTCTCACCGCCGATACGCCTTCTCCATCGCCCTTCCCAAGACACACGATCAAAGTATATGAAGAGCCACGGCTGCGAGAGCAAGATTTCGGAAACTTTCAACCATGCTCCGCGGAAATGGAGCGGATGTGGCTCGAAAGAGCGGACTACGGGCATTTCTTCTATCGAATTCCGAATGGCGAAAGCGCCGCCGATGCCTATGATCGCGTTTCTGGCTTCAATGAGTCGATGTGGCGGTCATTTGGGGAAAAGGACTTTGCTAGTGTCTGTGTCCTGGTCACGCATGGACTCATGACTCGGGTCTTTCTTATGAAGTGGTATCACTGGAGCGTCGAGTATTTTGAGGATCTCCGCAACATCAACCATTGCGAGTTTGTCATCATGAAGCTCAACGAGGATAGCGGTAAATTTCTGTTACAGAACCAACTTCGGACATGGTCCGAGCTAAGGATGGAAAAAGAGCGTGAACGGCAGCAAGAGCACGCTGCCAAGGGCCTAGGGTCAGCGAACTCAACACCATCAGAAACACCCGTCCCTATCAGACGCAAATGGGGAGGGTGTCCATCCGGCTTTAATCACGGCGCTCACAGGAAAAGCTTTCAACGAGCGTCTCAGCGGGAGGAACACGATAGCCACCACAAATCCACTCGGGATGACAATCGCAACAAACATACAAGCCCGGAGACCACCGAAGCCAACGATATGAACGAAGGACAAACGCTGGAAGCCCCTGAGCCCTCGATCGGCGACAAGACAGCTGAGTTGCCATTAGAGGTGCTACCTCAAAACACGCAATACCCTTCTACCCCGGAGCCGACTACACCCACCCACACGCAACACAGCAAGCATCACCATAGCCACCACCACGCCTCTCCAAAACATTTCAAGAGCCCTCTCAGCCAGGACTATCTCCACCAGACAAACCAAGCATACAACCTCATCCGCCTCGTCGGCCGCGACGGCGGTGGAACCCTCAGCGGCGCCGGCAGCGTCGCAGCTTCCGAAGACGAGCATGATAACGACCGCCACCACAACCATCACCACCAGCAGCATGAGCTACCCCGCACCGGACTCAAACGCCACAAACCGCGTGCATCCCAAGACCTCGACAACGACGGCGACGACGAAGGAAGCGGGCGGCAGACGCCTAAACTCCGACGCACAAGATCGTCCCATCATCGTCACGCCCATCCTTCAAACCTAGCCCTAGGACACCACCCCCAAGCGCAACCCCACAGCCAAACCCCAGCAACGACGAAAAAGCCAACAACGCAAACAATCCCCGACACGGATGCTGAAACGGACGAGGCGTCACCGCAGGGAAAGCAGCCTGCTCATCTTGACGGGACTCAGGGACAAACGGCACTACACTGTGTCCGTGAAACAGGAAGCGAGGACGAGGGAGAAAACGAGAATAATTATGAAAGAACACTTGAACAAGCCCAGAAAGAAGACCAGAGTATTCGGGGGAGCGTCTACTAGATACATGGATTCTAGACTCTAGATGAGCACTATCCCTTCATAGATGACTAGATGATGTGATGCCTACGATACCCTGCATCATGATAACACTATACCTCTGTTCGTTGGGGTCTGAGAAGAAACCAATTCCGTAGACATTGATCTTCCTTGGGCCCTGTTCTCTGGCCTGCATATAGTAGAATTTTGCCTGTCCAGGTATCCAGGGTTTGACCATGCCCATCTTCTATTGTAGGAAAAAGTAACCATCCAAATTTGGACACGGTCTATTGCTTCTATAGCACCCTATACAATGGACCATGGCTATGTTTACAGGCTACAGTAGAAATACAGAGTGGCTATCAAACCAGATGGGCCTTGGTTATATGCAGGCCAGAGGGTGTAAAAGCCATACAGTAGACTTGTCAACTTTGGGATCAAGAACTGTGACCGCATGGCTATGAACCCTACGTGGTTTTCTGGAGATGAAACAATTCAAGACAAGCAAGAGTGGAATCCATGGTGTCAGAGGAGACAGGTTCCCATCTTTATTGAGTCAAGGTTTGGTAGTAGTTAACTTACATTTCAATTCGGCAGAGAATTGAAAACAAGAAAGAGAACATGGTGATCGAGACCAGTATCAAGAAGAGAATTGAATCAAGAGACACAGAATATGAACCATAGTTGGGAATTGGGGAGTATCACTTTTTTTGTGGGTGGTCTGGAAAAGAAACCGGTATAAAACATGCATCAAGGGTCGTCGAATAGAAAGAAACAGAAGTGGAAAGAAATAGAGTACCGCCAAAAAAGGCCCTCCGTCTCCGATCAGCCCAAAACCTAGGTAGATATTGAATTTGCAAGGTTTCAAGTATATGCAGGATAAAAGCATAACCTTGATCGGCCCAGGGCAGCAAGAAAGGGGCAGCCGAAACAGAGATTGCGGTAATGCAAAATGTAGAACGAGGGAGGAAATTACAACGCCGGGTAAATGGGGAATGGTTGTTTATGACGGGAAGTGAATCGATCTATGAGTAACATCTGCCAGATGAAATGCCCAAATCCAGAGAATATGAAGAGAGAGAGAAAAGAATCAAGATGAACAATGAAAATGAAGATTGAAAACAGGGGCCATTAGCAGAAAGCGATGAACGAAAATCATGATTATCGTGACTTCTCAACCCCAAGACCAAGAGAAGCCCGCGGGATCTCAGTGCTTTTTTTTTTAATTTGATGAGATCTCTCAACAACGAAATCGTATCAAATCGAATGTAATCGGGAAAAGGTGTCATATCGTAAATGCATGCGGAGGCTCAGAACAGAAGATGTGGCAGTCGTTCCAATATCGCTGCTTGACACTTTTTTTGCTGAGTTTTGACGTTTTCTTGTTCGGGCGGACCAAGAGACAGATAACCAGGGTACTTTTTCGGCAGGTAAATGAGACCGAGAAATAAATCGGATTGTCATCGCAAAAGGGACTAAAAAGGAATAAAGCGGTATCATCGGACGGTATCAGACAAGAGGCAAAGGAAGGAAAATCTAGACAGAACAAGAAAATCGATAGAAGCAAGTCGTATGCAGCGTAACGTCAATCAAGCAGCGAGGATTGGTTGCATGGAGCCGAGGTTGGCGCACATGTAATGTTCCATGTGCTTAGCGCAATAAGGGCAACCACACGAGGCACCATGACCAGTTGTCCAGCCACCGTGCGGGAAGGGAAACCCGTAGGATGGTGTGTGGTGGTAGGATGGCGGCTGCGAGCGAGGCGGCGGCATGTATTGTTGATGAGGAGGCATCCAAGTGCTCGAATATGGCGGTGGAGGGTTAGAGTACGCCCATGTGCCAACTGCGTAATAGTCCGGAGTTGTCGGTCCACTGTGAGGAGCAGAGGGCGGCGAATACTCTGAAGCTGCTGGATTGAGCCAAGAGTTTTCGTACTGAGTGCTCCGCTGATACTGCGGCGGGATCGGACCTTCCGGGGAAAGAAGAGGCTTCGAGACCCGGTTGCTGCGGGTGATGTTGGTATCAATCGGAGCGAGGGCGTGTCGAGGCTCTTGAGTTTTGATAGCAGACTTGGCGCGCCACTTCTCCCAGTGAGAAAGCCACGAGGCAAAGCCATCCTGCTGGTCATAGATACGGTCGTGGATCTTCCACTCAAAGGCGAAGAGCCACTCGAGCTCCATGGAGTTCAACTCACTGACGGAAATGTTGCTAACCTCGGCCCAGGACTTGTTCTGGAAGGTGTTATCATCCAAGAACTTGCTTCCCAACAGCAAAGCCACAGTGAGCATGCGGTAGACCTGGCCACTGCCTGCGTTGTAGACCTTGGCAGAAGAGAGCATACGCATCCGACAGGACAGGTAGTAAAGACCCAGAAGAATTGTGGAGCTCGGGAGACGCGTCGACGACAAAATCTGAAAGACGTATTTCCGGAACTGAGACGGGACAGACGATCCTGGGTAGACGCTTCGCGCGAAGTCAATATCTGATAGGTTGATCTTGGTGATGTACAAATCATACATTCCCTGGGCCATCTCAGCCACAAAGTCGGACATCTGATCCATCTCATAGTCTAAGTAAGCGGCAACGCCTCCGGTCGCTTTCTCCTCCTTGCGAGGCTGTTCGGGCTGAGCGATCGGGTCTTGACGGCGGTACTGCGGAGGAACGGCGTGGTCCATTGGTGGCAATTGGACGTTGTTGCGGATCGGGGGCAGCACGTTGGCGGTGGAGACGGGGCCGAACATGGGTTGACTTAACGCGGTCATATCCCTCCCGGTGCGCATCGAGTGAATAGGCTGCTGAGCGTTCATCGGGGGCTTGGCGTAGCAGGTGGACTGCTGGGAGTATTGCTCGATGAATTCACAGCCGTTCTGGGAGTAACGGGGAGGGAAAGCGGCCGAGTGGTTGTGACCGAGGACGTAGAAGGGAGGTTCGTTCTCCATCCTGCCGGCACCGGTGATATGAGGGGGAGTAAGAGGGAAGGCCGGGAGGCCAGTGTTGTAGAAAGACGGCATAGCGAAGAGAGGAGGAGGGATGAAACCAGTCCAGGGACGGGGCGGTAGACGATTTTGATGCTAAACAAGTAGACAATCCCAGTCAGCGACCAGATCAAACAGGGCAACACCAGCAGGGAGACAAGTAAAGATACGAACCGTCTACGCGTCCGCCACACCCTGAGCCTGGGGGAGGAAGAGCGTTGCTCGACGAGCCGCGGCTCTGTTTTTGGTGCAGGAGATATTCCTTAGTTGAAAAACATGGGGGGACAAATCAACAACACGGTATCGGCGGTACGGGCGGAAAGGAAACACAAGGGGAGCGAAAAGAGCGGTCGCAACTGGCGTTTTCCGGGGTTGTTCCTTCTCTGCGGACGATTCTGGTGGTGAGGCGTGTTTCTTCCGTTATGGATTGAAAGCGAACACGGGCGAACTTTTTTTTCACGAAGCACCAGAGGCGATCTTGAATTGCTAGAGCAATTGCAAGGCGGACAGAGAGGATCGTGGACGCGGTTTGGGTTGGAGAGGACGAGCAAAAGTTGAGTCCGAAAGGGGAAACAAGATTGTCTCGCGTCAAATTGCCGGCCGGTAGTCCACGGTGACAACGACACTTAGTGAAAAGCTCGTTGCAAAGGTGAGTGGAAGGGAAGCAAGAGCAAAGCGAACAAACAGCGCGAAAGGTGGAGGAGAGACTTTCACACGAGAGAAGAGGATGGAGAGAGAAGAGGAGGGATGGGGGGGAGGGAGAGAAGGAAGGAAAGAAAGGGAAGCAGAAAGGGAAGAACAGCGTTAAGATGATCGCAGGCTCAGGCTCAGGCTCAGGCCCGGGCTGGTGGTCGGTGGGTGGTCGGTGGTGGAGGCCTCCAGCAGTCACCTGTCTCCAGCGGTAAACGGCAAAACTGGGTGGCTTTGGCTAGCTTCACGTAAAGTAAAACTCAACCTCCGGCAGGCTAACAAATTTTATTTTTATCATCATGACTCGGTAATTACTGTTATTTACATCGAACTTTTGCTTGATTAATATTGCAGAGTATGACTTGAGTTATCTGTCCAATACGCATTTTTAATCACAGAACAGATAGGAATCAATTTCAAGGATCAAAACCTGTTGGGAACGCAAGATTCCTCGCAACGGCCAGACCAGGAGCAACCGTGGCACTGGTTTACAAATGGAGAGCGGCTAGACTTGGAACAGCACAGCACACTGAGCACAGGCTCCATCGGAGAATCAGTGAATCAGACCTCTGACCAAGTGATCTCCTCGAGGCCCTAGCATGCTAGCATGGCTAGCACGAGGAAACGCAGAAAAATCCACAAAGTCCCGTTAGGGGTCGGAATGGGGTTGCAGGTGTCGAGTCCCGGTCACCGGCAGACTCGCCCCTGAGATTTTGTCATTTTAAAGAGATTATTATTTTAAATAAAATTATTCAATCAACCTCAAGCAGTACAGTCTGCAGACCCGTTGACAAGACTCGAAATAGCATCAGTTTGAAATACCACGGGTCTCCCTCCGGCAAATAAGAGGCGTAACAGTACCAACACGAGTCTCAGAGTGTCCCGACACTGCCTGGACAAGACAATTATAATGCACCCAATGAGAGGCAGAATTACGGCCGAAGTCCTGGGAGTGGAACGTGCACTCTGTGAAGTGTGAACAGTGCCAGTCTCAGACTATTCCCAGAGGGGTCAAGATACGTCAGGGCATTAATAATCGAGGCCTGAAGACTCAGAGGAAAATCAGTAGTGGCAATCGACAGGCATCACAGAGTGCCTGATCCAGTCACTGCCCGTGGCTATGACGGATGATATTGGAGGAGTCATGACTCCATTTTTGGCTGGGAGAACAAACCTGCAGCTGCGCATGGTGGCGAGCAGCCTCAAAGATCATTGACATTCCCCTGTCCGAGCATAGCCGGAGACTGCAGTGTGGATAGGAACTAAGATGTCACAGACTCACAACTTAGTTGCTCAAAATGCTGCTACATGGACTCGCTCAGGGTCTCAGGCTCCCCATCTGACTCACAGAAGCATCCAATCAGTGTCGAATCTAAACGGCAGATGATGATGATTATGGATGACCTCCATCCAGGCAGGCAGCTTAACTCCAGCCTCCGCCTAGTCCCCGACTCCCCGTAGCAGCCCCGGTATCCTTATTCCCGCCTCCGGGTTCGCTTCCAGATTGTTCTGAGTCCTTCCTGTTTGATCCGAGTCTGCAGGGAAGAGTGGAGGCACAAGACAAAGAGAGGGGGAGGTTCGCATGGAGTCACCCATCCTTCGCTGCCCGATGTATGCCGGACATGTCCAGACCAGACTACGCTGGATGGAGGACGGAGTATAGTTAGCCTGGGGCTTACTGTCCAGTCTCAATTTCGACTGCCCATGATCTCACCAGTGATGAGGATGAGCATGACCGCCGAGGCTTATCATGGAAAGTACTATAATAACAAAACATGGTAATCCGCGCTGCCAAACACCAGTCGCCGCTGGCATATCCATCGCCTGCTGTCGCTGAAAATGCCGCTAAGTCGTTGATCAGAATCAGAATTGCAACGACTTAGGGTGTCACATGCCTACCTGTCTGCAGACTGCCACAACCAGTACTATAGTCGCCAACATTGTACTCCGTAGTGCTTACACAGTCTCCCAGCCCTCTCAAATACACGCTGCATGTTCATCTGATGAGTAGCGATGGGCTTTACTATCCCATATGGCTTAAGCTTCACAAAGTTTGGTCTTCGATTCCATGAGGGCTAATTGTTATCCTTTATAATATTCTCATCAAATACTCATCAATATCTATAAGATCGACCGCCTGGCAGTTCCAGCCTCTAGATTATCATGAAGAGAAGACGTTTTACAATCGGGTAGTAGGATGGCAAACAGTCTCCTCCCTTAAGGGCTCCTATGAGGATTCTGGAATTGATAGACTTCTGCATATTAACAGTAACTTCTTCAAGGGCTCTCCCCCATTAGAACTCTTTCGTGGCTAGCAAATGGCGGTGAAATAAATGTCAACCGTCCAGGCCGTATATGGTTGTGTTTCTCTTTTCTTTCGTGGCTGTCTTTGTCATTTCCAGCCGCGATTATTACCGGTTCATGTTCCTCCCCATGCTATGGTAAAATCTAGTTGCCGGGGTTGGGTTCATCTTTCGCTTGACACCGGTCATGGACAAAACGACGAGTGTACTTGATGCGCTTTATGGCGCGGCGGCAAGGTTCTTCTCCTGGGACTCGACACTAGGAGTAGCAGACTTGGTCATGGCCTTAACCGCATGCACAAGAAATCCGTGAGCCTTATACTAGACTGCTGGTAATAAAGAACTTGTGGATCGAGATGAGAATTGGCCTCAACAAGGGCCATAAACCCGCTCTCCTTAACACCCCAAAACCCGCATCAACCGCTTTCATGCGCGGGGGCGGTGGTTGGACAATTAGAGGCCGGTGAACTCAGTTTACCTCGAGTGTGCGAGTGGCTGAGATAAATCAGACGGTGTGTCGAGACTGTACGGTAAGTCGCCCATTAGAGTAGGCGAGATAAATCATTACACCTGAGTTGTCCAACTTCCCCCCCCCCATGTCTCCGGATGTTCCCTAGGCGCTCGGTGTTACAGAGTACAACCCGTAGTAATGAGGGGAAGACAAAAAGAAAAGTACTTCGGATGCATCTCGAGTGCCATTGTCATTCGTCGGACAGATGTCGGCAGAGTCGGACAGAATGCAGTAAGTCACATGTGGGCAGCAGCCTGACTTTGTGCTGCGAACCGTGGCCCATTGGATCTGATATTATAACGTCTAGTCCACCTCAATCGCAGTGAACCAGAGTAGTGGAAAGTCTGGGAATACATCATATCCCCGGGTGCCGTCGGGTATGGGCATAATCAGATATGGCGCAATGCAAGGACCCGGTCGAGAAACGTGCTAGCATGCAAGCGCCCTAGCCGCCATGTAAAGTGCCGACCTAGTGCGTCAAGGTGGATTTCCGGACGAACAATGATAACGGTAAGAACACTTGAGCACACCCGTCTTCTCTCGCCAATATGCAAGAAGGATGATTGAGATATCGCTGGAGCGACCGGCTTCCAGGCACCCAGCGTCCTCACAGGATTCAATTGGCTGCGTATACTTGCAAAGAAATTCGGAAACCATAGAAGGAATGAAAGTCCACAAGTAATGGACTCTAGATTGGAAGTGAGATGTTATCACAGTCTGAGTAGACTTCAGCCACACTCGAACTATACATAGCCATGTAGAATAATGCAATAGATCATATTTTGTCTATACAACTAACTCCGCCCATTTTCCTTTCCTTTTCTGAAAAGTTACCGTGGGGATATGCCGACGGTACTATAAAAGGCGATTCATAACAGAGTGGATATCATAAAGAGCAACGTCAAGTGACGGTTGGAAAATATCAAGCAAGGTCGGAGATGAAAAGGTCGAACGAGGCGTGAAATGGAAGTTGTAAGCCACAATCTAAATAAATAGGTGGCCCTCTCCTAGTCGAAAGACTAACACCAGCCAAATAGAAGTCGAATCTCCCAAATAAGTAATATAATCGTAAACGTAAGGTCGTAATCATGTTCAAGTCCCGGCTGTTGAGCAGTCACCAACCACAAACAGGACATTACACGTTTGTACAAGCGATCAAGAGAGCAAAGTGTGATGGCTCACTCCCCCCTTAGCCCCTTGATCATATTCTTCAGCGCATCAAGAAGAACAGTCTCGTCTGGTGGCTCGCCGCCGGGGAACGAACTCTCTGTTGCCTCTCCCAGGGCCCGAGCCCGTGCACTCTTGAGAACACCCTTGATATAGTCTTTGTCTTCGTAATCTTCCAGCAAAACGGCCTCAAAGTCATCAATCGCTTTGTTAGCGCGCTCGTTGAAGGAAGCCTCGTCGGAAGACGTGTCCATTGGTACGGGGCCAGTATTCTGCCCACCCATATTGTACGGTTGCTGCTGCTGTTGGTTATGCTGGTGATGCTGGTGCTGAGGCTGATGCTGTGGAGGACCCGGGTTTGGATTGTAGTTTTGGGGTGGGTTGTTGTTTGGCGGAAGAGGCTGTGTATTCCGAGGTGGATACGGGGTAGAGTGTTGCGGTGGAGGAGGCGGCTGCATGTGCTGTGTTTGTGGTTGTGCTTGCTGAGACTGTTGATACTGGAGAAGCTGCGGTGGAGGATCGGAGGCGTATGGTGAGGTGTATGTGGTAGGTGTGGTTTGCGCAAACGCGGCAGGGAGATTGTTTCTGATCGGACTAGGTATCGGAAAGGGTGAGGATGCTGCAGGTGGTGCGGGAGGAGGATATGGAGTTGAGTGTTGCGGAGCGGGGGTAGGAGCGGGAGGAGTTGGAGCTGTTGAGGATGGGAATGGATTCGATGGCATGGACGAGAAGTTTTGGAATTGCGGGTTGGCCATTCCAGTTTGATTGTTCGGTTGACTTTGGTACGAGTTGGTCGGTGGGGGCATGTATTGAGGGGTGACAGAAGATGGAGGAGCCTGTGCAGGCTGAGGAGGCGGAGGAGGCGGTGGTGACGGACGTCTTTTCTTTTCCTTTTCAACGGACGCTCCTGGCCGTAGCTGCCATGACCATCCTTTACCGTCTCGCTCTGCATGCATGAAAAGGTGGCCGTTGCCGTTGAGATTGTGCCGTACACTGGATGTCCAGCCCTCGGTTTCACACTTGAAGCGGAAATAGGGATACTTGAGCTTCAAGGCCCGATAGATCTGCTTTAACGTCATCGGCGTGGTAGCCTCGGTGAGAGCATCAAAAATAAGAACTGCATAGTTATACGGCGGCTTGGCCAGATCTTCAGGTGTGTACGCAGACTCTGGAGGATAGTTGGGAGAGGGTGAACGAGATGGCTTGCGCTTCTTGACAGGTGGAGGCTTGACGTATTCTTGCGGCTGATGTTCCATGGGAAACTGCCCACCTTCTGTCGATGGGAGAGGAAAATCCATCGTGCCGTCCTTCTTCCTCTTTGTGTACTTCCGTTTCTCGGGTTTCGAATTCGGCGACTCGCCCTCAGCCGGTAAACTGGGCGCAATGCCTCCAGGAGTAACCGTCGTCTTTCCCGCTTTAGGTTTGCTCTGCGGAGGTGGTGTAACACCACCATTTGCCTCTCGCCTGGCGGCCAGTTTCTGCTCCCGTGCCAGCTCGGCTCTTTCACGTTTTGACATAATCCCATCTTTGGGTGGCCGACCAGGGCCACGGCGGCGTTGTGGTTGCTGACCATCTCCCTCGATAGACGGCGCTGCCCGAGCAGAATCCTCAACCTTTGTTTTCAGCACAATCTTCGTCGGTTTCGAGTCGTCCTTCTTCTCAAGCGCTTCTTCATTATCAACTGTGACCGGGGCCTCGAGATTCTCCTGAGCTTCTGGAGCAAACTGCTCCTCCTCGATATCGGCTCCGGTCTCGCCAATTGGAACGTCTGGGAGCAAGAACCGAATACGAACCCCTCCAATTTGGATATAATCACCACTATGTAGCGGTCGAATTTGGCTCGGGGAGAGCCAGTCTGCACCAATGAAGGCGCCGTTCCTCCCCAGGACCTCCATCTCAAACAAATTCTTGTCAAAGTTGTATGCAATCTTGACGTGCTTTCGTGAAATCCCACGGTGCCCGGCGACACTGCCATCGTTCGTTGCAGGGGGGTGAATCGGGATGGTCGGGCATGAGTCCGGGGAAGGAAGAAGCGCCAAGGCGTCGACGGGTTTAGCGTCTCCGTTGCCGTTATTCTCCTGTAATGATTGCATGGCAAGTGCATTGTAGTCGGTAGTAGCTTGGAGCTGGGCGGGAGTTGCATGCAAGAGACCGCCAGCGTCGCCCTCGGAGGCTATTGACGAGCGTCTACTGATATGCGACTGCATATGCGGAGGAACATCAGGGTCAAAACCCATAATTCCACCCCGGTCGCTAACAACACTACCCATAATCCCACTTCCTTCATGTTTTACCCGAATAGGTGTATGTGATGCGTTCCCACCGCTCGAACTTTTTGCTCGGGTATGTCTCATGACTTGTCGGGCCTGGAACTCTCGTTGATGCGCCGCCCGCGCCGCCCGTACATCTCGCCCTAGGATAAAAGAATATGTGTTGCAGTAAAAATGGCCGTCATCGAATTCAAGTTTGGCGAAAGCTTGAATCCGCGGCTCGGATCCTGCCACTGAACCACTTCCATCATGTAACCCTCCTTCGGTGTAACCCAAGGCCGACAAGTCCGCGTTCTGGGGGAAATAGGCAGCATTTAGCATATCATTCTGTTGAAATGCCTCTAATGGTGTCTCCGGAGCCGTGAAGTCTATTGGAGGAAAAAGGTCGGCATGGTCCAAAGTCGGTTTCGCGAATAGCAAAGGGTCGGTTAGGCTGTCAATGGGGTCAGTTGGGGCCACAATGCTATCATTTTGTCCAGTGGATGTAAAAGGCAGCCCTGACTGATGAAATGTCATGTCTTCTGCTTGATGTTGGGATTCCGCCGGCTGACTTTGATCTCCGTCGATTGGCTCCGCTCCCGCCGGCGGAACATCCTCCCCTGGTTGTGTTTCCCAATGCCCATTCGAATCATCGCCCAACTGCTGCTTCTGATCGCTATCCTGCTGATTTGATATCCCCGAGCCTTCCATCATATGATCTGTGTCTGTAGTAGGCGCCTGTTGGCCGCCAAGCAACTGAGCCAGCAAAGCGCTGGCGGCGGACTGGCGGCGGAAATCGGACTGGAAGTCCTGGCCGTCCGAAAAGGCACGAGAAGCCTGATCATCGCCCTCGGACTTGACTGCCACCATGTCGGAGAGAGCGGGTATGCCATTGGAAGACGAGGAGGAGTGTTCGGGGGCAGAATCGTTGCGGGTTGCCGATTGCGGGGACGGAAGGTGATGGTTGTTCTCTGGTGAGTGCTGCGGTCGGGTGTAGTCGTATAGAGACGACATGCCCGGACCAGCCTCTGAAGGATGATGGCCCACCGCTGGCGCTGTCATGGTCTGCGACGATGACATGACCGGGGGGAAAGGGCGACTGGACTCTGGTTGGCCTGTGAAAGAAGTTCTCGAGCGGACGGCCAGAGAGAGGGAGGAGAACGAAGAGGGCGGTGAACTGGAAAATCAGGCCCCGACAATAGCTCGGTCAAATGAAGTTCCGGCGCTGGGATTTTCTGCCGTTTCTCCACTCTCCCCATAAGTTATAGACCCATCGAGATCTCAACAACACACAAACAGACAAACATAACAATTCATAAATCAGGAACGGAATACGTTTCCTGAAGAACTATAACGATGCCAAAACCAAGATCTTCGAAAAAGGATACCCGTCAACCTCAGTCTCAACCCCACCAGCAACCCCCCAACTGGCCCCCTCTCCGCCCCCTCGTTCCCTCCTCCGATCTTCATCTCGAGTCTCTGCTCCCCGATCAGATCTACCTCATTCGCAACTTTCTCCCTGCCTCCCTATGCAAGACTTATGTTTCCTTCCTCGCCTCTCTTCCGCTCATCACAACCCCTGGTAAGCCCAAAAAGGGCGATGCTGTCCGCGTCAACGATAGATTCCAAATCCAGGATGCGGCGTTTGCGGAGAACCTTTGGCGGGGAACAGCGCTAAGAGAGCTTGTGACTAACCCCTCCCCTATCGACGAAGACGAGGTGGGCGAAGAAACAAGTGTGGGAAGGAGGTCGATGAAGGAGATCTGGGGCGGGGAACCGCTGGGGCTGAATGCGAATATTCGTGTATATCGCTATTCGCCAGGGCAGTTCTTTGCGCAGCATTGTGAGTTGTCTACTTATGCTACCCGCCCACATGCTCCATTTAGTTCCATTAAGCGTCAGCAAGAGTCCATAATCTGTAGTCTTCATCTAACATAACCTCGTAGACGACGACTCCAACACCCTCTCGTTCCTATCGCCATCAACACCTCCCAAACTAGCCCGCACTACTTGGACACTCCTGATTTACCTATCGACCTGCACGGGGGGAGAAACAGTTTTCTACCCGGAGCGGACAAGGTTGAATCCCAACCCAGAGCCGATTGCAGTGGCTCCCGAGATGGGGATGGCGCTGCTGCATCGACATGGGGACCAGTGTTTACTTCACGAGGGGAAGGAGGTTACAGATGGGGAAAAGTGGGTGTTGAGGAGCGATCTGGTGGTTGCGCGATGAATTGAGGTACCACATCAATCATTGAAAGATGGAGATGGAACTATATCATGTTACATGTTAACACCAATGCCTATGGGACGAATAGGTGGAACATCTATGACTGCGCTTGATCCACCACAGCCTGGAGCTGTATAATGGGGTCCAAAATTGCAGTCTAAGTGATGGCAAGATGCCATATATCTCCTGATGGCGACCGCTGAGAATGAGTTGAGAACAGAAAGATTTGACAAGAGAAGAGAAATTTGGGCATGAACAACTCAGGAGCGGACAACGCTCCAAATCCGAAGACAAAGACAAAACAGACAAAACCAACTACTCGCCTGGAACTGGGAGTTTTCTAACCTCTTTGCACTCAAAAACACACTCCCTCACTTGCAAATATAAGTAAACGCAGGAATGACGCATTAAAACCAAGTGATATTCATTTTGAACAAGCGTCACCTTTCGACTTGGAACCCTTATGTCGCTGTAGAGGGCCTCGATGAGTACTCCGTCCTCCTCATGATGTTCTCCACAGGGCCCAACAAGCGCTTGAATCCATCCCGGCCAAGCTTGGCAACTTTGACTTCTGTTTTCGCGCGAACGCTGGCTGCTCGAGGCTTGTCGTCTAGCAAGGCTAGTTCACCAAAGTAGTCTCCTCTTTGGTAGGACTTTACGGGTTCATCCACGCCCTCCATGAAAGCCTCGGCCTCGCCAGATTCAAGCAGGTAGAAGGCATCACCTGGGTCGCCTTCCGTAATGATATTCTCACCGGCTGGGAATTTGATCGTGTCGAGGGCGTCGGCAATCTTGGCGCGCTCGTAAGGCTTGAGGCTAGACAGAAGCGGGACTTCTTCCAAGAAAGCTTCATACATACGTCGTCGCTGGAATGCAGAGTCCATGAGAATGCGCCGGAAAGTGACGCGGTCTAGAGCCCAGAGAGTGCTTTTCGAATCAGTCGAAACAATGGTTGCCGCTCGAGGTGCGTTGTACATCAGAGCAAGCTCTCCAAAGGAGCCGCCGGGTCCAATCGTGCTGATTTTGTTGCCAGCTCCGTCTGGGCCCGGTTGCACGGAGCCAGAAGGGTTGATATAGACGTCAAAGTGACCCTGCTCAACGATGTAGAAAAAGTCGCCAGCATCTCCCTGTGAAATCACTTTAATGCCCTTCGCGGGTATGGGCTTCTCAACCAATGCATCTAACACTGTCCTGGACTGCTCGTCGTCCAGGTGGGAAAAGAGGAAGTTGTTACTGACGGCTGTCTTCAAGCGGGCGAGCTGCTCCTCCGACTTTGGGTGATTCGGCGGGGTCCAGCTGTCCGAGCCCGCAGATGTAGGGTTCAGAGATTCGGCGGAGACAGACGTCCGGCGGCCCAGGGCGTAGTTGTTGGGCAAGCCATGGTCGTGGCCACCAGTCGGACGGAAGCTATGGGGGTCCGTGGAGGACTCATCCTGGCCTTCCTGTCCACCACCAGGAAAGCCACCGAAGGGATCCCTCCCAAAGCGGATTCCCTCAGCCGACTCTCCAGCTCGACCACTCTCGAGCGGGTTATTCCCACCAGACGAGCCCGCGGCGTTCTTGGAGGTTCGGAAGGTAGCGTCGGTTGGTGACGTCACCTCATATTCCTCGTCTTCTGCGATTTTGTGAAACGACGGCGGTTTATCCTCTTTTGTTGAAACCTTGAGAAAAGGGTTGTTGCCCGAAGATGATGCATTCGACATGTCGCCGATTGGAATCTTTGGTCAAGGTGAAACGGGGGTTAGGGGATTGGCGACGCTGTGAGTACACTGTGAGGATGTGAGAGGGTCGGCGAGACAAAGAAACTGATCGAGGTTAGAGGAAGGTTACAGAAGTTAACAGCGAGTGGAATGATCGGAAGAGAAGATCATGAGATGAGGATGCGCGCGAGGATAATAATTGAGCAGGCATGCGGGAGGAGGGAAAGATCATGTATGCACGAACGTAACGAGATCGAAGGGGGATCGGCGAAGAAAGTGGGAGGGAGGAGGGGCGGCGGGTAGAGAAACCGACAGAGTTGACAAAGCTTTGGAAAAAAGACTAAAGACTGGAACAACTTGACTTTGGCAGCGCCGAGTGGGTATCGAACGAGCTGAAGGCGAATTGGAGTGTCTCGAGACAAATCAGACCAGAGTCTGAAGCTCTTGAATGGAGCTCAGACCCAACGGACGCGAAGAGGCGTTCTCATTTCAGAGGCCAAAGACAGCTTCACCCCAAGTAAAGAGAAAAGGGAAGAGAAGGTATGCGTATCAAAGAAAATGCCCAGACTTCTTTTGTACTTACTTGGCGAGTTTCGTTTCTTTTTCTTATTGCTTTTTCCGTTGCCTAATTTTTGGGTGTTAACGAGGGGCAACGCCAGTATGAACGCAGCAGTCGGAACTGACAAGCTGGAGGGGCACCGATGGGCCAGATCCTTGTTCTTATATGCTCAGAGCAGCTGCCTGCTCTCAGTTCAGCAGTTGAACTGAGTTTGGAACTGTCTTGGACGTGTGAGGATGGCGCTGTTCCGGCCAAAGGAATGAAACAGGAGGAGTAAAACAGGGGGAAGGAGAGAGGTCGGTCAGAGACAGATGTTCAGATGGGAAATAAAAGGGAATAATGCTAAGAATAAGTAGTATCAAAGCAGACGGGACGGAAAAGGCGGGGTAGCTTTCTGCAGCTATCGCCAGCACACGAGCTTCTGCCTATGGACCGTGGATGAACCCCTATTATTTTCTTTACAAATTGTCTTTTCTAGCTGACACCCTAAACTCTTTTATGATCGAGCATCAAAGGATAATGACTTTGACCACGCCTATACTCTATTGTGCCGTGCCCTTGATGAGTTCTTTCTCCGAGGTTGCAGATGCAGATCAACGTCACCGGTGCTCTCCCCGCCCAGTGCTCGCAGCTCACTAGCGCTCAATAGCTGGTCAAGAAGATCAATAGTTGAGAAATGGGCAAAGATGCAGTACATCAAGTGACAGTAAGCCCCCTTTCTAGTCCAATGGGGCTTTGAGGACGTGAACCGCTGACCTATAGGCGATGCGTGGAAGCTTCGATGTAATAATCTAAACGCCTTCCAGATGTCTTCTAGAAGGTCACGATGCTGTCAGATGGCTTGGTCCGGAAGCCATGCGCTGCGAAGAACTTTGCCCGACACTACTCCGTACTACCGATCTTACGGGCTTACCCCAAACACTCCTCGGGGCAGAAGGAAACTGTCTTACCTATTCCGTAACCTCTGCTCGCCAGTCGCCTTGAGATCATCGCTGACGTCCTCCATTCATCGTAATTATGATGTAAACAACAACCACTTCGCAGTACTCCGGAGTACGACGCCATACTACTCTGGTTCAGGAAGATTCGGGCCATGGATCAATAAGATCTAGAAGCACTTCGATGGTTGTGGCATCTGCAGGTAGAGGGATCTCCAGTAAACTCCCTGCAAGCACATCGGGCCGATTATTAGGTACTTTATCTTCAGTTTGAGTAGCCGATGAAGGCCAAGAACTGTAAAAGCCGGCGGTGTCAGCACAAATGAAACTGCCCAGGTGTTGACAGTGACTCAGTGCTAGCCAGGTTATCTTTATTGTCTCAGTCTGAATGCTTAGGTATCCTCGCCTAGTGTCTAGAACCGGCGTCTAGACTGAGCCGGTGGTGTCTGACTTTAAAGTGTATCCCACCGCTACTTTCCACAGCGCGATGGGCACGCAAAGCGACTCCAAGATCATCTAGAAACTGCATTAGCTTCTGCCCTTATCAGCAATTGAAGAGTTGTCAGTGTTTAAATCCTCCGAGCGACGAGTTGCGCGACCGCCACCCCGCTTTGGCCCAAGGCCCTGCCTTCCCAGCCCCCTCACACTTTATCAGTGCCGTTCCGTCCTAATCCCCAGCTTCCCTGCTTGGTTGCTCCGATAATTCCCTCTCTTCGTCCGGCGCATCAGCCCATACCAGAGCCCCTATAGAGAATGGGGAGCTACACGTTTCGATGGTAAGTTGCTCGAGGCTATTAACTTTCCGATCCAGCCCTCACCCACCTGGCTTCTGACCATGGGCTGACCACGGCCGATCCAGGCCTTACGATGCCAATGAGGTGTTCGTCACAGGCACGTTTGATGACTGGGGCAAGACGATCAAATTGGATCGGAAAGGAAACGGCTTCGAAAAAGATGTCTACCTTCCGGCAACCACCGACAAAGTGCACTTCAAGGTATGTCATATTCCACGGCCTCCTCCATTACAGCCTCACATATGAGGGGCAGCTGGCTGCTTAGCCCGCTTCTCGAGGCTTCTACCCAATCTCCATCACCAAGCTAGCCCCCTCCTCTATTGTGCCAACAGTGATGACGCCGCCCTGCGAATGACGTCATCACACTAGCGCTGACCGAGAACTATAAGAGTCGCTCCGTGAATTCTATTTCTTTCGTATTACTGACGTGTACCTATCACATTCACAGTTTGTCGTTGACGGAAATTGGACGACCTTGCCTGACGCACCGCAAGAGAGCGACCATTCTAGCAACGTGAACAACATCCTATATCCGGACCAGATCCAAGCAGATTCAACCGCAGCGCTACAGAACGGCACCCAAGAAATGGCTAGCACTCTCTCTGGCGTGACGCCCAACTCCACAACCGCCGGCTTAGCCGGTGGAGTCCCTAAAGAGAACAAGGCCCCCGGATCGACGACTGCGGGGTTGGACAAAGACGTTCCGCTTGAGCAAAGGGCTAACGTCCCTGGAGGATTTCCTGCGGACACCCCGCTGTCTGAATACTCTGTCAATCCTATCCCGGCCTCCAGCGGCATTGGCAATCCAATTCATCTAAAGCCGGGAGAGAAAGTTCCAGACCCCAGCACATTCAATACCAACACAGTACAGTCAACTGCTCGTACAAACGATTCATACGACCAAGATAGCTCTCGACTGGCTGGCCCGTTCTCTGTTCCTCCTGTTTCAAATACCATGATCCCTGAATCCAGCCTCCCAATGGGGAGCGGAACTCACCCTGTATCCGCCGACCCCGGAGTCACCGTGCAGTCTGCTGCACCGACGTCTACTACCGCTGCTCTTGCCGGCAACGTTCCATTCGAATCTAAGAAGCAAACCGATAGCACAAGCCCGGTCAACGATGTCCCGGACGTGGTCAGAAATTCTTTACTCGAGGCTCACCAAGACCCAGAAGCAGCCGCAAATCAGCTTGTTGTGGACGAAAAGAAGGAGCTAGAGCATGAGCTGCAACAGAAGGTCAAGGTCGAAAACTCGGCTGGCGCACCGGCGCCTACTACCACCGCTGCCACTACAGAGACTGCCCCCAGGGCTAGCGTTGCGGAACCCAGCTCAGCGGAGTTGTCACCAAGGACAGGAACTCCTACAGGTGCTAGGGCGTCGAACACTGAAGCATCACAGCCTGGAGCGCCAACTACCGGAGCCGCAACCACTGATGCACCAGCCACTAGAGCGTCAACCACCACCACACCAACCACCGGGGAGGAGATAAAGGAGAGCGCGAGCCCTTCGAACAACACCAAGACATCGGACGTTCCCTCGACTGGCTCGTCTGGAAAGGAAGAGAAGAAGAAGAAGCGATCGAGTATCTTTGCCAAGTTGAAGGAGAAGTTCAAATGAACGGCTCGGGACGTTCTAGAATGATGAGTTGAGCCGTAATGTTACTGATGATTTATCTGGATACCTTTACGCATGTTATATTTAATGACGTATGTTATACTTGAGTACCCCGCATGTCTTGTTTCAAACATTGAATAGTACACACGCTAAGTTGATTATAATCGAGTAATAACTTAATTCGGGTGTCTATATGGGAATAGCATTTGACACTTGACCATTTAGCTTGACCGGATATCCCAGCACACTATATATCTTGTCAGCAGCTTGCACCCAGGCACGATTATGTTCAAATACAACTCACTCTTTCCCGGTTTTCGTACAACAGCATCCACAAAATATAGAGGCGGGCCAGCAGATAACCGCCGCGACGATTGTGACCACGAACCCTAACTCATCAGCATGACTACTTCAAAAGAAGCCAACGTAGAATGACTGGGAATGCCTACCTAGTGTCGGGCCAACAATCTTACAACGACAGGGGTTCTGGTCCGTCCCGCATTGGATGCAGACTGGAAAGAAGAACGGGACATCGCACATTGTGAATGCTTGGTATGATCTTAGTCCGGGATACAGTAGACTTTGAGATAGTAGCTGGAGGGAGGGGATGATTATTATCTAGGGAGTGTGATATAGATATTGATCGCTATGGTATGAACTTCCAAGAGATGAAGTTGAGATTGAGAATATATACATGATTCATCATGACGACATTGTGTGACAATCCAACTATCAGGTTGTCTTTCGGCTGGTTAGGTTGCTGTTTTGGAGTCTCGAGAATTTCCAGTGCACGGAGTATCGATAAATTAGACCAATGCAATATAACCTGCATAGTGTGCATTGACTTAGTTGAGGTATGCAGTTGCCTTCTCCAAATGCATCAATTGGTCTCTATTCGATGTACAGTACGCCGTACCCAACGCAAATGTCCTTGACACATCCCAGCTGAATGGAAATGCAAATCACAGGGCTGTCTACATGAATCTATAATTAACAAGCCCAAAAGGATAAAGCCACCCCCGCGCGCATTCCTTTCCCAATCAGTTGCATGAAGAATTCTAGATTCCATACAAGCCACAGCAAGGGCGTTTCAAAGCGCGCAAACCCAGCCAGGCACCAGGATTTTCTTTGCCGCAGAACCCGTGAGCCACACCAGGGTCTTATTTCTTTTCCATCCATTTTTTCATCTATTTTCTTTTCTCTTCATGCAGAAGAATATAAATAACACGATTTATCCTCTTTTCCAGGCAAAGTTGAATACAATAATTTATCAACGCCGTTGAGTGATCAACAATCTAGTGGTGCGTAACCCCATCCATCCGAATTAGATGATCGATCGTCGCCGACGTCACCCGCTCAGCCCTACGGAGTCTCCATCTTTGCGTCTGACGAACTCGTCTTACCATCCATCAACACTGCTGAAATTTATCCTCGTTCGTCAAATGTCGATCAGTCTTAACTAACCTTCTTACGGTGCAATAGATTCAAAAAAACAAACCCTGTATCACCTACCTACCAATCCAAAGACAGCCAATATGGCAAACCGCCTGATCCCCCTCGTCATCCTCCTGATCGTGGTCATCGTCCTCGTCGTGATCGGCTTCATCGCATACAGCATCATTCAAGAAGTCTCCGACAAGACAAAGAGCAAGATGGAGAAGCGGAACGTCATGTTCACGAAGGATGGGATGAAAGTTGGAGTGCGCCAGGTCGGCGAGGAGGAGTATGTTGATCGGAGTCAGAGGTGAGCATTCTTTCCTGAAACATTCGCTACATGAGTCATGGGCAGGTAGCTAATGCGGCCGTGCAGTATCCTCGTGAATATGTGGAACCACACTTCTTTCCCGGCGTACAAGAGTCGGCTGTGGGATATGACGGGGTCAGCGAGTGGAAGTGCGAGTGGCGAGGGAAGGGCTGAGCAAAGGAAGGGGTAGGTTTCCGTTCCTTCTTGTTCTCTCCTGTTTTCGTTAGAATGGGACATGGTCTGACGAAGTATTACTTGGTAGACACTCGCATTGACTATCGAAGCGGCTTTCGAGAAGCAAACGGGCGAAGACTTGGATTACAGTTGATGGGCTGTTGAGGGAGCCTTACTAGGTTATATAAGATCTGGCGCTTCTATACTGCGCCTACAGCTCGAAGCTATTTTTATCTAGAATAGCAGTAATGATTGATGAGTGATGAATTGCCTCGAGATGTTCTTTGGTACTCTCATTCCAACATTATCGTACCATAACAATAGGTTGCCCTATTACACATTGCCTACATACCTACCATTGACAATTTTATACCCCGTAAGCATTACTTTCAGTACATTCTAGGGTGGGGTGAACACCCTTGATCACCGACCGCTAAATGAATCGGATAGCACCCTATATTAAGCAATTAAATAAGATAGCACCCTAAAATAGCGCTGTTCTGGACTCGTCACATAACTTGCCTAGTAATTTATTAGTAAAATTATTCTTTATTATTACCCCCCGACTAAACAAAATAGCACTTTTAATTATACTAACTAAACCGCGTACTTTAAAGCTATTTTAAACTTTTAAAAGTTAAATTTATGTTAATACAACAGAGAATCTTATTAGTTAATTTAAAAAGGGGTAAATATTTAAAATAAATAACTTTGCGCGCGTGCCGCGCGCCTGTAGAGACCTTATACGCCTACTAGTTTTTTTTTAACATGGCTAAATTAAAGCTATTTAAACTAGGGATTATAATAAGCATAGTAGGTATAGCAAAGGCCTTATATAAAGCTAACGTTATAGCGGATAACTAGGATAATAGTAGTTTATTTTAGTAACTTAGTAACTACGGAGAAATCTTAGGGGTAAAGGCCTTAGTGGTAAGAAGTTAATATTAGCCGCCGCGAATTTTTATTAGCTACAGGGCGTTCTTAGCAGGGCGGCCTTTACTAGCTAAAACGCGGCACTATATTTTATTAAGCTTAATTTTATACAGGTACTATTTTATTTAGTTGCTTAATATAGGGTGCTATTTAATTTATTTAGCAAATTACTAATACTATTAAGTATAGCGCTAAATAAATTAAATAGTACCCTATACTAAGTAACTAAATAAAATTGTCAAAGGTAGACAATTCGAAAGTGCATTCATAATATTATTGATAATTCTCTAAAGGCTAACTACATTCTTAATAAAGGAAAGGGGTTAGGGTGGTGCCCAATAGCAGTATTAGATATTATTAAGGTGGCTAACCTTAATAAGTCCCCCTTATAAAAAGGCGGATGCCCATATTTACTAATAAAAAAAAATAACTTAGTGGCTTAAGCAAATATTATAAAAATAAAAAAAAATATAAAAGCTTTTTAAGTTTAAAAAAAATAGCTATTATAAAAATAAAATAAATATAAAAGCTTTTTAAGTTTAATTTACTTAGTAATATTAAAGTAATTAAAATAAAAAGAGCTTTAAAAGCTATAAAAGTAAAAATAAAAAAACCATGTAAGTAAAGGTGGTTTTAATTAAAAGGTAGTAATTTACTTAGTAAAAAAGGTAATAAATAAAAAGTAGTAGCTTGGTATTAAGTTTAATTTTATTTTAATTTTTTTAATATTAAATATAATATATTTATAAAAACCTTTAAAACCTAATTTTTTATTTAATAAGTTATATTAATAATAATATATTTTTAGGCCTTTAATAAAGCTTATATTTAAGTTTTTAAAAAATTTACACAGCCTTATAAATAATAAGGTATTTTTTTTTAATATATTTAATACTATATTATAATTAATTAATAATAAATTAAGGTTACTAGCTAAAATACAGGCTAAAAATAATAAGGTTTTAAGTAATATTTATTAAAGTAAAAATAATAAAATTAAATAAATAATAAAGGTTTTATTACTAATAAAACACTTATTAAAAGTAAAACTAATATTTATTAATAATAAATTAAGGTTACTAGCTAAAGCACGGGCTAAGAATAATAAGGTTTTAAGTAATATTTACTAAAATAAAAATAATAAAGTTAAATAAATAATAAAGGTTTTATTATTAATAAAATACTTATTAAAAATAAAACTAGTATTTATACTTTTTTAGCGGGAGAGGTATTAAGTAAAAGTATTTATTTTTACTAATATTATAGGGCTAGTAGGGTTTTTAGTTAGCTTTAATAACTTACTAGTAATAAGGTTTGGATTTATAGCAAGAGTAGCTATAATTTTTAAGATTTTAAAAAATACTTAAAAAATTACTAGTTTATTAGCTAGTTTCTTGCTTATAGTAAGAGTTAGCTTATTAAATTTAATAAAAATAGGATTTAACACTTTATTAAGCCTTTATTTTTTTTTAAGTTATTAATATTATTATTATTAGAATAACAGGAGGGATTAGTACGTTTTTTTATTATTTTATAAACTAATTTTATATAAATAATTATAATTTACTAAAAATTATAAAGCCTAGTTTTAGTTATTATAAGTAAAAACTTAGGTTTTATTATAAGCCTAAACCAAGCATGCTAGCTAGCTTATATAAAGGGCTAATAACTTTATTTTAAAGGGTAAAAAAATTTAACATGGGCGCTTAAGGGCTAATAGCTTTATTTTAAAGAGTAAAAAAATTTAATATAAGTGCTTAAAGGGCAGTAAGGGGCTTAACTTAGTTATTAGTTAAAAAACCTTAGGCAGCATTTTTTTAAATATTTTTTTACTTACTAGTAAACAGGTTTTAGGCTATAATATTTTAAATATTTTTTTAAGGACTTTGTTAATTCGCGGCTTTATGTAATTTTTTTTAAAATATTAATAACCTTTTTTTTTAAAAGCGGCTAAGGCGGCCTGGCGTTTTTACTTTTAATTTATTTATTTTAAATACCTAAAAGTAAGAGGCATTTACCTTAAATAACTAAAAATAAGAGTTTTAAGAGTTATTAGGTTAACTATTATTATTATTTATAGTATTTTTATTAAAAATCTTATTTTTAAAATTATTATTAAAGTTAAAGTTTTTTAAGTTCTCCGTGTTAATATTATTCTTAAACTTTATTATAATAAGTTTAAACTTTTTAATTAATTTTAATTTATAATTATTAGCGCGCTATATTAATATACCTTTAATTATTAATTTTAGCTTTTAATATTTTTTTACTTTTTTAGCTTTTAAGGCTGGGAGGTCCTAGTTTATTATTATTTATTATTAATAGGCCCTTATTTTTATTATATTATATTTTTTAAAAACTAGTAATAAATATATTTTAAATAAAGGGTTTATTAAATCTTGGCTTGCTATTTAATAAAAATTATAAGTTACTAAATTATTTAAAAGTAAAAGGTATAAATAATTATTTTTAGCTACTTAAGTAAACTTATTATAATTTATTTTTTTTATTATTTATATAGCTAGGCCCCTTTTTAGGGGAATAATATAAATAAATATATTTAAAATATAGTAACCTATAATAATAATTAAAAATAATAATTAAGTATTATTAGCTTTAATAATCTTCGCGGGGTGTAGCCTTGGCCTAATAATAAAATTAAATATAAAATTTAAGTTTAATAAGCTTAATAAAACTATATTTTTTAATTATTATATTTTTATAAATACTAGGTTTTTATTATATAAAACTATTTATTTATAATATATAAAAAACTAATATTCCCCATGTGCGTAAATTTATATTATTAGGCTAATAGGCACTTTTTTTACCTTAAAATTTTTATTAAAGTTAAAATTATATAAATATTTTTTATACCTAAATAATTTATTTATTATATAAATAATAAAAAATATACTAAGGTTTAAAACTTATATTTTTTTAAAAAAAAGCTATAAATCTTAAAATTTTTAATTTATTTATTTAATATAATTACAAGCTTTCTCCCTACCTTTAAATTATTTAAATTTATTTTTTTATTAACTACCCGCGTTCACGGGCAGTTATAGCTATTATTATTATATATTTAATATATTAAAAAATAATTATAATAATTATATTACTTTTAGCAATATTTTATATAGCTTTTTTTATTTTTTTTTATTTTTTATTATTTTTATTAATAATATTAATATAATCCTATTTTTAGATTACCCTAAGTTTTTTTATAATTAGTAAAAGTAAAAAAAAGGGAGCTTAAATAAATAAAAAAATTACTTAAAAAAAAGTTTTAATTACTAAAAAAAGTTATATAAAAAATTTAATAAGTTAAGCTTTTGCTTAAAAATAAGTTATATTAAGTAAAAAAATAAAAAGTTTTAAAAAAGTTAAATTACTTGCTAAAATTACTTAGTAAAATAAAGAAAAAAATAAATTAAAATAATAAAATAGGTAATAACTACTTGCTAAAAAAAATAAAAAAAAATCTTTTTTACTAAAGTAAGAGTAAGCAGTATTTACTTAAAAAAAATTTTTTTACTAAAGTAAGGGTAAGCAGCGTTTACTTAAAAAAAATAAGGTAAAAATAAGTAGGCTTTTATTAAAAAAAAAGTATTATTACTCTTGCTTATAATAATAAAAAAAGTAAAAAAAAAAGCTAAATAAGATTTTACTTAAGGTTTATTTAAAAATAAAAAATATAGTTAGTAAAATTACTTATAAAAGTAAAAAAAATAAAATAAAAAATATTAACTTATAAAACTTGTTAAAGCAGACCTTAAGCTTTAAAAAAAATTAAAATTAGTAAAAAATAAAAATATAAAGATTATTATAAAAAAACATAGTATTAAAATAAGGTATAAAAAATTAAGTAAATTAATAATAAAAATAATTATATAATATTAAAATAAATATAATAAATATTAAATAAATATTATAAATTACTTTAGGTAAGTTTTATTATATTTTTTTATTAAGTTTTCCGCGCCTTTAAGCTTAAATTTTAATAATTATTAATTATTTTTTATTTTATAGCTTATTTAATAAACTAAATACTTTATTATTAGTATTTACTTATATCCTATG